ATGACGCTGAATGTTCAAAAGCAATGCGCGCGGAGAATTTAGCAATCACCGATCCAGAAGATGATGCCACGAGTGCCACGACGTCAAGCTCGACGGTTTCAAAGACGAAAAAAAGGAAGTATGATGAATCTTATATCAGTTTCGGATTTGTTGATTCCAACGGCTCACCTCTCTGCATGCTCTGTAGTAAACTGCTTCCTAATAGTTCCATGGCACCTGCCAAATTGCGTCGACATTTAGAAACCGTACACCCCGAGACTAAAGACAAGAATAAAGAATTTTTTGTTCGCAAAAAAGATCAGTTATTAGAAAGTCAAAAAAATATGATGCATGTAACACAAACTACCAACGAAAAGGCCACGGAGGCATCATACTTAGTTAGCTATCGCATTGCACAAGCAGGTGAAGCGCACACTATCGCTGAGAAATTAATAAAACCATGTGTATTAGACATAACAAAATGTATGCTTGATGAAAAATCTGCAAAGCATCTTTCTACTGTTCCGCTATCAAACGATACTGTTTCACGACGAATCCATGATCTGGCAAGCTACGTCAAACAAGAACTAGTTACACGTCTACAAAATACACGATTCGCTTTGCAAATGGACGAGTCGACTGATGTCGCTGGTTTGGCTATCCTGCTGGTTATTGTGAGATATCCATATAAAAGTTCTTTTGAAGAAGACATGCTTATGTGTTCATCGCTGCTTACAAACACTACCGGGGAAGAAATTTTTAATAAAATAAATATATTTTTTGAAGAACATAATCTCAGTTGGAACAATTGCATTGACATTTGTACAGATGGGGCCAAGGCGATGACAGGTAAAACAGCAGGAGCAGTGTCACGAATGAAAAATAAAGCGCCTAATTGTAGTTCCAGTCATTGTATTCTGCATAGACAAGCACTTGCGATGAAGCAAATGCCGTCTAATCTAAAATTAGTTATGGATGAAGCGGTAAAAATAATTAATTTTATCAAATCACGACCACTACAATCCCGATTGTTCTCATTATTGTGCGAAGATTATGGCAGCAAACATAAAACACTGCTGCTCCATACAGAAGTGCGATGGCTGTCTCGGGGAAAAACTTTAACAAGGCTATTTGAACTTAGAGCCGAGTTACAAATGTTTCTTTCAGCAGATACTTCTTTTAATTTGAAGGACCGTTTGTATGATAAAACTTGGTTGTTCCGATTGTCTTTTATGGCGGATATCTTTCAAAAACTTAACGAATTAAATTTATCATTGCAAGTTAAACAGACATCAGTGTTTCAGGCCTATAATAAAATAACTACTTTTAAAAGAAAATTAGATTTTTGGATCATTTGCATTGGTAAGAAAGAAATAGAAAGTTTTACGTTACTCACTGAGTTTGTTAGCGAAAACGACTCAGAAATGTTTGAAGATAATGTGTTTGAAGAATTGGTCCAATATCTCAGTTCGATGCGCGCATCTTTTGAAAAGTATTTTCCCGAAGAACACAATACAAAAATTAAAGTGAACTCCTGGATTCATAATCCTTTTTTACCCAACTTGGAAAAGCCTGAAAACATGTCAAATGAGATATATGAATCTCTTTTAGAAATGTCATCAGACACAAGTATGGAGTCATTGTTCAAAACGACGCCTCTTAATGATTTTTGGTGCAGAATCCAAGATGAATATGCAATGCTTGGCCAAATGGCTCTGGATATTCTTCTCCCGTTCCCAACTACATATTTGTGCGAAACAGGATTCTCTACCTACGCAGCCACGAAAACAAAATATCGCAATAGACTGGACGCCGAAGCTGATATGAGACTCCAACTTTCTTCCATCAAACCTGATATCAAGCAATTGATGAAAAATAAAAAACAGTTTCATACCTCCCACTAGTTAGATTTTTTCTTTTTTAATGTTTTCTATTATTGTCCTTACCAAGTGGTGAAGTAAATAATAATTAGTAACGGATACATTGTACTTTTATTATGCTGATTAATATAGAATACACTTATAAAAATAATTGTTTTATTGTAGGGTTCCATCAAGTATTTTGCTTCCCAAAAGGGTTCCGTCATTTAAAAAGTTTGAGAACCACTGGTGTAGGGTATAGTTTTTGGTCTAACATATACCCTCTGACACTAAAAAACGTTGTGACTTTCTATTAGTCAAAGAATTTTCAAAATTGGTTCAATATATCCACAGATTACTCCCTATAACCTCACAAATTTGACCTCTTTATAATATTAGTAAAGCTAACTAGCCAACTAAATGAATTTATTTACATCATTATTCAGAGTTAACAAAAATTATCATAAACTCATTCTTTTCTTCAAAAGAAAAATGTTTTAGGAAAATGGTAATTGTTTGTAGAATAAATTAAACCTTTGTGTAGTCCGCTTCAAGAGAGGCCTAAATAGTGCTCCACCAAAGGCAGCGGCATGGCTGTGTCACTGGCATTGCTGATGTTCATAGACAACGATGACCACTTCACATCGGGTGGCCTGTATGCTCATACCGTATGCCTTCAAAGGCAATTAAAAAAAAGTACAATTAAAATAATTGTTACTACAGAAACATTTATCATCTTTGCATAGCAGAAACCTGTTCACTGATCTGTGTAAGCATTTGTGCGGACTTGTGTATATTCTCAAACTGATAGCCCATATGAACTGATATTAACTGCATCTTTTTGAGGTTCTCTTCACTGCTCTCCATAAGGTTTTCAGTGGCTGCGAAGTCTCTTCCTGCTTTCGATAAGAGCTGTAAATCATAAATACATCATTTAAAATTATTTGTGTAAATTGTTGTTAAAAATATTAACATAACAACAATATGTGGAACATTTTTAGATGTTATCAAGCATATACTACACGACTTTAATGCTATCATTTTCTATACAATTACAATAGGGGACAACACCTAACATCATGTCATCTGCCTAGCATAGGGTCTCCCCCAAGGATCTCCATTATGAAGCATAAATTGACGTTACTGAATAAGACTGTGTGAAGAGGTTACCTCGTTGGACTTGGATCCTCGTTGTATCTGTCTTGCTAGCGAAGATATATTATTCATATTGACTTGGACCCGTTCTGCGAGCCTTTGTTTCGACTCGGCGAAAAGAGACCGAGCGCTGCTTGAAGAGGCTGACGTCATCGTGGATCTGAATGGTAAGCGCAAGCTGTATGATGACAGTAGAATTTTACGAATGTAATTTGCAAATCTTAGGTAAGATTGCAATTTTTAATTATTGCAAACAATCTTTTCGCCATCAAAGGACTACAGAGAATATGTCAATAATGTCAATGTGACATTGACAATACCATATGTTAGAGAGCTAAGAAAAACCATGGTCGTAAAGGTACGCAAACAAGACTTACTTTTTCTAATGAACCAGGATGAGTGAGAGATACAGAATGGAGGTTTTTTGATATTTTCTAATGGGATAACAATGCCTTTTTTTGTAAATTCATTTATTAAGATTGACAATAACCTAGCTTATTCAAATAAAATTAAAACAACTGGTTTTATTTCAACAAGAATATGTACTCTTCAGTATGTTTATGGTTTGAAACTTGATTGTGGTAACAAAAATAAACCAATATATAGTTCAAGACTGGTTTATTATTCTTTGTTTATGTTTTGAAAGTAATTGCTAAATAGTTAAAATTAACATTATTTATATGCAAACATCGTCAAATATCACCCCGTATCGTTTCTGGCGCAAAGGTGCAAGACTGATTTTATTTAAAAAAAATATGGACAATTAGAGTGATAAAATCTCACGCTCGTCGTCGTCCTATTGTAACTAGTGGTGGGCGTTTAAAATATTAAGCTTGTAAGCACGCTTTTAAGTATAAGCGTTATAAGCTTTTCACTTAAAAAGTGTGAGTAAGCTTTTCACTTAAAAAAGTGCAAGTATATTTTTTACTTAAAAAGTGCAAATCCCGCCATCTATGTCTTTGCCAGGAAACTACATACTTCGATCCTTCTAGTCCACTACAGTATCGAAAAATGGGTATGCGGAATTCCTTGGAACTAAATATTTCACAATATCACAGACATAGAACGCGTGACTATAGCGCCGCGTCGGCGTGCCATCTTTCGTGAGCCGGTTAATACAGCAGTTAATTAAACGAAGTCGAAAAGCAGTACGCTTGTCACTGTGACAGGGTAAGAGCGCGTGGGTGTTGTACGGTGTGTTTGCAAGCTTGCTTGTGTTAATGCGTTTCGTGTATTGGTTTAATGTGCATATAAAATAGTTAAAAGTATGTATATAAAGGTATCGATTCTGGCATGATTCTCTAAATCTAAACTTAAATATGACAACAGTGTATTCTTGTCATCCTCTATACAGAATGAAAAAGAGAGACTGATGTTAAATTTAGTTTTAAGTTTAGAGAATCACGCCAGAATCGACACCAAAATCAATGAACTTTTAAGTACGCCTGGATCACGAGTATATTAACTCCAGACAGTCCTAAGCTTGTAAAGTACGAAGGAATGTTCATTGACTATTATAAAAATGTTTATTATAAAATCTAAATTCAATTGAAAATCTTTCGTTTTTAATGCCAATCAACATTAGGTTTAAAAAACTTTTTAATAAAAATTTCATTAATAAGAAGAAAAAACGCAATAAAACACTTAAACACATTAAAAACGACAATAAACTTTTCACGCTTTTTTAAACGATATACCTAAACGAAAACACAACACAACGTCGCGCTTTTGACGCATGCTTTTAAACGTTTAAACAAAAAAGCTTTCTTTCAAGCGCGCTTATTTTAAAAAGTACAACGTTTAAACGCTTTTAAGAAATAAGCCGTTTTTTCCATCTCTAATTGTAACCTAGGTCCATGTTTGGAACGAATATGCAGTGCATACACGGAGCACGATTTTATCATAGTCGATTTTCTGTGTTGTTTGGTGTCTGCCAAATCGGAGCGTTTGTTACTAGTTATAGACAAGGGAAGGGCAGAAAAAAAATTGTTTATCGTGCTGTTGTCTGTGGAGCTGACTTTTCGTTCGTCACGGAAGAATTTTGTGTAGCAAGAAATTTTTGTAATCTAATTCAATTAATCGCCTTTTATTCAAAATGTTTTCATGGAATCATAGTCTATACTCCCTATCCTATCGGTCAATTAAAGTTGTCCCGTTTCGGTCCACCGTACTTTAAGATATGCCTTTTATTTACAAGAAGACTCTTAGTGAAACAGTGAATTCGAGTTTGTATTCGCGATTCATGCTATTTGTTTAGCACAATGGATAAAGGAGTAACTTGTGAGCATCTAACCAAACTCGCAGATGTCATTGGGAAGGAGCTATGGCAAGCAAAAGATGTTAGTTTTTATAATTTTTGTTCTTCATAACCTAAGTCATTAAAATTGATAATTTGAATTCCTTATTTCAAGTAGTATTGTGTAACGTTTGGTATTTTAATAAAAACCTTATATGCAGGATTCTACCTGTTATCCAACAAATATTAAACTTTAATTACAATTTAATTCCTAATGATAAAAATGGTTAAATGTTTGATTGTTGAACTTATTACAGTTTCTTAGTTTTGTGAAATTTGGAAAATCACTACTTGCTCTTTGTTCAATGCACACAAAATAAAGTATAAGTATTTTTTACACAGGCTAATATAATATTTCAATATGTATTATAAAACAAAATAAAAATATGTTAATAAATACAAATAAAGTATTTTTAAATTCAGTGTCTTGAACAGTAAAATATCCATTGTCTTGTTTTCACATCTCAACTTCTACTACTTTTGTATGAACTATTTTACTTTATGAATGATACCATGAGCTAATTTATATTATGGCTATGTCTTAATAATTGTGATAGCTTGGTAGGGGTAGTACAAAATCTACAGAACAATAGTATTTTACAAAGAAATCACAGATTAAAGTTTTTTCAATAAATAATAGGGTGGGTAAATATTGTTATTACACATTCTATTATTCTGCACAAAGAAGTTATTTGCAAGAGATTTAGAGGTGTTTAATTTTGTAACGTGTTTAAAGAAGTCTCATATAAAATACAATCAGCCAGAGAATCAAACCCACAATTTTGAAATCATTTTTATTCATAATGAAGTAAATTTTTAAGTTGTCATCTTTGTATATAATAAATATGAGAGAAAAAACCAGCTTTTGCCGAGTTTCTTGCCAGTTCTTACGTTACGTTAAGATCACCCATTGGACCTTGTACTGAGACGAACAAGGTGCAACCATTGATTCGCTGTATATTTGCGAAACCAATGGCATAGTTTCCAACTCTCATATTAAGTGTTTGTAACAGCATACACTGAATAAACAATATTGATTTTGAATTTTCAAAATACATTTGCTAAGATTATCAAGTACTATGTTGTTACATCAGCAGTGTGTTCTCTTTGTAATATAATTATGGATCCATTTAAAATTTTCAGTTTTGTTAACAAATGTCAACTATCTGAGTGTGTACTAAATACATAAATAAATGAAGTATTTATAAACCCAATCTTTATATTTCAGTCATTAACATGTTACGACTGCGGTTGCCCTGGCCCGAACCTATGGATATGTTTACAGCCAGAATGTCACCATATAGGTTGTTCTGAAGTAAAAAATGACCATAGCACAATACATCAGAAGGTAAGAAGATTCTTATTTATTTATCATTTTGTTTTATTTGAATACCAAAAATTAAACAGGGGCAATAAAAAATATATTTTTTTTTCTTTTAAAAGAATTGTTTCCTTTTGGGTCATGTAAAATAATATGAACTTGCAGAAAAATAATAACTAGTGGCTTTACCTAATTTCTTTTGTACAAAAAGGAATAATGTGAAAATGTTACAGTACCTGTACCAATGACTTTATTAAGTCTATAGTAATATTAGTAATGTTAACTTAGTACATTCAAAAAGTCATTAGTGTATAAAAAAAATGTAGGAAAACAAAAAAAAACTGAAAAATGTATTGTTCTATACTGTGCTATTGAGGTGCTCAATACAATTTAATTTATGGTGTTCACGGCTGCATCTCACTATGTGACGATTCTACGAATGCCCAGGGTTAAAGGATGGTATTAGCTGAGACTTTTGACACATGACTGAAAGTGACGTTAAGTTGCTTGACTTGATATACGTCAAAATTATTGATGATTGTCAAAATCTTGACAATTATGTTTGCCACTGTGGATTTTGAATGTCATGATTAATTTTAAAATTCTCTGCACCGCAAAATAAAGTTAAATATGGAGAATTTAATGGTCAGAAACGACTATGTTAATGATTATGATTTTATTTATTTTTTAAGCATTTAACTGCTAGATGTTTTTTCTAGTAAACTTTTCTTTAGATTTATGTTAATGATTTCCTTTATTTGTATAGTTGAATGTGACCTTTTTTTTTGACCCGGAGAAATGCCTTACGCATACCCCAGAGCTGGGTAGGCGACGGGGTTATGTGAGACACCTCCCGCCCACCCACTCAGCAAACCCTAGGGCTGGCTCAGTGACTGCTCGGGATGGGGGGGTCCTACCCACTAAAACTCCGGGATGTGCTCTCCTTGCCTTAGGTGGCGGCATAAGATCCTTACTGGAAATCAACCACGCCGCCGGCCGGCCCGGCTTTTAGCCAGGCCACCTCACGATCGGGAGGATTCCCAGGCACGTGGTGGGAATCCCCCTCAGACTGCGGTGCCGTGCAATGCAGGCGCGGATTGCCCTACCCACGCCCGCTGGCTCCGACTCAGGGTGGAAGACTGCGGATGTATTCCCGCATCCTTCGTTCCATTCGTCTGCGTCGGATTGGGTCCGCCTGAGGGTCTTGTTCGCGGGCCCGCTCCGCTGCCTCCCTTTTCGACATCACCTCTTCCAAAAGGAGGATACCGCCTTCCAGGACCTGTCGTTGGCAAGCATGGCCGAGATCACGCTCGGCAACGGGAAGTCCAGTCCTATGACCGCGGTGAGGGTGCTGCGCTGCCGAGGTGGCACACACCGCAAGAGTATGCTCTGCGGTGTCCTCGGCCGCGCCGCATTGGTGGCACATTGGGGACGGCTCTCTCCTTATCCGAAACAGGTACTTACCAAAGCAGCCGTGCTCGGTAAGCAGCTGCACCAGTCGGTAAGTCAACGAGCCGTGTTTTCTTTGGACCCAGTCATCAAGTCCCGGGCCACGGCCTCAATGGTACGGATGCTGTAGGTGGGAGAGTCTAGTGTCTCTTTCCACCTCTCTAATACCCTTTCGTACGGCACAAGCCGGACCCTCCTCATTTCCTCCGGAGATGGACGTTCTTCCCTTCCTCGCGCTTCCACCCTGTACCGGTAGCTCTCGGCCAGAAAGTCAGCCTCGAGCTCCCAGGGTGGTGTCCACGCCAGTACACAGGCTGCCGCTCCTGAATAAGTGCGGTATCCTGTAAATAGTTGAATGTGACCTAGCCCAAGTCCCATACAAATATGAACCGTCTCCTTTTGCTGTTATAGCTAAATAAATATTTCTTACACTCACACAAAGAATCTAACCCCAAGCCTAAGCACTGTAAGGGGAAAAATCGGTCCCCCATAATGGGCGCCAACCTTTATCTTACACGCTCGCCGATTTATACTTCTTTTGACGTCACACCTCCAGTGCCATGCTTCGGAAGGCACGTTAAGCCGTTGTAGTCGTTAGAACATACTCACCAATCACTGGGGCTGCGGGTCAAGATACCATCTTCCTATTGCATCCACAGGAAAGACCTATACTCTCCGCAAAGAGACTCTCATTATACCAGTATCCCTCGCGGATACGCGGAGTGCTATGGCTCACGTACAATGGGTGGACCATTGTGCGGACTAAATGGGAAGACCAAATCCTCTAACATTGAACATAGAAGACCTTTGCTCCAGCAATTTGGGAGACATTAATAGGCTGAAGTTGAAATGAGTCTTGGTCTTCTTGGTCCTCAGCTTCCTCATCCTTGCGCTATCGCGTTCTAAATCTGTAGTTCGTTGCGTTCTGGCAAGATCTGAAATGAACTTTCCTCAGCGGTTTTTTCTAGCAGCTGTGATATGACGATCTCAAAAGGGCGGATAAACCTTTTCTTTCCAAGCCAGCAACATATAAGTGGTTGGTGCTGCAAGTGCCTATGGGCGGCAGTGACCAACTTCCATCAGGTGGACTGACAGCTCGTTTGCTTGCGTAAACATAAAAACGAAGTCTGTTTCGTCATTCCCTTATTTGACTTTCTCTCTACATGTCCAAACCAACCGAGCACGCTTCTGTTCGTTTTACAAGCGACTCTGTCTTTCAAAACGGTTCTCTTTTTCATGAGAAAGACCGCGAAATGTCGTAATGTCGCCGTTTTTTGCTTATACTTAAATTAGCGCCGAAAAGCTTCCTGTTGTGTCTTGAAGTAAGTAATAAAATGTTGTCTGAATATTTAAGATATTAAGAATGCTTAAAGATAGAAAGATTAGAAAGATTAAAGCTATGGAAGTATTCTCAGATAACGTTGTGTTGTAAATAACATTAAAGGACACCCGGCATTTTGTGCCAAAGTTGTATACTTTTTTAATTTTTTTATCTGTGTTTCATAATTGGGTAACGTCTGGCAATATTTGTCATCAGCAGCTAGCTGTCAATGTCAAATACGTAGGTTTGTCCAAGGTTTGTCAATATAACCTCTATATGTAGCCGGGTCGTCAAGAGAAATAACGGATAAAAAGGCAATCACAGCTGAGAACATTCACAATCACAGTTCGCGGGAGCGGACGCGAAATGCGAATGATTTTTTTTTGTTTGTATTTTAGGATTGTCATATTGACATTTGGTTTTTTATTTAGAAAAAGCAAAGGAATAATGGTTTTTACAGTCACTTGAGTAATATTTTAAAGTAAAATTCTGTCCCTTGAAGATTTAGGGTTTCCATATCAAAAAATATTAATCATAATATAACTTCTTTCCACGATACACTAAAAATAAGGCAAAAGTAGTTTTATGTAGCAAATAATTTTGGCTTTATTTTGAGACCAAATTCAATTGTATACAAGTTTAGCATTTTTTCTATGAAAAGTGCTCGGTCTCCTTTTAAGAAAAAGAGAAGGCGTTTTAAAAGATAACACTGGGTCTATCTTTTTAAATCGGATCGTGCGCGCAACGCGGACTTCAGTCCGATTTGTGCGTTGCTACGCCTAGTCATATGAGTTCCTTTATTTCCGGTACACTCGCGTGTTTTTGCCCATTACGGTCTGTCGATGTCATCGGTTGTTCGGAAGTAACGTCGGTTGTAATTTTAATCCGTCGTGTGAGTTACATGAGGAGCTCGATGGCGCAAGTGGTTAGCGCGTTCGGCTGCGATCGTTGAACTTAAGCAACTTTCGCAGTGGTCGGTCATTGGATGGGTGACCAAAAATTACTATCTCGAGCTCCTCCGTGCTTCGGTAGGCACGTTAAGCCGTTGGTCCCGGCTGCATCTGCAGTCCTTAGCACTCACCAATCCGCACTGGGCCCGCGTGGTGGGTCATGGCTCAATCTCCCTTTTCCATACATGGGGAAGGCCTGTGCCCCAGCAGTGGGGACATTAATAGGCTGATGATGATGATCGTCTGAAGAGTAACATGTGCCTTTTGGGTATAAATTACATTTCTAGCATTACTTACATTCCTTATTCCATAAAGAATACCGTTAGGTACAACGTAGCCTCTAGTTTTTCTACTCCATATTTCTTTGATTAGTTTTTGGTACGCTCTGTAAACAATAAAAATCGAATTATCAAGTGTATCTGACTCATATTCAGGACATTATTTTCTAAATAAATTTCTTTACGCGTTCTTACAGCCAAACATATCTTTTAATTAGTTAGACAAATAGTTTTTATCTCCTGCTATCTTTATTCCCCCCCCCCCCCCCCCCCAGAAATAAAACATCACATCAAAATATAGGTCAGTAACGAATGCCTTTATATGACATGCTTCTGTCGCCCCTCGCAAGTAGGTGTGGGTTTAGTAATATTGTGAAAAGAACTGGTGTTTGGGGATTCCGGGACAATATGGTCTAATTACTGGACAAGGGAGAAGACGCAAAATTCCGGGACAATTCCGGATTTCCCGGCCATCTGGCCACCCTGGTTGTAAGCTATCTATTTTGGCGGACAAAAAAAGTCCCTCATCTGCGCAGGCTTTTATAGTGTTGTCCATAATCGTTGTGCTGTACAAATCACAAAGTTGCATTATATAATTTTGAAGTCGGCCATGACACTGACTGTGTAGGTATCTCGTCAAAAAAGTCAACAATGCGTTTGCTTACTTAATTTATTATGACAGCAAATGGCGCGTACATGGTTCAAGGTAATTTACTTTTCCACATCTTCATCTGTTAACGTATTTCCTTTTATATAATAACTATTAAATGTGCCCTTCGGCGGATTCAGCCGCGTTAATTTAAAGAAATAAGTTATAGTATGTCAACCGTAAAATATCGACATATTATGCTTTCTCAATTTATTTTATTTTACTTTGAAAGGAAAGCAATTAATGCCGTCATACATGCTGATTTAGCTACGATACATATTTCAAATGTATCCGATTTTAAAACAGTACAATAGTTATCCTTTTTTATTTTTTAAGCGTGTAACTGCTCGATGTTTAGATGTAAAGAGAATATTACTAGAAAAAAATCCACGCGGACCAGGCAGCAGACGGGACTCGAACCCGCACCCTTCGCTATCCGGGCGAATGCAATGACCAATTATGCTACCGCGGCCCTCATGGCCGTGTCGAAGTCTTTCTAGCCTTTCTTAATCTGCAAGGCAACGCTATCTCTTCGCATTGTAGGTAACCCACTATATAAAATGAATTTAAATACCTTATTACCTTTGCAAGTATTAAACATTTGAAAGAAGAGCTAGCAATTAGTGTCGCCGCACACGGTCCACCGACCACGGTCCACCGACCACAACCACAAAGCCGCCACCGGCATATTTCTTGTAGTTTTCATACATTTTATATGGACTCGCCACACACGGTACGCCGGTGGCCGCCACACGCTACAAATCGACGTTGCTCGCTTCTTGTGGCTCGCACCGGCCACTTCATCATCAGCCTATTAATGTCCCCACTGCTGGGGCACAGGCCTTCCCTATGGATGGAATAGGGAGATTGGGCCATGACCCACCGCGCGGGCCCAGTGCGGATTGGTGGGTGCTAACGACTGCAGTTGCAGCCGGGACCAACGGCTTAACGTGCCTTCCGAAGCACGGAGGAGCTCGAGATAATAAATTTTTGGTCACCCATCCAATGACCGACCACTGCGAAAGTTGCTTAACTTCAACGACCGCAGCCGAACGCGCTAACCACTTGCGCCATCGAGCTCCCCACTTAATGCGCCGATACAAAACGCGGCCACACGTTACTCGCGCGATTTCCCACCCCTCACTCCCTTACCTTAGTCGGCCGCTATCGCGCGCTTCAGCCACTTTAGTAGCCGCTTCTAGCTTCTCGTGGCGGCGTTTGTGGCTGTGGCGTGTGGCCCGTGTGCGGCGACACTTATAGTTACAATTTTAATTTGTTAAGCATGTAACTGCTCGATGTTTCAATCTAAAGAACATATTATTAGTACTATATTTTACAATCACCTTACACGAGATTGCATTACACAGTAAAATGACACTACCTTTTTATGGTGTTGTGTTCCTGTTCATGAGTAAGGTTCCAGGGCTGGTAGGAGATTTATCCCTACCAAAGGGATCCCGCGGCTCCGCATTAAACAGTGTTGAAGGTATTCGCAGGACTTTTTAGCGGATACTATGCCGTAAACAAGGGCGGATCCAGCTTTGGCGCCGGGGGGGGGGGGGGTCATATAGCCAGCTTTGGCGCCAGGGGGGGGTCATATAGCCAGCTTTGGCGCCAGGGGGGGTCATATAGTCGTGGTATATTAAATATTGAAAGTACTTAAATAAAATCCCTCTGGGTTTGGTCCATCAGTACCCAGCCCAGGGGGGGGTCATGACCCCCATGACCCCCCCCCCCCTGGATCCGCCCTTGGCCGTAAAGCGCTCGCAAGAGTTGCGAGGTCCTCGGTGGACAGCCACTGGGGGGTCTCTCCGTAGGACTTGCCGGAGCCAGGTGTGAGGTCCGTTCGGCGGTGTACCTCTTAAAGGCGCCGTCGTCTGTAAAGATTTTTTACATGCGTTATAAAAAAAGGGCTGGTAGGGGATTTGCTAAGGGAGGCAACAGTGTGAGTGACATCTTTAGGCTATGTTAGCCACCTATTATCAGCCAAGACATACCCTTGTTTGTCACACTTTAAACATAAAAAAGGTTATTAGATTTTTAATTTCAGCGCGCGTTAAAATGCTTTTAAAATTGGCATTGTAAACTGTAAACCGTTTGCCAGTTATGAATATTTTTGTTCCAGAATTTCCCAACTCACTGCGTTCATATGAACGTATCCACGGAACGGATATGGTGTTACATCTGCGAGAAAGAGGTTCACATCCGTGCTGCTCTGGCGCAAGCGTCGGTATGTAACTTGACATAGCTTATAGCCAGACAGGAAAAAGGATTTTGATATTATGATGATTTAACTAAATCATAGCTTACTATCAGGGTGTCGATTCTGCTGCGCTAACGTTGAAATCGTGTCTCAAAATCGTTTAGTGTTATCAAATTTTGACATAATTCTTGTAATTAATTTTACGTGTGAAATGCGATGCTCCAAATAACATAACATACTTATCTTATGTAAATAAATTTTATTTAATTTGAGTAGCAAAATAACTGTGTTACTGTAACCATCTGACTAAGCAATAAAGAAGTGATAATTTCTAACTGGATTTCCTTCAACTACTACGCAACTTGGAACTTAACTTTAACTTGAACCCATAATTTAACGATGTACTGTGTTAGCATGGTCAACTAAGCGCGCTGCATCGTACATCAAATGGTCCTTCGACCCGGATATGAATCGGTGTAAACCGTACATAGATAACAAGAACAGAATCAGTTAGCAAACATAATTGTGATTTTGTGTCTTAGCAATTAAAACCGTGTCAAAAATCAAAACTTCTGAAACATCATTGATACACGATTATTGCTCTGACTTAGCAGAATCGACATCCTGTTCGCGACCTTGTTACTCTATGACCATAAGCCCCTACAATTGTTGCGTTCCTCTCCACCACGCGTTGGATCTAATCGTCATCCTATTAAAGTCCCCAGATTTTAATAGCAGGGCAAGATTAAGGATCGTAGCAGACATATCAACTCAGAAAGGATCGTCACCGTATCAGATCGAGTTGTTCAGTACTATTTGAATAACTCCCTACTGCAAAGCACACTCATCGAAGTCGTAACGTAATCGCTCTCGGGATAAGCTTCCAAACGTGCGTTGTCAATTCTCCGTATATTAACTAACGTCTCTCCGTAGCCTAGCTAATGTCTCTCCGTAGCCAAGCTAACGTCTCCGTAGCCTAGCTAACGTCTCTCCGTAGCCTAGCTTACGTCTCTCCGTAGCCTAGCTTACGTCTCTTCGGTTCCTAGCTTACGTCTTTCCGTAGCCTAGCTTACGCCTCTCCGTAGCCTAGCTTACGTCTCTCCGTAGCCTAGCTTACGTCTCTCCGTAGCCTAGCTTACGTCTCTCCGTAGCCTAGCTTACGTCGCTCCGTAGCCAAGCTTACGTCTCCGTAGCCTAGCTAACGTCTCTCCGTAGCCTAGCTTACGTCTCTGCGTACCCTAACTTACGGCTCTCCGTAGCCTAGCTTACGTCTCCTCGTAGCCTAGCTTACGTCCCTCCGTAGCCTAGATTATGTCTCCGTAGCCTAGCTTACGTCTCTCCGTAGCCTAACTAACGTCTCTCCGTAGCCAAGCTTACGTCTCCGTAGCCTAGCTTAGGTCTCTCCGTAGCCTAGCAAACGTCTCTCCGTAACCTAGCTTATGTCTCCCCGTAGCCTAGCTTACGTCTCTCCGTAGCCTAGCTAACGTCTCTCCGTAGCCAAGCTTACGTCTCCGTAGCCTAGCTAACGTCTCTCCGTAGCCTAGCTTACGTCTCTCCGTAGCCTAGCTTACGTCTTTCCGTAGCCTAGCTTACGTCTCTCCGTAACCTAGCTTACGTCTCTCCGTAGCGTAGCTTACGTCTCTCCGTAGCCTAGCTTACGTCTCTCCGTAGCCTAGCTTATGTCTCCGTAGCCTAGCTTACGTCTCTCCGTAGCCTAGCTTACGTCTCTCTGTAGCCTAGCTTATATCTCTCCGTAGCCTAGCTTGTATCTCTCCGTAGCCTAGCTTACGTTTCTCCGTATCCTAGTTTACGGCTCTTCGTTAACGCCCCTTCTGCGGCCTGCGTTGCCGAACTTGCTATCCATAGAGAAAGTAACTACTCCGTTTTAAGTGCCAAATCTTAAAACTAAATGGTTACTTCTTCTATGACTGATCGAACTGTTACCACCTTGCGGTCAACCACTGATCGGTGAGCCGTAAGCATGGCGTCACCTTGCCGTCCGATCCGAACGAACTGGAGCTGCTTATCCGCTTACGGTAGGTAGACACCTGTTTGGCGGCAATCCGAAAGTTGAGTCGGTATCGATCCCTTTTCGAGTTGATGTGACACTAATAGTCGCTCGTCGTGTAAACAAGCTCAAGTCTCGAATTTAAGACTTTTATACTTTAGTATCTTATAACTTACAACACTCGTCCTGGACATGTTGCTCTTTCCCAGACACTGTTTGACATTCTTCTCCAGTTGTAACTTGTTGCGCAGACGAGTCCGGACTCGACGTCGATAGAGGGCCCCTCGTTCGAGGCGGCGACACTCGGCCTCCACTCCGACGACGACCTGGAGGTGGACGACATGGAGTACGACGACGACACGCGGCCGAGAGGTGAGTGACTAACGACACGCGGACGAACTGCTACTTTTTGTATATGTAAAGGAAATCTTACAAAAAAAGAAGAATGCTGGTTACACATAAAAGATATAGGACACTGGTCCATGTCCATTCGAACAGGAGACTTCTGTCTAAAAAGGTCTTCCACGCGCTTGTGTTTGCATGTTTTATATATTGTTCACAAGGATATTAAATACCCTACTAACACCAGGTGCGCTCAAAATGTGTCCCAATCAAGAAGTGCTTGAACTCCACTCAAGCACTTCTTGGTTCACAATCACGCGCGGATCGTTGAAAAGTCAAGATGCCGCAGAACTCCGTGAAAAACTGCGAAAAAATACTGATACCTGGAAAATACTGTACTTTTACTTGACGACCTCCGTGGTCGAGTGCTTTGTACGCCGGGTTTCATGGTGTCGCCGACTCGAGAGGTCCCGGGGTTCGAATCCCCGTGGGGGCGCGCAGATGTTTGTGTGATGAATACGAGCATTTGTACTCCAGTCATGGATGTTCAATATGTATTTCTATAATAATATACTTATATATGTACAATATATGTATTCTATCCGTTACCCTAGTATCCCATAACACAAGCCTTACAGTGCTTACTTTGGGGCTAGGCTAATTGGTGTGTGTTGTGAAAAATAAATAATAAAATAAAATAATTACCTGCATGTACCTCATAAATTTTATAACCTGCTAATAAGTAGCAATAAATAGCATTAAGATGTCGAAGAAGACTGATGATGAAGAAATACTGTACTTTAGTACGTAAAGTTTGGTTTTTTTTGACAGGTATCTAATCAATGTTAGTTAATTTAACGCATTTGAAGCAAATTTTGTTCTGATACTTACTATGAACTGATTTAATAGAAAATATTTGTGATATTCAAATGCATGATCGGATTCAATAGCCGTCTCCTTTCCTCCCTGTCCACCTGCTTTATTGCTTACATCTGGAATTGCGCTTAGAGTTAAAGAAATAAGGTCTTTATTCTTCCTCTTAAAGCAATAAGTCGTAAAATTATACGAGCTTGCGTTTCGAACTGTCACAACTCTTTGACGCATGCGTTCTAATTAAGTCCCTACACAGTTATGTATTAAAGGTGATTTTCAATGTTTAATAATGCTTTGTATTGTTTTAACAACGTGCTACGTGCAATCATTTTACGGTGCTCCGTGGATCGTGCAATGTACCTGTTGGACAGGTTTCGGGCACGATTTTATTCGTAATATTTTATCTAGGGTATTTAATATCGTTGAGAAGGTGCCGCCTTCTCAGGAGTTCTGGGTATAGAAATAAGGTTAAAAGAATTGTTCATTTCATGCGAGTGTCACCCAGTCCATTCTTATGTGCAAGGGCTAGGCTAATTGGTATGAGTGTTAAAAATATTTATTAAATTATGTTATCAATATCAGTATATATATATATCTATTTCCCCTCGGGCTCAGGTCTGGTGGGGCTCCAGAACATGGGCAACACTTGCTATATGAACGCGGCACTGCAGGCCCTCAGTAATACGGCACCGCTCACTTCTTACTTCTTGGAGTGTGCGGCTGCAGTTTACGTATTGGCAGCGGATAAGAAGCCAGCTATAAGCAGGTGAGTTACTGTAAAAAACATATTTCCTTGAAGCTTGTGTTCTATTAAAAGAAAAATCATAATATAAATTTGGACAGTCTTTGTTGAAAGAATCATTCGTAGCTATATTCTGTTCACGGAAACGAATTAGTGGACCGATTTAAATCACACAATCGGAAGCCAAACATTGACCGTGGTTAAAGGAAATGAAAGTTTAGCTCTCGGTATAAGTTGGTTTCCGTGAAGATTTTATAATTATGTCTCATTTGTGTGCAGCTTTTGGTCCTTCGAATTTGATATTGAGCGTAAAATAATTTCGGCAAAATATATGTTCTTATAGCATACATGTTTGGAAAATAATGTTGTACAATCACTAGCACAGAAATCTCCTAAATAAAATAAAATATAATAAATAAAATAAAGATAGCAGGAGATAAAAACTATTTGTCTAACTAATTAAAAGATATGTTTGGCTGTAAGAACGCGTAAAGAAATTTATTTAGAAAATAATGTCCTAAATATGAGTCAGATACACTTGATAATTCGATTTTTATTGTTTACAGAGCATACCAAAAACTAATCAAAGAAATATGGAGTAGAAAAACTAGAGGCTACGTTGTACCTAACGGTATTCTTTATGGAATAAGGAATGTAAGTAATGCTAGAAATGTAATTTATACCCAAAAGGCACTTGTTACTCTGCAGACGATCATCATCATCAGCCTATTAATGTCCTCACTGCTGGGGCACAGGCCTTCCCCATGTATGGAATAGGGAGATTGGGCCATGACCCACCACGCGGGCCCAGTGCGGATTGGTGAGTGCTAAGGACTGCAGATGCAGTCGGGGCCAACGACTTAACGTGCCTTCCGAAACACGGAGGAGCTCGAGATAGTCAATTTTTAGTCACCCATCCAATGACTGACCACTGCGAAAGTTGCTTAACTTCAACGATCGCAACCGAACGCGCTAACCACGTGCGCCATCGAGCTTCTCAGACTGCAGACGATAAGCGAGAAGAACTAAAATCTAGAAACATTACAGAAATCAATCATTGATCTTGTAATTTCGATTGGAGAGAGATTTCTTGGTAGCAAAGCAGCTCTTTTATTGGTACAAGATCTACATAATTTTTACGTTTCTTGAACGAGGAAATATCCGTCAGCAAATTGTCTGTGGTTGTCGATGCTCCATTAACGAAGATACAATTTCTATGATTGATTGATTGATCCTATATGCTTTAAAGAAAACAGAATATCTAATGTTTCATAATTTCTGCATTAAGGATTTTGCATTTCTTTAAACTTGTCAGTTTTTTTATTATCGTTTTCGTAAATTCGATCTTATTACTTAAATAATAAAGTACAGTAAATTCGACTTTATTACTAATGTACAGGTTTATCCGATGTTTCGCGGATACCACCAACATGACACGCAAGAGTTCCTGCGATGTTTCATGGACCAACTGCACGAAGAATTAAAGGAACCTGTGAGTAGTTAGTAACTCCTTGTTAACGGCCTCCGTGGCAGAGTGGTATATACTCCGGATTTCAAGGCGTTAGTCGCCTACTCGTAGGGTCCAAGTTCGAATCCCGGCGGGGGCAAATATTAGTATGATGAATTAATTTGTACAGCGGAAAATATAAGTATGATAAATGCATTCATCGTGCTAATGTTTGCCCCCATCGGGATTATAGTATTATGATCAGAGCCCTAATAATAAATATAATAAAAATAACGTTAGAGTTCAAAAGTTGTTTTGAAATATGGTTTTCCAGAAATACATTTTAATTTCTTGTATTATTCAAAGCCATAAAACGTAATTTTTCATTTTATTGCAAACAAAACATCCTATGTTTTGTAATAGTCGATTCTATTACTAATAGACACACACACATACTAGACACATAAAAGACTATTTAAATTCAAAATCTTGCCATAACAATTTCTACAATTTTAATAAAACCCCTAAAATTAAACGGAAAATGCACCACTAATTACCAGTACCCTAAGCATGAACCAATATTGAATTTTAATACTTAAATTTTATCACGATTACGATAGAGAATTAAAAAAATCCATACAAAACTTCTTGACATTTGTGTTTTCAATGGTTCGTGCTACGGGTACAGGAAACTTCAGTAATATCTCAATATCTAGGTGTGGGACGCAGTGACGGACGACAAATTATCGTCTGAAGCAGACGGTGACCACCAGGAGAGCAGGATCGTTCATGTGCGACGCCGGGCTGCTTCCTCCGGAGGTAATTTTAATAAAGCATTCGATACAATGTCTTATAAGAAAATAAATAAATATCCAATATATAGATAGTAAGGAATACCCTGAGTTTGTTTCTTTTGGCTTTTGTTCATAATATTTAGATAGAAATTACTGGAATAACGTAGATCATACATAAATTGATAGACAACAATAATGGAGTACCCCAAGGCAGTGTACTTGGTCCTATGTTTTTTCTTTTGTGAATGTTTCTTATTAAAGTTTATAAATGTCATAGGATCAGCTTATAAAATAATGTACTTATATAGAGATTATACAAACTAAGTTTAAACGTAAAGCCGCCATTTTTTTATTTAGCGTTCAGTGAATTTTGTTTCCATAAGATTAATCATACTAACTTTAATATAATTTATTATTCCATTCTCTAACTGTAGGCATAAGAAGTAATAAGGTGTGAAATATAAATTTAGACAAAACATTTATTTTCGAACTATACTGCCACTTTAGTGAGTTAAAGGCCATAGGATTCTAATTTGATTACCTGTATGTAAACAAACAGTGATCCTCGCAATTAAAACAATTTATTATTATTAAACGACTTGTATGTTTGCAGCTAGTGACGCGCCGTTATTCGCGAGAATGAGGCGAAAATCGCCAGCGTCGTCTTCTTATAGCGAATCTAGAGCGGAAGGGTATTTGAGGTATGTATTGTTACGTGTCGGGATGGGGTTCGAAATTATATGCCAGTTCACGCTTAACAGTACTTTATTCACCACACAGTTTACACACAATGTTAATCACAATACACTCACTAAACGCTGTACTTCACTATACTAATCTTTAAACAATCGCACTAGAACACTTAACTGGCACTTTGACCGCCTTTGTATTCATTCCGAAATCGCTGTTGAAACTCAATTGTTCGCTGCACGGTGCCCATCGCGATTATATACGCCAATCGACGCATTCTAAAAAAGTCCCGTTATATTGAGAGTTAACTAGCACCCGCGAGTGCGTAGTACCTAATTATACGTAGGTAACGCGCATAAGTTGTAAGTGCAGATGTCGTTGCACTTTCTCCCTAACGTCTCACTGCATAAGGCTCATATTGAATGATCCGCACCACTCTACCTTTATCCAGAACATTCACGTTGCGACTCGCGGTGTTCTGGTAAAATCTGTCTCCAGTATTTTCGCGGTTTTGTTTCCTCGATTAATCTGAATTGCAATTGAGAAAAGGCCAAAGACATTAAGATGGATAAAAAATATTATTATCCGAGGCTCGAGTTGTATGTATGCCGCTTATCAAGGTATCGCCTGCTCAAAGGTTCGAATCTCGGTGGGTCAAATAGTTGCATGATAAATACGAATACTTTCACTTAAGTCATGGGAGTTAATATGCAGGGCCGGATTGATTTAAGGCGGGGCATCCGCAACAGAGATAAAAAAAATCTATTTTGACGCTTCATTAACAAGGGAGAAATGTATGCAAATCGTAAGTGGCTTGGGGTATCAGAGTTTAAAATATTCCCTATAAAATATACTTATATATATATATATATCTCACATCACTCATTAAATAAAACTAGTTTTTTAACGGGTTAATGCACGAAACTTTATTATGAAAAAAAAAATACTTCAAAAAAATCCGAAAAAAATCAAGCATACTCTATACACGTAATTCAACAATCCCACGAAGTTTCATTAAAACATTCAATTTCACCCTATATATATATCAGTATATGTTTCTGTCCGTTACCCTAGTGGCCGTCAAACTCTTATAAACTAAGCAAAATGGCCGTCAAACTCTTTTGGTTCCCGCGTTTTACAAAAACTATTATATTTCGAGTTCTACTGAACCTATTGTCATCATTTATGTCTGAAATCAATCTTGAATAGTTTGTGCATCTATTTTATATTTATTTATTCTATTTCATAAATATTGTACCGTGTATGCAGGGCAGTAATCGGCCACTTCCACAGCCAGGGGTTTTTTGATGTTGGCAGAAATCTGCCATTTACACAGTGCGCTAATTATAATATTGTTTAGGGTTCAAGGCCACGAAGCGTCGTCTAAGCACAGAAGATCGGCTAGCTTCGCAGGCACGCACCAGTTGGCATACACAGCTGTCAATCACCAAATCAACGGCAACATAGGTAAGTGAAAATTATTGACTTGTTGCCTCAAAATCTATTTAAAGCAGAATAAAAAATAATATAAAAAAAATAGTGCGTGCGAGTGTTCGAAATATATATTTATTTAAAAAAATATAAAGGCTTTTTTGTATAATGGTCGAAATGTCTTCACGACCTCCGTAGCCGAGTGGTTTGTACGCCGGGTTTCAAGGTGTCGCCTATTCGAGAGGTCCCGGGTTCGAATCCCGATGGCGGCAGAAATTTGTGTGATGAATACGAGCATTTGCACTCCTTTCATGGATGTTTAATATGTTTTTTTTTTAAATAAATAAATATAGGCTTGAGTTGCGGGATACTAGGGTAACAGATATAATACATATACTATCCGTTACCTTAGTATCCCGTAACACAAGCCTACAGTGCCTATTTTGAGGATAGGCTAATTGGTGTGAGTGTTGGAAATATTTGTTTATTAAAAAAAAGTGTTTTAGAACAGTGAGCCGTCGCAAAAAAAGGTTCTTTTTTTGACGTGACAACGTCTTAAATTAGGTTGCGGCTGGGAGTCACTTATGAAAAAGTGTAACGCTCGGTAACGTTACGATGAGTTTAAGTTTACATGTACAATGTTTTAGTAAACAAAATATATTTCTATAGTTAAAATTTGTGCAATTCTTATTTTCATTCAATTCCTTGTTCCTATTGTGCAATTTAATTATATTCATATCAATAAATATTCTACCGAGAAAAAGACGTTGTCACGTAAAATCTTCGCCCGTAAAACCGACTTTACAGGCAACCATTTTTTATTAATAAGTTTCACTTATTGTGTCTGACTGCAATATGTGATATTTTGTCCCCATCTACCACCAACCCCTATTTTTTAAGGCGGTACAAAGTTCGCGTACCCACCAATCCTCACTGGGCCAGCGTGGTGGGTCATGGCCCAATCTCCCTATTCCATCCATAGGGAAGGCCTGTAAAGGAGGAGCTCGATGGCGCAAGTGGTTAGCGCGTTCGGCTGCGATCGTTGAATTTAAGCAACTTTCGCAGTGGTCGGTCATTGGATGGGTGACCAAAAATCTTCTATCTCGAGTTCCTCCGTGCTTCGGAAGGCACGTTAAGCCGTTGGTCCCGGCTGCATCTGGAGTCGTTAGCACGCACCAATCCGCACTGGGCCGTGGTGGGTGATGGCCCAATCTCCCTATTTCATCCATAGGGAAGGCCTGTGCCCCAGCAGTGGGGACATTAATGGGCTGATGATGATGATGATGAAGGCCTGTGCCCCAGCAGTGGAGACATTAATAGGCTGATGATGATGATGATGACAAAATTCGCTGGGACAGCTAGTAGGCTTATATAAACGGGGTATTACAAGCAACATTTTGTTTTGGGTATCAAAAGCGAGTCCAGATAGCGGTCAACGGGACGTGGGCTCAGAATCTGAATTATCCTGCTCGAGTGAAGCGGAAGAGAGATACGAGACTTGTTCCAGCGGCGCTAGTGATATACAAGACGCGTTACCGGATAGGCCGCTGTGAGTATATCTATCTACTGAGATACCAGACTTGTTACAGTGGCGCTAGTGATATACAAGACGCGTTACTGGAGAGGACGCTGTGAGCATATTTATCTAGTGAGATGCCAGACTTGTTCCAGCGGCGCTAGTGATATACAAGACGCGTTACCGGAGAGGACGCTGTGAGTTTATATATCTAGTCAGATACCAGACTTGTACCAGCGGCGCTAGTAATATACAGGACGCGTTACTGGAGAGGACGCTGTGAGTATATTTATCTAGTGAGATACCAGACTTGTTCCAGCGGCGCTAGTGATATACAAGACGCGTTACCCGAGAGGCCGCTGTGAGTATATCTATCTATTGAGATACCAGACTTGTACCAGCGGCGCTAGTAATATACAGGACGCGTTACTGGAGAGGACGCTGTGAGTATATTTATCTAGTGAGATACCAGACTTGTTCCAGCGGCGCTAGTGATATACAAGACGCGTTACCGGAGAGGACTCTGTGAGTATATTTATCTAGTCAGATACCAGACTTGTTCCAGCGGCGCTAGTGATATACAAGACGCGTTACCGGAGAGGACTCTGTGAGTATATTTATCTAGTGAGATACCAGACTTGTTCCAGCGGCGCTAGTGATATATAAGACGCGTTACCGGAGAGGACGCTGTGAGTATATTTATCTAGTGAGATACCAGACTTGTTGCAGCGGCGCTAGTAATATACAAGACGCGTTACCGGAGTATATTTATCTAGTGAGATAGAGAGGTCCCGGGTTCGAATCCCGTCTCAATCAATCCCAATAAGCGGTAGCCCCCCAGATCGAATGTTTTTTTTTTAGATTTTTAATTCTACCAGTTTCAAGTTATCAGAACAAGGAAATGTGTTGAACTTTGGGAAGTAACTCTTAATAGACAGGTTTAAATATTTTAAGGAGTGAGGATCCCTTTTGTGTTGTTATTTTTGAAATAAATATATATTTATCTTTTTATTTTCAATATAAGTAAATTACTGTAATAATTTTATATTTATAATGATTGATATATACTACAATGTGCCTTGTCTTTTGCGAATCGCCGATATTAAGCAATGCCGCTACTAACGGAAATTATAATAGTGTTGGTGACTATGGAAGTTTAATACCTTTTGTTACTTTGGCGACCTCCGTGACCAAGTGGTTTCTACGCCGGGTTTCATGGTGTCGCCGATTCGAGAGGTCCCGAGTTCGAATCCCGGTGGAAGCAATGTTTTATGTGATAAATACGATCATTTTTACTCCAGTCATGGATGTTTAATATGTATTTCTATATAAATATACTTATATATGTACTGTATATGTATTCAATCCACTACCCTAGTATTCCATAACACCAGCCTTACAGTGCTTACTTTGGGCCTAGGCTAATTGGTGTAAGACACGACTGAAGTGAAACTTCTTTTGCTCCATTTGTATTAATATATATATATATGTATGCGTGTGTACATATACATATTTCATTTTCTAGCTATAAGAGAAAGAGAGAAAGTAAATGTGCGCGCGCACTGCTTTCTCTTACTTATATCCCCACTCAACTCCCGTTCGCCTCGCCCGTACACACTTTTCGTAACGCGTAACGCATTTGCCAGCTTACCCCCCAAATTAAGCGTGCGTAAAGAAGTTTCACTTCAATAAATGATAAAAAAAAATACAATATGAATAAAATAGTTTCCGTATGTCTGCCAGCAAACCGCAGTCGACTACTTGCGGTGGCGGCGACGGAGGTTGTGCCGGAACTAAATACCGCAGCATCATCTCCGATGTGTTCGATGGGAAACTGCTGTCTTCTGTGCAATGCCTGATATGCGATAGGGTGAGTCCTCATCGTCGTCAGACTATTGATTGTTAGTTATCGTATTACTGTAACTTAAATAAAGATTTTAATAGAAAAAATGGGTGCGTGTACTTATGTAGGCGCGTGAGAAGTTATCCTTGTTTGGCATCGTTTAAAATTAGTTTTTAATTGCATGCAAATAATTAATTACAATAAATTAATAAAAAGTCTGGAAAAGGACACAGTCAATAAAGTTCAGTTTTAGTTTGAAAAAATAAATAAATAATCAAAATATTCAATTAAAATCGCTACTGAATATAATTTATTAGAACATATGTGATTTGCACTTGTATGAAACTCAAACACGTATTCCGAATATACAAACTAGAAACATGTGGATAAATATTATAAATATGAATACCTATAACTGTTACTTTATTACAAAAAATAAAGATGTGGTTTTTGGTTCTACTACACCAATGGTCAAGAGATGGCGCTGTAGTCTCCTGAATCGCGCTTTGGTTCCGTTGTTCCAGATTAATAAATACTTTTGATAGGCCTTCACAATGCAGTCGTTAGCACCCACTAAATAGAGATTCTATTTTGTTGGTAGATTTTCTTAATGTGCGGTAAACACAAAAGTAACCCATGAGGTTGGTCGCTAAAGCGACCGCATCTTAAATGCGATGCGCGCGCATCTTAAAATTTCACTCTCATCATTTTTTTATAACGCGCCTAAAGAAGTATAACTTCAAAAATCCACGCGGACCAGGCAGCAGACGGGACTCAAAACCGCACCCTTCGCAATCCGGGCGAATGCTACCGCGGCCCTGACGAATTCTTTTTCAAGTATTAAACATTTCATTTGACATTGTGGGTTGCTCACAATGCGAAGAGATGGCGCTGCCTTGCAGCTTAAGAATAGGAAAATTTCGACGCAGTGGCATAATTGATCAGTGCATTCGCCCGGATTGCGAAGGGTGCTGGTTCGAGTCCCGTCTGCTGCCTGGTCCGCGTGTATTTTTTCTATTAAAACTTTTCTTTAGATTTAAACATCTAGCAGTTAAATGCTTAAAAAATAAAAACTTAATTAAATAAAGATTTTCTTCACACTAATTTTGTTCTTCACACTAATTTTGTTTATCACGTTCTTCACACTAATTTTGTTTATTTTGTTCATCTTCACCCTATTCATGGTATTTTTCTATTCTGTGTAGGTATCGACTCGCGTGGAAACATTCCAAGACTTATCACTGCCGATACCTTCTCGGGAACACTTGGCCGTCATACGATGCCAGCAACCGCCAAGTAATCCACAAAACTCAACACATGAGTCATGGGTGAGTAGCTTCGATTAAGTTAAATGTAATGAAATTATAATTTATACGAATTAACTTATTGAAAGTTCCTTTGAATCTTTCAATATTTTTTTCCTACCATTGTTGGTCCTATTCAGGACATCTTTTAACTGATAGTAGAATGGGCGCAAGAAACTCATTTGCATTTAACAGAAGTAGCAACATTTACATAAAATCATGTCCCTACCAATACAACCTCCACTCACATTTTGATTGCTGCGTCATACAGTATAAATACATTTTTTAATACTATTTTTTAAATTAAATCGATATATAGTAGCGCCGAGGAGCTCGACGGCGCAAGTGGTTAGCGCGTTCGGCTGCGGTCGTTGAAGTTAAACAACTTTCGCAATGGTCGGTCATTGGATGGGTGACCAAAAATCTAAGATCTCGAGCTCCTCCGTGCTTCCGAAGGCACGTTAAGCCGTTGGTCCCGGCTGCATCTGCAGTCGTTAGCACCCATCAATCCGCATTGGGCCCGCGTGCTGGGTCATGGCCCAATCTCCCTATCCCATCCATAGGGAAGGCCTGTGCCCCAGCAGTGGGGACATTAATAGGCTGATGATGATGATAGTAGCGCCGCTTGTATCGAATGTGTACATAATAAGTTTCTGTAATCGGCTGTAAGTATTTATATTTTATTGTATTACATCCACAAAAATCGCCGTAGAAACTATGTTAAATTTAAATAAATAAATATTATTGTTATTATAGTTGAGGCAGGTTATTTATTTATTTCCACCAGTTATGGTGGGTTCTGGGCTGGCTTCGGTCCTGGCTGTACGGGCCCGTGGTGTCGTTACAAGACTGCCTCGCCGCCTTCTTCAGTGCGGACGAGCTCAAAGGGGACAATATGTACAGGTGAGAATATATCCCATCACTTTTATGTGAATGATTAACACAGGCCCACAAAAAAAAGTACCCTGCGCGAAAGACTGAGGCCAAATATGGTGCCAGAATAGAGGAGTTAGTTCCCGTTTTTTTAACAACTTAATTTTTCAGCATTATTGCCGATTTCTGAAAAAAAAACAAATTTCTCTTTTTCACATACTACTTATCAATGATGAGCACACGCTGACTTATTCTAATTTTATCGCAAATATAGATACAGGCTTATGTCGAGGTGGATAGATATACTATCTGGCGTGCCCCAGGGGTCGATTTTAGGTCCACTTTTATTTTTTATTTTTATTTCTGATATTAATAAATGTTTCCTTTTTTCTAAAATAATTTTATTTGCGGATGACATGAATGTACTAAAAGTAATTCGTAGTTCATTGGATGTTATCCAATTACAACAAGATCTTCAACGGTTCGAGTAATACTGTCTTCTTAATAAGTTGCATCTTAACATATCAAAATGTTTTTATATGACATTCACACGAAAAACTCATATAATAGAATCTAATAGGGTATTATCCAAATTTTTGAAAACTGCTTATATTTAAAGATTGGGACAAACGGTTAATCAGAAAAATAAAAATAAATTAATTAATGTCTTTTTTCCCCCATTAAACCAAATAAAGTTGGATTTATTTTTAATGGTTTTGAATTTGCCGCTAAAACGCTCGGTTCGATGATGGGTGTATTCCGTAATATAAACCAGTATACTGGCCAGTGCCAATGACGTTATGAATCGACGCTATACTGGTGAATAGGGATGATGACTAATTTTTTTTTCTTCGTTTATCAGGTAGATTATCAAAAAGTATTGGACACGTATTTTTTCTTTTTTCACATAATATAAACATTGCAGAGATATATTGATTTGAAAAGTCGCATGACGTCACGTTTGAGTACACTTATAAGGGAAAATTCCCTCAAAAGTGACGTCACGAGCCCCTACTCCCAAACTTTGACGCGCTATAACTTTGTCATTTTTTGGTTGATTGCCCAAAGAAAAAATACGTGTCCATCATTTTTTGATCATCTAACTGACGGACTAAATAGAATTTCGTTTACTGTACCCCGTCATCACCCCTATTGTTCCGAAATACACTGACGTCATAAATTGACGAAATATTAAAAATAGTGCGAATAAAGAAAAATTTTTTATTCATCACATCAATTAAAAGGAATTCTTTTTGTTTCGGTGCCATTATTGTTCTTTAAATAATAAATAAATAAAATTCGAATGTATCTCACGCACGCTCGGTCATACGTCATATCCGTTTTCCCTGAACATTAGCGAAGATGTTAGCGTCCCTAAGAACTTTACTTCTCATCCTGCAAAATCTTAGTTTGAATTATCATGTCATCTCAACGATACTAAATACCCTAGATACACCAACACGAATAAAATCCTGCCCGAAACCTGTTCAAAAGGTACATTAGACGATCCACGGAGCTCCGTAAGACGATCGCGTAGTCAAAAACAATATAAGGCATTATTTAAACATTGAAAGTCACCTTTAATGTATACTGTATAAGGTCTTAAATAAAACGCATGCGTCAAAGAGTTATGACGGTTCGAAATGCAAGCCCGTAAAAAATTACGACTTATTGCTATATGCGGAAGAATATAGACCTTATTTCTCTGACTCTACGCCCAATTCTGAATGCACTGTTAGCAATATAGCAACACGGAGCTCTGCGGCAACTTGACTTTTCAACGGTCCGCGCGTGACTATGAACCAAGAAGTGCTTCAAGCACTTCTTGATTGGGACACATTTTGAGCGCATGTGGTGTATCTAGGGTATTTAATATCGTTGTGTCATCTATATAAAAGACATTTTCCCCCCATACAGTTGTTCTCGCTGCAACAAGCTCCGTAACGGAGTGAAAATGTCCGGAGTCGTCCGTCTACCGGAAGTGTTGTGCGTACACTTGAAGCGGTTCCGGCACGAACTAATGTTCAGCGCTAAAGTCGCAGCCCGGGTCTCTTTCCCCTTAAGAGATCTGGATATGTCACCATACACACATAAAGGTGAGTTTTTGTATGTAGTTTTTATAGCTGTTAATGGTTTTATGGAAATACTAGCTGTGCCCCGCGGTTTATTAGGGATATTTTTCCGCAGTAAAACTTAGATTATGTGTTAATCCAGGGTGTCAGCTAACTACGTACCATTTTTTTTAAATCGCTCCAGCCGTTAAGACCTGAAGAAGTAACAAACATACACACTCACAAACTTTCGCCTTTATAATATTATTGTGATAATGTTGTATTACTGCACTTATGTGAGTTGTTGTTTTGGTATTAAATCAGCAATAGAATTAATGGCTCAATTGCACTTGGTCGTTAGCCTGTATTCGGGTGCACGAAAGACATTACTCGAATTCGGGTGCCCGAAGCAATATTTATACAGTAATTCGGGCTGGAAGACGGTCTCCGCTAAACAAAACGAAAACTACCCGAATACGGACGTACTCGACTCCGTTCATTTATACTTAGTCGTTAACCCGAATTCCATTGGCACTCTTATTCGGGCTAACTACTAAATGTAATCGCGTCATAATAATAACACGAAAGAAATCAGAATTATTAACTCTAGTATTAATATCACAAAATCTATACATCATCATCAGCCTATTAATGTCCCCACTGCTGGGACACAGGCCTTCCCTATAGATGGAATAGGGAGATTGGGCCATAATTGCTAACGACCATAGATGCAGCCGAGACCAACGGCTTAACGTGCCTTCCGAAGAACGGAGGAGCTCGAGATAGTATAATTTTGGTCACCCATCCAATGACTGACCACTGCGAAAGTTGTTTAGGTTCAACGATCGCAACCGGCCGCGATAACCACTTGCGCCATCGAGCTCTCAAAAATCTATACAAATGAAATAATAAATGCGAAAGTGTATCTATCTGTCTGTATGCTACCTCTTCACACTTAAACCACTGAACCGAATTAGATGAAATATGGTATATAATATACGTTTTAAAAGAAAATGCTGTTATTGTTGCTGCGCCTAGTCACATCAGTACCGTTAGCACAAACCAATATCGAATTCGAGTGCCAAATGTCACTGTCAAAATGTGTACTGATTTTCAGTTCTCGTTATGTCCCTTGTGGCGCTACTGTTCAAGCTTCCATAAAAAATATGGGATTGACATTTCGCACTCGCCAAACTATTCGAGTTCGATATTCTATGTTTTTTTCGGGATCAATTTTGGTTCCTCGGTTCCTGGGACTTTTTGTGCGAGATTATGTTTAATTCTTCGTATGCGTTTTTAGATCCAATTGTAAGCGATCAATTATGACGAACAAAATCTAATATAATTTTGTCCCATGTCTGCCCAGGTTATTGTTTAACTATAGACCACGTTTTGTGACGAGGCGGGAAATTTTAAGATTGTCTGGTGTTGGAGAAAGCTTTATTGCATATTTATAATTATAGTACAGAGTGTAGATATATTAGAAACGTGAATTATGTCAAATAGTGTTCAAATATTTGTAAAACCTATACTTTACTTTTCTTTGTATTAAATAAATAATAAATAAATATTTCCAACACTCGCACCAATTAACCTAACCCCAAAGTAAGCACTGTAGGCTTGTGTTATGGGATGCTGGGGTAACGGATAGAATACATATACTTTTACATATATAAGTATATTTATATAGATATACATATTAACATCCATGATTGGAGTACAATTGCTCGTATTCATCACACAAACATCTGCCCCCACCGAGATTCGAACCGGTGACGTCTCGAGTAGGCGACACATTGAATATTCATCGTCCTCATAATTCATTAATGTTCCAATTCATTAATTTCTCTAGAGTGCACATCGAAAATCAGTCGTTACGAACTGTGCGCGGTAATAAGCATTGTCCCTTGTTTGAGCAGGCTATTAAAGTTTTAAACCAAATTTAACAAAAGTCCACGTTGTGTGACAAGACGGGATAGTTTTGAGATTGTCTGGTTTAGAATGCTTTAATTTTTATATTTGTTATCTTAGAGTGCACATCGAAAATCAGTCGTTACGAAGTGTGCGCTGTAAAAAGTCTCGCGGGCTCTCCTTTCTGTATGTATAATCCGATTCAACTAAGAATAGGACCGACTGGGTGCCATATTGTGACGTCATAGCTGTCAATTCAAACCGAATAGGTAGAGTGAGCAAAAAAAAGTTTTTATTTAATAAAATTTATTTACTAAGATTGAGAGTAAAAACAACCGAATTTTAATAATATTCATTTATTAAGACTGTGTGAGAAAAAACATTAATCAGAATCTACCTCTTCAATTCCGCTCATCTCTGCATGACCGCCGGAGTAATTATGAATAATCATGCACTATTACTAGGTCACATACGAACATGGATCCTTTATGTAAACGAAAGTTTTAAATCGAGTATCTGAACGCAACTTAAAGTGACATTTGGTTGACGATTTAGGTTATCAAGCATTCATAGCCAAAGCTCAATAAATGAAAAATATCAACCAATATTAATTATTATTTGTTTAAAAATGTATGGTTTTTATTCTAGAATTAACTGAGTGCTAAAAAAGGGTTCCAAGATTTTTTTGCAAACTATACTTTTCAAGTGACATTTGACAGATGGAGGTCATTGGCTTTCCTATTCTTATTTGAATCGCACTATAAACAGACAAGAATTAAAATATTGGTTGACGTCTAGAACAACTATTTCCAATTTCCCTTACCTTTACTAATCTATATATATATATATATATGAGTGAGTTAAAAAGTGTTCTAATATTTGTAAAACCTATACTTCAACGCCTTTTTTTCGTTTAAAATGTTCCAATTCATTAATTTCTCTAGAGTGCACATCGAAAATCAGTCGTTACGAACTGTGCGCGGTAATAAGCCACGCTGGCACCGCCGGGGGCGGCCACTACACGTGCGTGGCCAGGAACCAGCGCCACTGGTACACGTACGACGACCAGTGCGTCACGCCCGTGTCCACGCACCAGGTGCTGCACTGCGAGGCCTACGTGCTGTTCTACAAGTGAGTATAGTGCCCCACACTACACGTGCGTGGCCAGGAACCAGCGCCACTGGTACACGTACGACGACCAGTGCGTCACGCCCGTGTCCACGCACCAGGTGCTGCACTGCGAGGCCTACGTGCTGTTCTACAAGTGAGTATACTGCACCACACTACACGTGCGTGGCCAGGAACCAGCGCCACTGGTACACGTACGACGACCAGTGCGTCACGCCCGTGTCCACGCACCAGGTGCTGCACTGCGAGGCCTACGTGCTGTTCTACAAGTGAGTATAGTGCCCCACACTACACGTGCGTGGCCAGGAACCAGCGCCACTGGTACACGTACGACGACCAGTGCGTCACGCCCGTGTCCACGCACCAGGTGCTGCACTGCGAGGCCTACGTGCTGTTCTACAAGTGAGTATAGTGCCCCACACTACACGTGCGTGGCCAGGAACCAGCGCCACTGGTACACGTACGACGACCAGTGCGTCACGCCCGTGTCCACGCACCAGGTGCTGCACTGCGAGGCCTACGTGCTGTTCTACAAGTGAGTATAGTGCCCCACACTACACGTGCGTGGCCAGGAACCAGCGCCACTGGTACACGTACGACGACCAGTGCGTCACGCCCGTGTCCACGCACCAGGTGCTGCACTGCGAGGCCTACGTGCTGTTCTACAAGTGAGTATAGTGCCCCACACTACACGTGCGTGGCCAGGAACCAGCGCCACTGGTACACGTACGACGACCAGTGCGTCACGCCCGTGTCCACGCACCAGGTGCTGCACTGCGAGGCCTACGTGCTGTTCTACAAGTGAGTATAGTGCCCCACACTACACGTGCGTGGCCAGGAACCAGCGCCACTGGTACACGTACGACGACCAGTGCGTCACGCCCGTGTCCACGCACCAGGTGCTGCACTGCGAGGCCTACGTGCTGTTCTACAAGTGAGTATAGTGCCCCACACTACACGTGCGTGGCCAGGAACCAGCGCCACTGGTACACGTACGACGACCAGTGCGTCACGCCCGTGTCCACGCACCAGGTGCTGCACTGCGAGGCCTACGTGCTGTTCTACAAGTGAGTATACTGCACCACACTGTACTGTACTGAACCACACTGTACTGTACTTCACCACACTACACTGTACTGAACCACACTACACTATACTGCACCACACAACACTATACTGCACTATAGTCGAATCAATGGCAGTTCATATTATGAACTGTTACTTTTACTCACTTTTAGTGGTAAAAGTTTAAGATAGATGGTGGTGGCTGGACTAAGCCACAATTTAACAACAAATATATAGATTGGAGTCATTTGTCTACCTTGTTATAAGAAAATACGCGCCTCCATTGCGTTTCATAGAATTTCCTCGCGCAAGTTACTCGATGTGAAACACAATGCGCGACGCATGATGAATCGCGTCTGTTATTCGACACTAAAACATTGTGATATTAACAAGTATTTATTTTACCTTATATTTTTTTATTTTACTACTAACGACCGCCCGCGACTTCGTAAGCGTGGAGTTAGTTAGAAATAAAGGTTCACTGCGCGTTCCCCGTAGGTGATAGCGTAATTATATGTAACCTATATGTTGACCCGACTAATAATATTCGTGCCAAATTTGAAGTAAATCATCATCAATCAGTACTTTTTGAGTTTATCCCGGACATATATACAGACAAACAGACAAAAATTCTAAAGTCTATATTCTCTCTTCTTTTAAAAAAATATTCAATGCACAGTTTTGACTTTCCTACCATTTTATTATATGTATAGATACGTCATAATGAAGTAATTAAAATTAATTTTATCTACTTTGTATTTCTCGTTGTTAGGAAAGTGAACCCGCAAATGGCCGTGTTGAGACAGAAGGCCGCTGAAATATTGGAGTCGACGAGCGTCGAGCCCAACGACATCAAATTCTACGTCTCCAAGCAGTGGATCAACAAGTGAGTTATTTACGGCTTTCGTCCCTCGTTTGCCTGCTTTTTAGGGTTCAGTAAATATACAAAACATGATAAGGGAATTTAGCTGCTGACTTGACTACTGTCAAGTGTACTATGTGTTAAAAATAAATTAAGTAACTGCTAGTAGGATTTGACACAAAAGGTTCTTAAAATTAACTAATAAATATAATGTAATATTTCAAATATATTGCGTTAAGTTCGAACAAAAACTCGGAATTAATACATTAAATTTTATTATTTGTGTTATAACAACTTTGTAGAAATACCAATAGGCTAGTTGACCCTTTTTGGAAAAAGGTTTTAAATGGTGAATAAATGTTCTATTAGACCGAAAAAAAATGTATTGTATTTTTTTGAGACCTAGAAAGCTACAAATCTTTAATTTTAAAATAGAATTTTCATGGACATACAACAACGCTGTCGGCCATTTTAGTCTATAGATTGTCTATGCTATGATGTCAATTATAGTAAACAAAAACTCGTAAGCACGTAGAAAATAACTTATCTGAGTTTATAATAAAAAGAACACGATTTCTAATAAATACCACGAAAAATAAAGTAATTATCATTATTGTATTGTACGAGAATATAAAAACACATCCTTGAAGACTCCAGGAATGTTATGGATTAAAGTGCCGAAAGAAATTAACCTACGCAACTTTATTACACTTATTCATATGTTGTATCAGTTTTATGTTTATTACTACATTGTAATACTAAATGCACTGTACTTACATAGATGCCTTGTCGTTTCTCTGCTCCGCAGAGCAGAACTCGGGGTTTAGTGCAAAAAATTCACCAACCACAGATTTGTGCTTTCTGCTTTCACAAAGCCGGCATCCATAATTAGTTTTGTCAAAAAAAAAAGTAAACGGAAACTTTTCTAAAGTTAAAAGTGTTTTAAGATAAATTTATTCAGACTAAAGAATCCACCCACAATAACACGCGAATGACATTTAGTTGTTTACTGAAAGAGACGTCACAATCATGGCGGATGTGGCGAACAGCGTTTTTAGTGTTTAAAAAATATAGACTAAAAAATATTTTTTTAAATTAAATTTCTACAGCAATCTTCTGCTTTTATGAAGTGAAATCGATATATTTAGGTTCCTTAGACCAAATACTGTAAGAAATAAAATTTTATTTAATACAATTCGATATGAGTCAACTAGCCTATTATGCAACATTTCATGTTCTCATTATATAGTGTACTAGTGGCCCGCCCTCGCTTCGCTTCGGGGTACAATTGATCAAAATCCTTTCTTAGCGGATGCCTACGTCATAACATCTACCTGCATGCCAAATTTCAGTAGTTTGGGCTGTGCTTTGATAGATCACTATGTCAGTCAGTCACCTTTGAGTTATATATATATAGATTACTGTTTTCGATGTCAACATTTGGGTACACAATTCTAAAAAGGTCCGTAACTTTAAATACAGTACCCCTATTACGAACCAATATTAAATTCAAATAGTTTGCGAGTACGAATTGTAATTGTCAAATTTTATTGTATGGTTTGAACAGCAGCGCTATAACGGACGTAACGAGAACTAAAAATCAGTATATATTTGCAATGCAATGACATTTCGGACTCGCAAATTATTCGGATTCGTTATTGGTTCGTGCTAAGGGTACTGTACCCCTAGCACGAACCAATATCGAAATCGTATCGTTTGCGAGTCCGAAATGCCATTGTCAAATGTGTACTGATTTTTCGTTCTCGTTACGTACTTTGTGGCGCTGCTGTTCAAGTTTCCATACAAAATTTGACAATGACATTTCGGTTTGCAAAGTATTAGAATTCGATAATGGCTCGTGCTAGGGGTACCCCTAGTATGAACCAATATCGAATTCAAATCGTCGAATCGAACAGCAGCGCCACAAAGTGCGTAACTAGAACTAAAAATCAGTACATATTTTACCTTATTAATATGACGAATACAATAGGGTATTTGACAAGTTTTAGAAAACGATCTGACGTTATTGACTAATGTTTATGGAGTCCGTAAAAAGTGGATATTCATCATTTTGTTGTGTATTTCAGTGAAAATATCCAAATCAAAAACTCCATTTTCAAGTTGCCGCTAAAACGTTTCTCTGGACAATATGGCGTCTTACTAGTGTGTGACGTCACACGACTGTTATAAAAACGTCAAACGATACAATGTAATGTAACTTTAACCAGATATTTACTTGCGTGTGACGTCATTTTAGGCACGGCCAATTCCAAGCGTTTTGGGTCACGTGATAGTAGATAAGAAAACTATTATCTTTTTCGTTAGTTTTTAATAAAATTATGAATATTTTTATTGTAAAAATAGTAAAAACCCCTGCCAATATTCATTCTAAACACAGATGCTAACAATTGGCGCTTTATTTTTAACTCTGTCAAATAGCCTATTATTATAAAAAATAAAACGGAAATTTATTTAGCCGCAAAAGTGGCGTAAACAGTACTAATTAATAATCAATCTATCAAAATCATTTATTCAGTTTAGGCTGTTACAAGCACTCATGACTGTCTAGAAGCTACGCCATCGGTTCGTAAATCTACGGCGGGAGACCTTGTACTGAAAAGAACCGGCAAGAAACTCAGCAAGGGCTGTTTTTTCTCTCTGTTTTATTATTTACAGAGTCGTCAAGTTGAAAAATGACTTGACATTAATGTGAAATATACTTTAATTGTTCTCCTGTATAGTGCGATTCAAATAAGAATAGGAAAGCCAATGACCTCCATCTGTCAAATGTCGCTCGAAAAGTACGGTTTGCAAAAAATCTTGGAACCCTTTTTAGCACTCGACTAATTCTAGAATAAAAACCAAACATTTGTAAACAAACAATAACAAATATTGATAATTAATATTGGTTGATATTTTTTCTTTTCACTTATTGAGCTTTGGCTATGAATGGTTGATAACGTATCGTCAACCAAATGTCACTTTAAGTTGCGTTCAGAAACTCGATTTATAACATTCGTTTACATAAAAGATGCATGTTCGTATGTGTAATAGTGCATGATTATTTATAACAACTCCGGCGGTAATGCAGAGATGAGCGGAATTGAAGAGGTAGATTCGGATTAATGATTTTTCTCACAGTCTTAATAAATAAATATTATTAAAAATCGGTTGCTTTTTCTCTCAATCTTAGTAAATAAATTTTATTAATTAAAAACTTTTTTTTGCTCACTCTACCTATTTGGTTTGAATTGACAGCTATGACGTCACAATATGGCGCCCAGTCGGTCCTATTCTTAGTTGAATCGCATTATATTTTGATTGCTGTGTCATACAGTATACTTTAATACTACTCTCAATAAGGTTCAACACATGGGCTGAGCCGGGGCCCATAGACAACAGTGATTTCGTGTGCTGCCACGGCGGCGTCAGGCCTGACAGGGGGAGGCATCTCCCCCACCTAGTGGCCTGTCTACCGCAGCCTCTATGGGAGTTTCTGTACGCACAGTGAGTGATTCTAAAATATATTTATGTATTCTCTCGAGATATAATTGAAAAATCTGTTACAAGTAAAATTACTTGTAACAGATTTTTCAATTATATCTACCTAAGTTACCTAAGAAACTTGAAAATCGTGTAAATAAAATTGGTGCGAACAGTTATAAATAGTAAACTTACTACACCCCCATATGAAAAATTGATTTATATTCTTTACAAAATATCTTAAAACGGCGCATAATCGTAAATAGCATTAAAACTTACTAGAAAAAAATCCACTGGAAAATTTTACTAGAAAAATTCCAATTGGTCCAGGAAGCAGACGAGACTCCAACCCGCATCCTCCGCTATCCGAGCGGCTGCACTGACCAATAATGCTACCGCGACAATAATGGCCGTGTCGATTTTTTTCTATTACTTCTACGGCTGCAAGGCGCTATCTCTTCGCGTTGTAGGTAACCCACAATGTCAAATGAATACCTTTACAAATATTAAATATTCGGAAGAAGAAATAGCAATTGTAGTTAAATCTTTTAAGCATTTAACTGCTAGGTGTTTAAATCTAAAGAAAATTTACTAGAAAAAGGTCAGTGCATTCTCCCGGTTAGCAGAGGGTGCAGGTTCGAATCCCGTATATATTTAAATATTGAAAGTCACCTTTGTCATGCGTTTATTTAACAAATATTGATTAGATACCTGTCGAAAAAACGACACTTTACGAACTATAAGTATTTATTTCGCATTTTTTCACGGAGCTCTGCGGCATCGTGACTTTTCAACGATCCTCGAGTGGCTGTGAACCAGCAAGTGCTTGAGTCGTGTTCAAGTACATCTTAATTGGGACACATTTTGAGCGCACGTGGTGTATCTAGGGTATCATCATCATCATTATCATCATCAGCCTATTAATGTCCCCACTGCTGGGGCAAAGGCCTTCCCTATGGATGGAATAGGGAGATTGGGCCTTGACCCACCACGCGGGCCCAGTGCGGATTGGCGGGTGCTAACGACTGCAGATGCAGCCGGGACCAACGGCTTAATGTGCCTTCCGAAGCACGGAGGAACTCGAGATAGTAAATTTTTGGTCAGCCATCCAATGACCAACCACTACAAAAGTTGCTTAACTTCAACGATCGCAGCCGAACGCGCTAACCACTTGCGCCATCGAGCTTCTCGATTTAATATCGTTGCATGTAAATAACAAAGCCTTAGGCAATGTACGTAGTTATCTCTTATCTATTAGACAAGTCCGTCCGTCCGTCCGTCTGTCTGTGGTGTTGTTTCAGCGGCCAAACTGTAAGAGATAGATAAAGAGAATATTTAAGTTATAAGTTAAGAATAGTCTGATAAGACTACAAACCGGATTTGAGTAACGTAGCACTTCCGGTTTTCGAGAAATCACGAATTTCAAACGAAACAAAACCACACAAAATCTCCGAAGTTCTCAATTAATTAAATACATTTTTTTTAAATCAGGTTTTGGTGAACATTTGGTTCACTGGTTTGCTAGTTTTTCTTATAATAAATGAATATGCGGTTAGATTCGGCGGCGGACCGGCAGTATCGCACGTCCACGAATGCGGAGTATGCGCGCGCGCAGCTCAACGGTTACGGACGAGACGAGCAAGGGAACTAGCCGCCTTCTGCGACCTGCACGCTATATTCCAGGTAAACACTTATACTACGTACTAGGGTAACTAATAATAATAATTGGCCCTCTTGCATTTATATTAAAATATTTAATAAAGGACAATGGGCAAAAATGTATGGACGCTGCACCCACGTCCGCCACGGCTAAAACTACATTTGTTTGAAAAGTATTATAGTCAAGATCATCTGTGCCAAAACGCATCAATTTCTATCCCGGGGGTCTTTAGTTATTTTGAGTTAAATAGGTACAAATACTATAACGAACGAACATTAATGAAACTATGTAATTCATTTAGTTAGTTAGTTCGACCCTACATAGAGGGCTCAGGTATTATGGGAGTACTTCACAAGGTGCAAGGTTGCCCCCTTATGTTATTCTATCGCGCTAGAGTAAATCCAAAAATCCCCGCATCGTTGTAGTAAATTGTCTTCTATATAAAAAGGGAGCGACCATAAATCACACAAAGTTGTCCACGCCTTCGGAGAAAACATGATTCCAGTTCATCCATACTAATTGACAAAACCGATAATCGTGTTCCAATATCCAAAGCGTGTTAGATAAAACTCAATCAAGTAGCAGAGAGCGCACAATCACAACAAAGTAAGACGAGTCGACTATTTGCAACTGCAAGTCCTTCATCATCCGTAAACCGTTTTGAAATGTCTCAGTAAAAGCAAGCGCAGGATGGTCGGCAGGCTTTGTCGTATATCTGGTTGTATAGTACGATAGGGCATATTATTATGATTACTAATAATATAAAATGAAGGTACTATAAAATGAATTTATTCAGCTACTTAAATATGCCCATGTGTCATATATATTGACTACCAGGTGTTGTGGTGATTAGTAGGTATTTGTATAGTATGAATATATTTTATGTGGGTAAGAAAATAATAAAGGAGCCAGTCTTGATCTAAACAGTGTTTCATTCACAACATGGTGACAGCGGTCTTATAAAAAATTGTTTAAAATAGTAATAATTTGTGTCTTGGTTGGTGATTGATATTTAAAATATTAATAAATACAAAAAAAAAAAAAAAACATGGAACATGCACGACCGCCCTCGGAATTATGTCTTCAAGGTGGGCCAGCGAATCGGGCCGACGCGTGGCGCAAATGGTACAAGCAATTCGTCGTGTTTTTAAAGGCATCTGGTGTTCATAAGGAAAAGACAGACGTGCAAGCCAGTCTACTCATTAATTTAATAGGTTCTGAAGGTTATGACATTTTTACTACATTTAAATTTGAAAAGCCAGAAGATCATGAAAATTTTGATTTGCTGATAAATAAATTCAATGAACACTTCGGTACAAAACAAAACACGACAATGACTCGCTTCAAATTCTTCACTAGAAATCAAGAGAGCGGTGAATCCATCGATGAATACGTCACGGCTCTGAAGATACTTACGCAACAATGTCAATTCGAACATCTCGAAGAAGGCTTAATACGCGATCGCATAGTGTGCGGAATAAACGACACTAATCTTCGTGATCGGTTACTCATAGCGGATGATCTTACTTTGGCAAAGGCAGTAAAAATATGTCAAGCAGGCGAAATGTCCGTGGAAGAAAAACGACAGCTCGAAGCAACCAAGACTGGTAATAGCTATAGTGGCATGTCATCGTCAGCGGCAGTGGATGCCGTATATGGTGGCGCAGGCGGAGCGTGGCGAGTGCGTGGCGGTGCAGCGCGGGTGGAGCAGGCCCGTTGGGGCCGGGGTCGACCCCGCCAACTGCAGCCCTCGACTTCTGGAGTCGATGATGGTGCGCGTACATACTCGAGGGGACTGCAACGCGACTCCGGTAGGCCGTGGTGTAAAGGGTGTCGGAAGCCACAGTGTGATGGTGGTTATCGTTGTCCAGCTAAAAATGCCCTGTGTTTTTTGTGTAGTGAAAAGGGTCACTTCAAAAGTGCATGTCCCAGGTTGAAGAGTAAAGTTTTCCAAATACAGGAGCAGTATGATAGTGATGATCAAGATATGTATTACGTGTCGATGGTTAACAACGTTCGAAGTAATAAGGACTCTAAATGGTATGAAACCTTAACACTATCTTCTAGTAATAAAAAGGAAATATTTAAATTAGACACTGGTTCAGATTTGAATGTCATGTCTCGAACCAAGTTTCAGAAATTAGGTTTTAAATTATCTATTTTAGAATATGATAATACGAGAGCTCAGTCTTTTTGTGGCAATCTTATTTCAATTGTTGGTTCATGTTATATAGATTGTATATATAAAAGTCAAAAGTATATTTTACGATTTATTATTTCTGAGCATGAATGTCAAAGTGTACTTGGTAAATACGCATGTGAGGAGTTGGGAATAATAAAAAGGATATTTTCTATAAATTTAGACCAATATGAAGATTTATTTCGGGGATTAGGAAAATTGCCAGGGAAATATAATATTTTAATTTGCCGAGATGCGCAGCCGTCGGTCTGTCCCGTTAGAAAAATACCTATAGGCGTGCGAGATAAATTACACAACGAATTAAATCGTATGGAGAGTTTAGGCGTAATAAGAAAGGTCACCCACCCTACTTCATGGGTGAATGCTATAGTAGTTGCGGCCAAGAAAGATGGTAGTATTCGTGTGTGCCTTGATCCGCGCCCATTGAATCGTGTAGTGCGTCGCGCACACTATCCGTTGCCGACATTAACCGATATTGCAACTAAGTTAGAAGGAGCGCAGTATTTTAGTAAGCTAGATGCTCGCTCGGGCTTTTGGATGGTAGAGCTTAATGATGAGAGTGCCGACCTATGTACTTTCGGAACCCCGTTTGGAAGATACCAATTTTTACGTCTTCCTTACGGTATAAATTGCGCATCGGAGGTTTTTCATGCCAAGGTCCGCCAAATACTAGAAGGTCTCGAAGGTGTAGAATCATTCGTAGATGATATTTTGGTTTGGGCCCCCACACTCTCCCTCCACAACGAACGGTTGAGACTAGTACTAGATAGGGCACGTCAAGCTGGAATAAAATTTAATAAAGAAAAGTGCGAGTTTTGTATAACGAGTGTGACTTATTTAGGTCACACCTTCAGCGGAAATGGTATGCAGATAGATAATATAAAATTAAAAGCTGTTCGTGACATGCCATTACCACACGACAGACCCTCCTTAGAGCGCTTTTTAGGTATGGTTAATTATTTATCAAAATTCATACCTCATTATTCGGAATTAGCATTACCACTTCGTTCGCTTTTAAAGAAAGACACAATTTGGTATTGGGATGAAACACACGATCAAGCAGTACGAAATTTAAAAGACTCAGTGTGCGACGCGCCCGTTTTGGCGTTGTATTCTGCTAACGAACCGGTTTTAGTATCAGTGGATGCCAGCTCGCGCGCGCTCGGCGCGGTGCTCCTGCAGGCTGGCCGGCCAGTCGAGTTTGCTTCCGCTACGCTAACAGACGCACAGTGTAGATACGCTCAAATAGAAAAGGAGCTCCTTGCCATTGTGTATGCGTTGGAACGTTTCCACCAGTACGTATATGGTAGGAAAGACGTTACCGTGGAAACCGACCATAAACCATTAGAGGCGTTATTTAAAAAATCATTGGATTCTGTTCCTGCGCGATTGCAACGTATGATGTTACGTATTCAATGTTACGATTTTTGTGTTGTTTATAAGCCGGGTAAATTTATGTATGTGGCAGATGCATTGTCACGGGCTCCACTGCCCGATAAGATGAAAGAAAAAATTTGTGACGAGGTTATTGAACAATCTTGTTTTTTACTAGAAAATGTCAGATTTAGCGATGTGAAACTTAACATAATAAAAGAGGCAATTCGTAAAGATACTGAATGTCAGTTAATAATAGGATATATAAAGAACGGATGGCCAGACAATAAATATAAAATTAATGAAAAAGTGCGTAGACAGTGGTCATATAGGGAGTCTTTTGAATTTGTAGGAGACCTAATTTTCAAGGACAATTTAGTTTATATACCACAAGAAATAAGAACTGAAATGGTAAGTCGAGTTCACGATGGCCATTTGGGTATAGATAGGTGCAAACGTCATGCACGTGAAGTTATGTTTTGGCCCGGGATGTCGCGGGACATCGAGCAGGCTGTGCGCCGCTGCGCCATCTGTACAGAGTGCGCGCCGCGCCCCGCGCGTCAACCGCTACAGCCTCATGTTATTCCCAATGTACCTTGGGCGAAAGTAGGCTCCGATATATTTCAGTATAATAAAAACTATTATCTCATACTAGTTGATTATTTTTCTAACTACATTGAAGTGAATCCGTTGAAAGCTATAAACAGTAAATCGGTAATAGTAGCTATGAAAGACCAATTTGCGAGACACGGCATACCCAAGGAATTGATTACTGATAACGGACCAGCATATGCGTCGAAAGAATTTAAGGAATTCAGTAAACAGTGGTGTTTTCATCATATAACCACATCTCCAAACTATCCCCAATCTAACGGTAGAAGTGAAAAAGCCGTACACATTATAAAAAATATGCTAATTAAGTCAATTTCTTCAGGTACCGATTTTTATCTAGGTTTGCTTAACTTTAGATCAACGCCAAGGGATGGTATCCGATCCCCGTCACAACTGCTTATGGGGCGTAGGCTCAATACTAGGCTGCCATCACACGAAAATAAATTGTTGCCTAGCCATGACAACACCGTGGATTACGAGTCTATACTGCACAAACAAGTAATGACTAAGAAATATTACGATAAACGATCAAGGTCGTTACCCGAGCTGGTACCGGGACAACGGGCGGTGATGGTAGATGATAGGGATCGGAAGAGGGTATGTGTGCAGTCGCGGGCACTGCAACCTCGTTCATACTTTGTTGTAGACGCGACGGGGAGACGGTACCGACGGAATAGGCAGCACCTAATTAGGGATCATTCAGTGACGCGTCTAAACACAGGTGATAAAATTGTTAAGGAAGAAAATGTAAATCGGCATGTAGAACAACAGTCAAATACTGACAGAGATAATGTGCAGGAAAACAAACCTTTTAACATGCATGAAAGTGAAGTAGAAATACCATCCATAGGCGCAAGTACTGATACAGAAAAGATACAAAGACCGGCAGCTGCGGCAGCTCGCGTAAATATAAATAAGTTTTTTAATAAATAAATAATATAATATATAAGCGATATTAAGTTTTTTTTTTTTTCTATGTAAAATATGAATTTAAAGTTCTATTATTAATACTCCATCAAACCAAAAGAATCTGTTAAAAGACATGAATTCACACATCTTTTAATGAATTTGATCTACATTCTAATTTGTATAACTCACTCCAATTAGGTATTGTTACCAAAGACCAAGAAATATCTGTTAAGTATATTGAATTTGATTCCATATTCAGAACATAAGAACAACAATAATATTAAGAAGGAATGTTAGCATGTTTTAATGTAATAAATATATATATATATATATTATTAATGTTTTATAATGTTCAATTATAAAATGAATTCAAGTGGATAAACTTTAATGTGTAAAGTATATACTAAAAAAAAAAAAAAAAAAAAAAAAAAAAAAAAAAAAAAAAAGAGGATGATGTTGTGGTGATTAGTAGGTATTTGTATAGTATGAATATATTTTATGTGGGTAAGAAAATAATAAAGGAGCCAGTCTTGATCTAAACAGTGTTTCATTCACAACACCAGGATATTTTTTACGCTGTCATATCTTTTGACTCCCATGATATTTTTTTTCGGTGTCATAATAAAAAAGGCTACTTTTTCATAGATCTATCGATTCATACTAATCACATTGTTGGCGGAGCTGGGTGCGTTTTGTCCATTGTCCTTTGTAGAATACTGAATACGATATTTTTTTGTTATTCTTTTATGGCAATTCTTCAATCTTCACTAAATTTGCGCAGTTCTGCAATAGCATATTGCATTGCGGAACCAGCTAATAATGAATTTACTACAGATACACGCATGAAGAATTCCGCTTAAAGAACCAATCATAATATAGTGTACCCTATCATTGTTATACTTTTACTTTAATCATTAACTAAATAAAATAAGTTTCAACTTGTTAGATGCACTGGTTTTAACGGGTTAGATGCACTGATGCGAAATGTCAATAAATAATTGAAATCTGCGCATCTAACCCGTTGAAACTTCTTTTATTTAATGAGTGATCTGCGTGAAAACCTAGGAAACAAATATTAATCATTAACTACTCAATTTGTAACTAAAAATATTTTTTGCTAGGAAATTTGCATTAGTGTCAGTCAGGACTCATGAGTACTATTACCATGAAAATATCAGTTGGGCGTTTAATACCAGTTAAGAAACATTGAAGGCAATTTCTCTGAAGTTGGTTTAAAACAATGTCTTATCTTTTTGTAAAACAACCGTATACCTTAAATGCATCTGCTAACCTGGAGGTCTAAAAATTCACTTCGTTACTTTGGGATGGGGAAAAAGCACAAAATAATTCAATTTATTGTCTAATTTAGATTCATTTAACCCCACGTGCAGCAAATTTGCTAAATCCATATTCAACGTAGCGGACGCGAGCTTAGAGACATTTGAGAAATAGGTGTTTGATAAAACTATTGCTGGCAAATACCGTGTGATAGAGACAACCGTAGTTAACGCTGAAAATAGGGTATTTGACCAGTTTTAGAAAACGATCTCACGTTATTTACTAATGTTTATAGAGTCCATAAAAAGTGGATATTCATCATTATGTTGTGTATTTCGGTAAAACAACCAAATCAAAACTATATTTTCAAGTTGCCGCGAAAAACGTATCCCTGGACAATATGGCGTCTCACTGGTGTGTGACGTCACACGACTGTCATTAAAACGTCAAACCATACAATCAAATGTCACTTTAACCGAAAGTTTACTTGCGTGTGATGTCATTTTAGGCTCCACCAATCCCAAGCGTTTTGGGTCACGTGACAATAGACAAGAAAACTATTAACTTTATCGTGGGTGGGTTTATTATTTTACTAAAAGTAAAATTATGAATATTTTTTCTGTAAAAATAGTAAAAACTCTTGCCAATATTCATTCTAAATACAGATGCTAACAATTGGCACTTCATTTTTAATACTGTCAAATACCCTATTGCGTATAAAATTTGCAAAATTAGACGTTTGGCTTTCGACGATTTCCTCCTCGAAAATTAGATATATGTCAAAGAAGTTTTACATAAAGAATAATAAGTAGTTATACTATGCCTCTATGTTTTAATTTTTTTGTAAATGCTCATTGAATCTCCACACTAGACCTCTTTAGTGGTGACAAAAATTTGATTATTTTTGGCCTTTTCGAGGGCTTCTAGTTTCTTTGAAACACAAGTTATCGAAAAAGGGAAAACAGGAGCGGAGCATAGAATGACTAAAATTATATTTTATGTATGAAAATCAATTCTTTAGTGATAAAAATCAAGATGAATCTGTCGAGAAATTTTGTATGAAAAATAAAGATTGCACGCCTCCCCTCTTAAACTAGCTTCTATCCATATAAACATGTCAATTCGAAAATAATGTGTGGGCTTAATCCAGTATAGTTAAATTGAGATTTAGCAAAATTGCTGCATGCGGACCTCCTAAACAAGCGACATTTTATCCAGGAACAAGAACGCCCTCGCGCTATATACGCCATCAGTATGCACTGGTTCCGCCAATGGCAAGCGTTTGTTCGCAACAAGACGCCACAACCCCCGCCACCAGTCGACAATACAGGGATCGTCACCACTCAGGTAAGAATTACACTAAAAACACACATACAGTACACTAAAACAAGGCCAAACATACTTCATATTGTTTTAAACTTTCATGGTCACTAACATTATAGCTATTAGCGGGATTGTTACCATGTACCTTGTTTTTTATGAGTCTCCGATATTTCGGCACTGTTGCAAGCGAAGTAGTTACACAGTGATCATGGCGCTTGCAACAGTGCCGAAATATCGGAGACTCATAAAAAACAAGGTACATGATAACAATCCCGCTAATAGCTATAAAACATACTTCAGTACAAAAGTACTGAATCAAAACATACTAGACTACGATAGGACTAAATCTAAACAAACTATACTAGAAAGGGACTGAATCCACGTAATTCCACTGGGCTACGATAAAACTAAAGTCCCGTACATGAGACTTTAACAAGGCTAATACATGCACACTACAATAAGAGTAAACCCAGGCATACTTGACTACATACAATCTAACTAAGACAGCAAAAAGGTCAAGCCGAGCATTATTTATTATTCAAGCACACTAAGTCTACAACAAGACTGAGTCCGGGCACACTCTACTAAGCCCAGACACACTATGTACTACAACAGAAATAAAGCCATGCATACTAGACTACTGGTTCCGCCAATGGTAGGCGTTTGGTCGCAAAAAGACAACCCCCGCCCCCCGTCGATAATACAGGGATAGTCACCACGCAGGTACGAATGACACTTAACATACACACACATACACTATAACAAGGCCAAACATAGATATACTTCACTACAAAAGTACTGAATCAAAACATTCTAGACCACAACAGGACCAAATCTCAGCACCATAGACCATAAGGAAACTGAATCCACATATATTCGGCTACGATAAGACTAAAACCCGGTACACTACATTACATTAAAGCTAATCCAGGCACACTACAATAAGACTATACCCAGGCATACTTTACTACATACAATCGTACTAATACAACAAAAAGGCGGAGCCCAGGCACCCTTCTCTATAACAATACTAAACCACTACGCACTATATAATGCACCCGTTGACAATATAGCGATCGTCACTACGCAGGTAGGAATGACACTAAACACACACTTAATGACACTACAACAAGATTATAGCACACGTTGACACTATAATATGTACAATAAAACTAAAGCCAAACGTACTAAACCACAACAGGACTCAATCTAAGTACACTATACTATCAGGGGATTGAATCCACATAATTATACTGGGCTACGATAAAACTTAAGATAGGTAAACTTAACTAAATCCAGACACTAGACTACAAAAAGAATAAATCCAGGCATACACACTAGCATACGAACACTACAATAAGACTGAGCCTAGACACCCTACACTATAAGACTACACACTGTACACCCTACACACTGTATAAAGCACCCGTCGACAACATGGGCATCATCACCACGCAGGTACAAATAACATAGCCCATTATTTTCTGCAATCCTCGGTCTATGGGTTCACCAGTTATTAACAAACATGTATCTTTGTATGCCTGTGTTTAGTTTCCGTTTCATATCAACAAAAAATATTTATGTAGATCTTTCGATCTTCAGAGACTTTTCAATTAAATGTATAGGAAATAACCTACTATTAATAAAATTTATTTATTTATTTCACATTGCTCATGTACATTATTTATTATAAGGTCTTACATAGTTAATAGTGAGTGGTACATGACCCCGTTGGGGTGTTGCAACAAACTTGAGCTTAACACTATATACATTAATTTCACGGCGCAAAAATGTTGTAGCTTAATTCATATTAAATCAAATGAGGTCCAACCAAATTTAAACAAAATCAATCCAATTTAAAAATTCATCAAGTCAATGCTCCACCCGTAATGCTCGTTAAGACTGTAGTCTTGTGTACTTCACGGAAACGTAGTCGTAAATTGAGTAATCGGGTCTGTATGTTATCTCTTCACGTTTAAACCGCTAAACCGATTAAGTTAAAATTTGGTATACAGATAGTTTGAGTCTCGGGGAAGGTCATAGGATAGTTTTTATCCCAGAAATCATCCTTTGACCGGGTAAAAGGGGTGGGGGGAGTTTGTATATGAACTCCTTCAACGTTACAACGTCACAATTCACATACTTTACCTCTTTATATCTCTTATCTATTAGACAAGTCCGTCCGTCTGTCTGTCTGTGGTGCTGTTTCAGCGGCGAAACCGTAAGAGATAGATAAAAAGAATATTTAAGTTATAAGTTAAGAATAGTCTGATAAGACTACAAACCGGATTTGAGTAACGTAGCACTTCCGGTTTTCGAGAAATCACGAATTTCAAACGAAACCACACAAAATCTCTGAAGTTCTCAATTAATTGAATACATTTTTTTTTTTTTGAAATCAGGTTTTGGTGAACATTTGGTTCACTGGTTTGCTAGTAATTGTATAATAATGTGTCCATAGCATTCTTTTGTTAGTAACAAATTAATGCATTACCTACCACACGAGACCAGTGGCAGTGGCAATTGGTGAATGTTAATTTATCTTTAATAATTGGAGATACAGCTAGGATCTACAGCTTAACTTGCCTTATGAAGGACAGAGAAGCTCGAGATAGTAAATATTTGGTCACCCATCCTGTGTTCTGCCTTTGCGAAAGTTCGAAAGTCGAGGTCCTCTTACAACGTAAACGTTACGTTTTTGTCTTTTTTTGCTTGTCGTAATCTTTACGTGCGATACTAAATAAATAAATATTTCCAACACACACACCAGTTAGCCTAGCCCCAAAGCACTGTAGGCAGATGTTTGTGTGATGAATACGAGCATTGAAACTCGGCATTTAAACCACTCGGCCACAGAGGTCGTATTAACTCGACCTTAGTTTTTTTTTTAGCAATTATTACATAAAACATCTATTCACATTTCAGGAGGTCGACGGCAAAACAACTCACACTTTGAAACAGGGCTCGGATCACGCGCAACTAAGCGAAGAACTGTGGCGATTCTTTACGGACACATACGGGGGAGGGCCCGAGGTCAAACTGCGGGCCCCTATGGCACCCCTGTCCCTCCCTCGACGGAACCCACCAACCACCCCCCATTCCGAATCCGACCGCGAAGACTACTGCACCAATTCTGACTTCAACATCAGAGAATCTATCCAAAACCAATTACAGAAGAACCAATCCCTACAAAACATCAACAGACGTCACAGAAGAACAGATTCAGATGACGACCCTTACAAATATTACAGGAGACAAGAGCCCAACGGCAACTACGATTCGGACGAGGAAATGGACACAAACCCCCCACAAAATTATGTAAATGCGGTCCGAATGGAGAACGGCGTCGACGGCTCCTCAGATCACGACGCGAATGACAACCCAGTGACAGACGCGGACCTGCCAAATTTAGACAGCATATCGCTCAAAACCAAATGGTCGAAAAGCGGCAAAGTGAGGAAAACCAAAAGAAGGACAGTGAAATGATTCTTTCTCGCTCTCGCATTCGTACACAGGCTGAGACGGATGGTCGCAGGCCGCGATGACGTTTGAACTCTCGCAACATTCCTTACTCCGGTGTGTGGACTATAGTGTTCGGTGTTTGTGCATTTAAAAATTTGGTCCCACGAGCCCGAATCGGGACTCGAGTGATACCTAATTATATTTTTCTAAATCGACTTTAAATCAAATCAATGTGCGGCCTCCGCGACCCTTCTCATTGATGGAGGGTGTTAGTATTTTTAGTACAATTCAAAACGGTTTAGTTCAAATTTCATGTATAGAATTGTTAGTACCACGGATTTATGGTGTTATTCTGGATAACGATCGTATTGTATATATAAACATATATACATCGTGTATATCTTGTAATTAAAAACTAAAATAATGATAAAGTTAACCACCCCTGCCTGTGTATAGATAAATTCAATGTTTATATATAGATGGATTATATTTCTGACTGCATTTTCTTACGTTTCTTCTTTTACCATGTGGATTAGGTATTTATTTTGTTATTTCTGGTTCTAAGTCTATATGTTATTTGTTAATTGATCAATAATAAAAAATATATTTCACCTATATTGGCTGCAAACTCTCGTTTAATTTTAGCCTTTAAGTTTTAATTTTAACTATCATCATCATCAACAGCCTATATTAGTCCACTGCTGGACATAGGCCTCTCTAATTGCACGCCACTGAATTACTAAATTTGCTATAAAAACTTGTAAACAACGAATTAGAAAGTGGTTCTACGTAAACTACCATCAAGTGGGTGGGGCTAAAAAACTGCAATCAACACGCCGGGCATGGGATTGGTTGAGATCTTATCTTACTCAATGAACGTATAGCCGAATTAATTTGCAGATGTTAGATTTGTCTAAGTGTTTTGGAATTGAAGTTTAGCTGTATGAGTTTGAAACCATGTTCTAGCGGCCTTTGTAAGACTAACGCTTCCATAACATTTCTAATTCGTTGCTTGTTGGTCCTTCGATCCAGATAAAGGAAAATGCTACAAGGGAATGAAAATCCAATGAAACCAATAAATGATGTTCGAAATATTTATTACTGAAGACCACATTTAATGTTATTATAAACCAGGTACAATGTTTATAATTTATTATTTATATCCTGCTAAATGGTTTCCGGTTGTGTTAGTAGAAACTACCGTCAATGTATTCAGTATAAATCTACGTTGAATCGGAAACAAAACTTTTAGTTATGAAATTGATCAAAATTATCCTGCGAGTTAAAAAATATATTCATAAACATATTCAAATATAAATCGCATAAATACATCTGCATCTACATATTTTGAAATGTACCTATTTCCGATTCTACATACATTGCCTGGAGATATTTTTTTTTTAATGTCAACATCCAATTTAAATGCCGTCCATTACTCAAAAAAGCGTAACAAAAATAGATCAATTCTATTAAAATATCATATATATCTAAAAATATTATTTTCCATTATAACTCAAACAATCTACAATTTTATTTATTTATTAAGGCCCCTATGTTATGTACCAAAATTACGTATATCTATTGATCAAGAGTCGCATCTTGGCTTATTATATTAAAAAAATATTATATACATAATTGGTCTCTATAGATTTGAAGGAAAATATTTTTTTTTTCTACAGTCAGATCCTAATTTTTTCAGGACAATATTATTATTGATAAAAATGTATTAAAAAATATTATATACATAATTGGTCTCTATAGATTTGAAGGGAAAATACTTTTTTTTCTACAGTCAGATCCTAATTTTTTACACAAAATGAATGTATAGACTGATTAAAAAGTATATCGTACAGACTACAGAGTATGTAGGTACTACTACTGAGATTTTATTTTCTTTAAAAATGATGAGTTGTTTTAAAAAAATTATTCATAGTTACATAGTAACAATATCGAAGAATGCCAAGAAAATAAAAAAATCAGATATACAAGACATGCTAGCTCCCTTTCACATATTGAATTTCGTTGCTGTTAAAATATACACAAGGACAAGACAATATTCGAAATCTTACATAATGTAAGCAAATAAAATACAATTATTTGGTATTACACATTACACAACGTATTGTAATTTACAAAAAAAAAACGCGAGTCAAACTCATTACAAGACAAAAATAAAACTATGCAACTGGGGTGTACTTAACATTTTTCAATTATGCATATAAATAAATCCCCAAAATATAAAAAAATGAAATAAGAACACTTTGTGTCACAAAACAATAACAGATACAATATTTATCGTCACCTGACATGTGTTAATAATTTATAAATAAATATATTATAATGCAACACATTACAATATTACGCATTCGTCATATTCAACAATACAGTGCAGTCGATATAAAAAGTACAGAGTATTTTAATAGTTTTGTATTAAACATTTAGGTAGGCAGTTACTAATGCATGGATGACAATTTTTCTGTAAAACTCCTTGACTTTTAACACTGACTGTACAATTATAAATTTAATCTCTTGTTTTAAACAAGGGGAATTCGCAACCTAATCATATACCAATTTAGCAATATTATTTTGGATAATTTAGTGTAGTGCCTTGGACACCAAAACAAATACATAGAAAAAAAATCTATTAAATTGGATACTTTCGCTATGCATAAAATACAGTGTTCAAGCTAACTCAATCTGCTCATCAAAACATGGGATTAGTCTTTGATATGTTAATTATTAAAATATATTTTATAATCTAAGAAAAAAAAAATACAAAAATATATTGCATAAATCGTTGTATATTTCTGTACCAATACTAAAGTGAGGAATAATCTACTATATTTATGTATATGTATATAAGAGATAATAACACTTTATATTTGCATTTGTACTTCTGGTATGCACCTTTATATTTAATGAATTGACATAAGACTATGAATATATTAATATTAGTATCAAGTTGGCAAATATCACTCGGTTCAAACTGCCTATTTGAGATTATAGTGCTGCTATTGTATGACTAGTGGACCAAGGACTATAGACTGATATCTTTTTTTTTTTAAAACAAAAAATCTTTCCCTAATGCAGTCTACAACCTTAGAGGGATCTAGCAGACACGTTCCTAGCTCTGTCTACTACAGTCTATTTGTATTCATTTCTCCTAACATCTGAAGTAGCACCCCTAGACACGTATCGCAGAAATCTTTCCTGATATTTGCTTATAAAAATATGTATAATCAAACGATCAAGCGACATGTAAAGTTTATTTGAGGATAAAAGATCCAGTCCCTTAAATTACATATAAAAGAAAACGATTTTTTTGCATTTTTTTTATTTTTAATGTTTTTTTTTCTCTTCTGTAACTATTACGAAAAATTTGCCAGATCTTTTTGCGTTTTGGATGGCGAATCGATACAAATTATATTATTCCGAATGCATATCAGAACACAATTTTAAAATAATAATAATCATACATATCCATTTGTTTATATCAATAAAGATTTCTATTTTTCAGCACAAATATTATAAAGTCGCAGTCGACACGACGGATTATGCTGCAAACCCGGCCTGGTTTACTGTGCTCACTCGATTTCTCAAATAGAAAAAAATACCTAATATTCTCACTAACCTAAAATAGTTATTAAATTTCTAGCCGTATGAATAAGTTGTTTTTGAGGTAGATAAAATTTTTTACAGTCCTATTACCCTAATAAGATTAGAATTATTTACATATTATATGTATGAAGCGTTTACAACATTGGATCTCACCTCTACAAATACTTTAAGGGTTGGATTACACATAGTATGCGCGCCAGGCATTAATTGCGAGTTTTCTTAGCTACCAGGAAGAAAACTCCACTTGCTAGAATGAGATACAGCTAAATTTTTCAGTTCCTGCATCCATGGTATCGCATAGGTATGTGCTATCCAATCCCCTCTCTCCGAAAATTACCTTTACTAGACGCCAAACATTGAACATAACTATGAATCATAAAAACCATCAAATTACAAAATAAAACTTAAAAGAATGTACGTATTGTGTCCTAGTGTCAGGAATGAGACTTGGGGTGACCAATCAGTGTTAAGCAGAGATGTGCTCATGATAGAAGACAAACAGAGCCACACACATTAGTTTCCTTATCAAAATGAAAGAGGAGCGCTTTCACGAAATTGAGTATAGCATAGCGCAGCATATCTTTGTATAAATTGGTCACCCATATTGTCTGGTATGAAAAGCAAATGCTTTTGAGATTGTAACAATAATTTCTTACAGCTTAACTGTAAGAGTTCCACGCTACTATAAGAAATATAAAATTTACAATAAAAACATTCAAAGAACTTGGTCACATCATTGATGTATTTGGGTGGACAATACAAATGGACGCGAGCTTATATTACGAAAACGATTTGTGGATGGGTTTCCTCAGAAATCAAATTCGCCAATCTCAAAAGCATTTTCATAACTTTAATAATTCTGAAATGTACCAAAGCAATCTTTTATTACCTAGTTATAATGTCTTATTAACGTATTTTAAGGCTTAGGCGCTACCTCCACCGGCACAATTCTGCGGCGGGTGCGCCCCGAATACGCCGCGAGTAGAATGCAATTCAAACTCAATGGCTATGAAGTTAGCGCAAGATGGGTTTCAGGCATCGTCCTACATTGCGTTTCAGTAACACAATGTAGGACGAAGCCTCAGCCTACATCATGCTCGGGAATTTGGGATGTGACATAATTAAAACTTGCGCATTGTTGAGCGCGCTGCCAACTTATCAGCTAGCCATAAAGTTTGAATCGCACTATACGCTGTGAGAAGCGATAGGCGAGCGATGATATGACGGCGATTCTCTAGCAATCCGATCGTCACTGCGTTAACATCCAAGTTCCATAGGTGTAAAAAAATACGTGACACTTTTTAACTACCTGTTCGCTTCGCTTTGGCCGTCCATGACAGTTACAAAATGTATCACAAGCCAATCACAGGCACATCAACTGGTACCGTCGACCAATAAGAACTGTCTAGGAGCGCGGTATGATGAGGCGCGGAGGATGGTAGCGGCCAACACGAAGCGAAGGCGGAGTTAATATTCGCATTGACATTCGCACTTGGAGGTGGCGCTATAGGCGGTTCCCACACTATCTGCTGCAGTCACGAGATGCTATCTGCTGCGGTATTAACTTAATATGCAGTATCTTCGATTTATTAATATTGAAAAAGATCACATTGTACCGCAAATGCTCTTGACGGATGAAGCGCAAAGATAAAAGATGCAAGCAGTGTGTTAACTGCCTTACAGAGCCTTTCATCTAAACCGCATTTAATTCAGCTAAGCTATTTGTTTGTTGATACTAAAAGATTGCCAGTGGTACTGAAATGCAAGGCACCTAATAATCCATCTGCATATCATTTCAAATACATTTCAACAATGTTGTTTAGATTCTCACTATAATTCTCCAACCTTCTGACACTTGCACATGTTCACATCACAAAACAAATTACATAATTTTGGCTCATCATAATCCCTACAAAGAATGCCAAGAAAAATGGTTCTACCAATAAGAAATTCTGAATTTTCCTGCAACCTTTTCTTATGTCTGATTAAATTTTTTTCTTTAAATTTGGTTTTGTCAGAATTTAAAGGCATGCCCAACTAGTTCCTCGTTCATCAGGAGTTTTGAACCCAATGAGCAAAAACGGTTACAACATTTTCCAAAAGGAATCATATTTCTCTGGAACTATTTGGCACATTTTCTTGAATAGTGTCAATGAATAAGTAATTTATGTTTTCTTGCCTATCAGAATACAGACCCAATTAATTTATTGTCTTACACTAAGGAGGCAATGCCTCTGAGGTATATGCATTGTTATATATTTCTTCATTGCATTTTGTTGCCAGATCAAGCCTGCCGAGTAGCCCTGGATAACATCCTGCATGTTAGAATGTGTTTGAATCCTAAATATGGTGTCTCTATGACAGTCTAACTCTGTTTGATTGCTATTTCAATGTAGCCCTTCCAAATATGATGTTATTTTGCAGAATTCAGAACCATTACTAATAGAAAAGTGTATGCTCTACAGTGTAATTACATCAAGTCAAAAGCAGCACGCTTCCCTAAAACATATTGCAATAGCGTACTGCTTCCAAGAGTCATACTTCCTAAGGCAATTCTGCTCTACGAACCCACAGTCCACGCTGAGGTCGCAACCGAAATATTTCCACAATCATGAACTAAGCACAGAGTTGGTCCCATTTAACTCCCATAAACGTCATACATGTATGCTATAAATTAAACAATATACAATTCCGAAAATACATACACGACTAGATCACATATTCATGTAGAATTCGGAAACATTTTGGTATACCTGAGACATACAAATATACAATTTGGCAATATAAACAGAGGGCGCACGCCCCCCCAGCTTCCATACATCTCGAGTCCAACAAATTACAATTGAATTACTACTCCAGACTATTTACAGCTTACACCAACCTTACCTAGTGAGGTAGTTCGGTTTTATTCACAGTGGCTAAATGCAGGAATCCGCTAGTGGGGCGGTGGGGGCGGGGGCGGCGGTTTAGGACTCTGCGCCGTCTGGAACGCCTGCGTGAAGGCAGGCAGCCGCTGTTGGCGACCCTCTTCACCCGTATACGATGGCTCGCCCTCTTCCAGAAGGCCTAAGATTTGACTCGATAAGCCAGAAGGCCCTTCGCCTGGATCCAACAGCAGAGTCTCCACATTCTCCGCATGCAGCAGATGCGTCTCTGACAACGGTTGCGTCGTCATGTACGGCAAATCTGTCGACGACTGCGGGTAGGGAGGTCCAACCATATACACTACAGGGTAACCTACAGGCAGGATTTCGCAAGTGGGAGATTGTGGCTCCTCAATTTTAATATCTAAAGGGTCCTCCAATTTGGCGTCTAAGGGTTCCACTTTTATATTTAGGTCAGGTGGGATATCAGGTATTTCAACAATTATATCAGAGGACGGTACTCTGGTTGGTGCTTCTGATGTGCTCTCCTTGGGTGAAGCTGACTTCCATATAGTGAATTCTGTACCTTCCAATTGAAATTCAGTATAGGTTTCTTCATATGCAGTGGCCTCCGGAGTTGGTTCACTAGATGTACCCACTGCAGCTGACCTCCAAGATTTATCAGGATGAGCATTCTTGACATGCCTCACTAAATGATCTTTTCGTCCAAACTTTTGTGGGCAGAATGGGCATAAAAAATCACGTCTACCTGTGTGTACCACGAGATGCCTCCTCACATCTTTTGCAGTGAAAAATCTTCGCTCACAGTAGTCGCATGTGAACTTTTTGTCAGTCTCATTTTTCACAGTGCGGCTACCTGTGTGAACTTTGAGATGGTAAATTATGTCCTGACGGGTGGTAAAAACCTCATCACATATCTTACACTGTAAATTTCCTTCCTCAGCTGAATGCAAAGCGGTGTGTTTCCTGTAACTCATTAATGATGTGTATGATTTCCTACAATCTGGTCTGTCACAAGTGTATGACTTTTTGACAGGGTTATGAACTCTAACATGATTGGTGAGGTGATCTTTTCGATTGAACGTTTTGCCACAAATATTGCAGGCGAAGGCGCGAGCCTCACTGTGGATTAAACTATGACGTACAAGCTTAAACTTTGAATTGAATCTCTTGTCGCAGAGCTCACACGAGAAAGGCAGCTCACCAGTGTGGGAGAGGACGTGCTGGGTGAGTTTCCCGGGGCTGGAGAAGCGCTTCTCGCAGGTGGTACAGACGTGGCGCTTGGTGCGGTCTCGTCGGCGGCGCTCGGAGGAGGCGGGCGGGTGTGGGTGCGGATGCGGGGCTCCGGGGGCAGGCGAGGCGGAGGCGGAGACGGAGGCGGGCGCGGCGTCGGGCTCCCGGGGCCGCCGGGGCAGCGTGGGCACGCGGCGCGCCGCCTTCACGGTGCGGAAGCACTGCTTGATGCCACCGCTGGGCCCGGGCGCGCCCAGCGCCACGTACTGCAGCTTGGTGGGCAGCTGCGAGGCGGGCGGCGCTATGAACGTCTTCTGCGGGGCGGCCGCGCGTTCCCCGCTCGGCTCCTCCGCGAACTCGGAGCCGCCCTCCTCGCCTTCACTAGGGTTCGGTGGCGGACTGGCCATCTCGCGCTCATTTTTAACGCGCTTCCCCTATTTCGCTTCTCGTGTAGCACGCGTTGTGGTCTCCGAGGCTCCGCGGTGGCGCTGGCTCGTCGCGATGGCAGAAAACATTTCTGTCACATTGACGATCTGGAAGCCCTTTTTCGTATTCGTGTCACATGTTTCTCGCGGAATTTCTGGGGATCGCGATCTTTTCAGGCTCGCTGTTGTATTGTACTAACTTCTGTGCGTTTTTATTCGATCGTAAAAAGTGCAGAAATAATGGAAAACGTTGAAAAATCGACTTTTTTCAAAGAAATACGGAGCGCTTGACATCGAAATGTCAAAATAATGAAATGAAGCCAAAAGCCATGTCAAAAAAAGTCCGCCGAAGTACAGACTGGTCGTAATTGATATGAAACAGCTGCTACACCATACTTAACAGAAGTTTTTTATTTAATTGATTTTTTATTTAATGTGTTTCATTGTCATTTTTATAATGAAGAAATAGGGTTAAATATTTTCATTCATAATTCCCTCGTTAAACATACATGAACCTGAAAAAAGGGTCTGAATTGATTTCAAAATAAAAACTTTGACAGCATTCTATCCTTATCAAAATCTATAGAAAATAAAGAAGATGGACAACTCTCAAAAGTATCAAAAATAGAATAATTTACAGGGAAGTAAGCCTAGCACAGACGTTTCGTTTTTTTATGTAGTTTCTGAACTGAACGTTAGGGCCTACGCTGCGTTAAGCGGGAACACGTAGCGGACGTCCGCTTGTTTGTTTCATCTTATTTCACTCACGTAGCGCTGCTCTAGCAGCGTTATGTGAGCAAGATTTCCCGTCGCAGCGCTGCTCTATGACATTTCATATGCTTCGTCGTTAACGTAGCGACGTTGAGCAACGTCCGTTAACGTAGCGCAGGCTCTTAGGTTTTTTTCAAGTCTGCGAAAGCCTTAAGCCACAGACACACACAGCAAATAGTCGCGGCGAGTAGGCATTCGCAGCTAATAGCCTGTTACATACAGCGAATAGTCGCTACGAGTAGGCATTCGCAGCGAGTACCTCCTCTATCTATTGCTTTTAGTAGAGTAGTTAATAACATGTGAGTTAATTTGAAAAATTAATAAAAATATTCTTGATTCGTCGTATCTACTGTTTCTTTTTCTTAATAACTTAGTTATTCATTAAACTACCTACCGCAAGTTTATTGGACTTAAATTCAAGCATACAGATTTTTTAACTCCACGCTTCTGATTTTTTGGTTTAGCAGATGAAAACACTGAATAGCCATTCCGCTCAGCGCGATGCTCTATACTGCACGTTATTTCTATGGCATAATTAAATTTTCACACCTACAGACTGTCGAAATTCGCGTGTACTCGCTATGTGTGACAAGCAAGCAGCGAATTGTCGCTGCAACTGTTCGCAGCGAATGCACTCGCAGCGAGTATTCGCTGTGTGTGACTGAAGCTCGTTTGAGCGGAATGGCTATTTGCTGCGAGTACCCCTGTTACACACAGCGAATAGTTGCGTCGAGTCGGCATTCGCAGCAAGTAAACACTGTGTATGACTAAAGCTTTCTTTCTTAACTACATTTATAACAGAACTACACTTATCTGTCATGTTGTGTTGTGACGCATCAGAAAGATATCTGTTTTATACATTTAGTATTATTGTAACACGCTTTATGTAAGTAACAAACATTTTTTAATTTTCATTTTTCAGTATGGTTAGAGTGAGAACGGTGTCGAAACATCGCGACACACAAGTATAGTTCTAACCATACTAAATGTAAAAAACCGATTGCGTCACAAGACAACACGACACATAAGTATATTTCTGCCTTTAGCCTGGGTGTATAGCATATTGATTCGATTTCCTGATCAGGAATTCTGATTCTGAAACCTGAATGCACGTCCTCGTCCACATAAAATGTTAAACAAGGCGAACACTATTCTTTTTGAAGTGAAACTTCTTTAGGCACGCTTGACTTGGGGGATAAACTGGCGAATTTGTTACGATTTCGCGTTACGATTAGTGTCATCGGTGACTCATCGGTAAACAATGAACAATGTCCGTCACAAAATACATGAATCTAGCGCTTGGTAGGTGGTAACGGACCCAGCGCGGATTGGTGGGTGAAAACGGACCCAGCGCGGATAGGTGGGTGATAACGGACCCAGCGTGGATTGATGGGTGATAACGAACCCATTAACCCATTAACCCGTCCTGAGGAGCTCGATGGCGCGAGTGGTTAGCGCGTTCGGCTGCGGTTGTTGAAGTTGAGCAACTTTCGCAGTGGTCGGTCATTGGATGGGTGACCAAAAATTTATTATCTCGAGCTCCTCCGTGCTTCGGAAGGCACGTTAAGCCGTTGGTCCCGGCTGCATCTGCAGTCGTTAGCACCCACCAACCCGCACTGGGCCCGCGTGGTGGATCATAGCCCAATCTCCCTAATCCATCCATAGGGAAGGCCTGTGCCCCAGCAGTGGGGACATTAATAGGCTGATGATGATGATGATGATGAACGAACCCAGTGCGGATTGGTGGGTGATAACGGACCCAGTGCAGATTGAAGGGTGATAACGGACCCAGCGCGGATTAGTGGATGACAATGGACCTAGTGCGGATTGGTGGGTGATAACGGTCCCAGCGCGGATTGTTGGGTGATAACGGATCTACTGTGGATTGGTAGATGATAACGGACCCGGCGCGGATTAGTGGGTGATAATGGACCCAGTGCGGATTGGAGGGTGATAACGGACATAGCGCGGATTGGTGGGTGACAATGGACCCAGTCCGGATTGGTGGGTTACAATGGACCCAGCGCGGAATGGTGATTTTTTTGCTGGATTTGGAGCATTTCATTTAATTTTTCATTGATTGGAGCTAAAGAAGTTTCACTTCAGTCGTATGGTCATAAGCACACTCGCTTTTTTTCAGAATGTAAAAACCTAACGTTCGGCTCAGTAACTACCAAATAAAAGAACCTAAATGTCTGCGCTAGGCTCAAGGGATTCCGAATCTGAATTCCTGATCAGCATCTATTCGCTAACGTTTTGGACATTTACAGTGGTGTCGATTCTGGCATATTTCTATAAACCTAAACTTGGACAACAGTGCATTCTTGTCATACTGTACTGAACAGAACAGAATGACAAGGAGATACTGATGTTAAATTTAGTTGTAAGTTTAGAGAATCATGTCAGAATCAAAACAAGTGAACAACTAAAGAGAAAATTGCATATCCATCGAAACTTTTCAGAACAAGTATCTTAATGGCGTTATGATAAAGCAGTAGTGTATCACTAAATAACTCTGTGATAATCACTTCCATCTTTCAAAAGCAAAATTAGCGAATAGGCCTAGTGAAATAGGCCTACAGGAAACCGTACATATGCGCCCAGATTTAGGTCCATTTATCAATAAAAGAGATCTTTCCTTAAAATGTCTTGCACACGTAATGCATTATGTGGAAATTCTATGTTATAGTAAAGGTATGGACTCGTATTGATCGGATATAAATCGGATCTTTCGTATCAATGTGCAAATTACACTTGAGGGTTCGTTAAATAACTTAGGCGGCCCATTCATACAAAGACCGTTCTACACTACGAACTTCAGTCGTCCAAAAAATAACCTGAATAGGACATGTTATGATACAATCGAATTCTCTTCATTTGACAAAATATATTGGAGTTTTGTGTAAGCTTGGCTCTAAGTTCAGTGGCAACACAAGCAGCTCATGGCGCATTTACACAACATAAGTAATCTGAACATTCCGTTTTGAGCGTGAAGTATATCATGTAGTCACTGCTGTTCAAGTATTTTTAAACATAGTGAATTTATCCGTAAAACCATAAAGCATTTATCAGTTTTAAGTTGAAGAAGTGTTACAACATGAGTACAGAGGGCACAGAGTTAAAGCTACATTCGGTGCGTTTGTGAGTCAGCACTGTGACACTGGTGTCGATACTGACACGATTCTCTTAACTTAAAACTAAATTTAACATCAGTCTCTCCTTTTCATTCTGTATAGAGAATGACAAGGATAAACTGTTGTCAAATTTAAGTTAAGCTTTAGAGAATCATGCTAGAATCGACATCACTGGTGGCCCGTCGTCGCCGCCAAGGGAAAGAAACGTCTCTTTGCGTACACGCCATCAGTACTCATCCAAGCACGCGCAATGTTGTGTGAATCGTTGTCTCTGTGTCTTCTCTACTCATGTGTTTGCACGCAAGCCAATTTTTGGAGAGCGTGTATAAGCATTAGATATCATACGCACTAACGCTAGTTACATGGGTGGTGCATGCCAATACAACCCACACCCTTTACACAAAGGAGCTTGTACTCCTTGGCTACAGGTTGACAAACATATGAATACGGTATCAAAAATTCGGCTTTTAGAAATCAAAAAAGCCCTTTGGCTTTTTAGATTTCTAGAAGTTTCTTTAAAATCCACTCCTCCACCCGACGAATAGAGTTCATTTCAGACTGCAAGACTTAGTCCCAACATGGTCGCAATGTGGGAATGTGATGTTAATGAAGTTGTCTTTCCAACGCATGGTCGTTGGACGTGAATGGCCCGCTTAATCAATATCAAACTATAGAAAGTCTTCAATCTGTGGCCATCTCTGTTATCTGTGGGGGGCTAACTAACTGTCAATGTCACTAAATAACCTTTAAAATAAATTGTCATTTTATTTCAGTTTATTTATATCTTGAATTAAAATAAAATACGAGCTTTAAAAAATATATTAAATTAAATTACTGTCTGTGTCTCGATAAGCAACTACGTACTCAGGTTAGTATTTGAAGTAGATATTTATACTACGCCTATTTATTTTTTTGAAACTGCCTTGAGAGTAGCAATGTCTTGCAATTTTTGGAGGGACAGAAAATCAGCTTTAAAGTGCTTTTCATACTTGCATCTTCTAAATGGATTAGCGATCTTTTAAAAATGTATCTTGATATCTTTAGCTGATATTCATGGATCAGGATACTCAAAACCTGCATTCTTAAATATTTCATGGTTTCCAAGTAAACTTAGATAATTTTAACATTTTAAATTCCAAATGCTTTAATTAAATTAACATTTATTTTAATTTTAATAAAAATAAATGCCTTGTCATTGCTGTATAATAATAATAATACTCAATATTTTCAAAACTCACCAGAGTACAACAAAATAGACCTTTTTTTTCTCTAATCTTTTTTAGAACTATACATTTTATTATACATAATTGTAAAATATGATGATGTTCGTAAAACCATAACATTACCTGTTGTCATTCATAAGAAATTAAGTGAAGTTTATAATTGATAATACATACAGAGCAAAAGATCTTTGTATTTGATGATGAATCAGAATGAGATATAATATGTGACATTCTTACACACTTTAACACCTGTGTTTGAAAAGTTAATGAACTTAAAAAGTAATACTGTTTTGTGATTTATATGAAAATGATATGTATGTGTGTCCCTTATATCTCTCTACTCATAACTGCGGGAAGAAAACTTATAAAAATATATCTAGGTTTAGGAAAGGATGAACAAGGTCAGTGGTATAAAAGAATACCTCTTTATGATGAGAATACCTAGGATGTAAATTACTAAACTGAGCATAGTACAGCAAAAGGGAATTATAGTATAAAACTATATTGCCGCCATACAAACACAAAACATTAAGCAGGTATAATTTGACTGCCAACATATTTGTCTCCAATGATTATCAGTTTATCTGATAAAATTTGTTTTTCTTCAGAGAGAGTGTTGAGTAATGGAACATGTAGTTTCTTTATGTCTGTCTTATCTGTGGTCTTATCCGTATCCGCCCGACATACTGTTGTCATACTGAAGAACTAAAAGGTGAATGTTATTGTCTTACTTAAATAAAGAATCCAAGAGAAGTATAAGTGTTTATTATTCTAAAATAAGCAAAATGTTTAGAGGTTATGGGCCCAGGCCCACACTCTGAAGACAATAAACCTTTTTAGAAGAAAATTCATAATAGATGGAAATGGAATTAAGATTGAACAAACTCAGCGTGACTCCGTTTGCTGGCACCGATTTCAATAATTGGTATTTCCGAATAAGAACTGTCTTAGAAGAGTATGAACTAGAAGAAACAATCGGTGACAGTGTGTCGCAGATAAAAGATTTGAAGAATTGTGCCAAAGCCAAAAGCGTTCTGATGCATTGCTGACAGCCACCTTGAAGTTGTAAAGGACTGCCTAACTCCTAAAGAAATAATAGAAAAGTAAAAACAACCATTCAAAGAATGGGAATCGCATCGCAAGTTAAGCTAAGGAAAAAGTTTCTTATTACATTCGATAAAAGTGTGCGAGAACTGAAAACATCAGACGCTAAACCCAGTGAAAGCGAGATAATATATTATTATCTATGCCTTCCTCATATAATAATGTTGTAACAGCTTTGGAAACTATGTCCTCGGACATGCTAACATTAGAGTTTGTGAAGAGTAGATTGCTCGACGAACAAGAGAAGAAAAAACATTTCAACAATGAATACGTTCCATTACTCTACAGAGAGCTCATGAAATACTCTATTTTTCCCTCAGTAGCAAACATTTTCTAAGATTTAAATCTTCACACTAGATTAAAATGGTCAAATAAAAGCTATTAAAACAGTTTAATTTATTTTACCTGACGAATTCTATATTAAAAAAAATGGGTGCGTGTACTTATGTAGGCGCGTGAGAAGTTATCCTTCTTTGGCATCGTTTAAAATTAGTTTTTAATTGTATGCAAATAATTAATTACAATAAATTAATAAAAAGTCTGGAAAAGGACACAGTCAATAAAGTTCAGTTTTAATTTGAAAAAATAAATAAATAATCAAAATATTCAATTAAAATCGCTACTGAATATAATTTATTAGAACATATGTGATTTGCACTTGTATGAAACTCAAACACGTATTCCGAATATACAAACTAGAAACATGTGGATAAATATTATAAATATGAATACCTATAACTGTTACTTTATTACAAAAAATAAAGATGTGGTTTTTGGTTCTACTACACCAATGGTCAAGAGATGGCGCTGTAGTCTCCTGAATCGCGCTTTGGTTCCGTTGTTCCAGATTAATAAATACTTTTGATAGGCCTTCACAATGCAGTCGTTAGCACCCACTAAATAGAGATTCTATTTCTATTTTGTTGGTAGATTTTCTTAATTTGCGGTAAACACAAAAGTAACAGCATGAAGTTGGTCGCTTTATGCTGTTAATTTTTTGTGTTACAGTGATGCGCGCGCATCTTAAAATTTCACTCTCATCATTTTTTCATAACGCGCCTAAAGAAGTATAACTTCAATACAACCTAATCGTCTAAGAAAATATTGTATATCCAGATAATTGTTTACCCTGGACGATATTTATTCACGGATGCAACATGATCACTACAGCGAAAAACGATTAAATTTATTATCTTTGTAGAGTTCCAATAGTTTATCAGGAAAATATTCACTGATTTCTGATCTTTCAGAAATCACGGACGTTGCCGCTTCGTCTACAGTTCTTCTAATATATAAAATTCTCGTGTCGCGGTGTTTGTGGTTAAACTCCTCCGAAACGGCTTTCGCGATTCTCATGAAATTTTTTGTGTGCATATTGGGTAGGTCTGAGAATCGGACAACATCTATTTTTCATCCCCCTAAATGGTAAGGGTAATCCATCCCTAAATTTTTTTTTAAATTTTAGAGATTTATTTATGATACAGCATTAGTAAATACATACAACCCTAAAGTTTCACTTTTCTACTACCAACCCCTACTTTTTTATGGCGTTACGAAGTTCGCTGGGTCAGCTAGTATGTTATAATGATGATTGAAATTGTAATGAAATACTAACATAGGTTAAGAAAAATTGTTACTAACATATATGAGACCATGTGTTGAAATAAATGATTTTTATTTTTATTATTTTATGTTCTCTTTGTTGTTCAGAATCTAAGTTTTCATTGGCTTTACTTTCCTTTCTTTCATTTATTTGTAACATCAATTGTAGAAAAAATCTCCAACATATCGTAATTATCGAATATTTTGTGTTCTCCCTTAATATATCTCAGTTGCCTAATCTTTACCACTGAACTTGCTTTCCTTCCGTATCTTTTTTTTTGTATTTAACAAAATTTTGTCAGACAGATCTTTTAAATCCTTAAACTCGTCATATTTGAATTCTTTCACAACGTATGGGTTCTTAACAACTTTCTTATTTCCTTTCTTAAATACTTTTTTTGATCTTGCTTTCTTAAACACATTTATCCAATCTGGCATAGAATAGATATCTGTATATTTTCTTTCAATTACACATTTCAAATCTAAACGTAAATATTTGGATAGAAAACTGGCTACTTCCAGGATGTACAGTCTTTATGTTGACGAATGTAAAAAGAAAAACAGTACACCCGTATCTGAGATAACATATCGAAGAATTTTTTGCCAAGATTTTAATTTGGTATTCTTTAAGCCGAAAAAGGACCGATTTGCACTAAATATGCACGAAGTGATGCTAAAGATAAACCGGAACTCGAAAAACAATTTGCAGAGCACAATGCCAAGAAAGAGGATTATAACAAATAAAAGAAAAATTATAAGATAAGAGCCAGTGACAATAAGGATTTTTCATCTGCTTCTTTTGATTTACAAGCCATACTTCAGATACCGAGTGGAGACATCGGTCTTCTATATTACACGCGCAAATTAACTGTATATAATTTAACAGTATACGAGAGTGCTCTTCCGAACCATGCATATTGTTTCACTTGGTCAGAAGTAAATGGCCAAAAAGGTAGTGCGGAAATAGGTACTATTTTGTACCATCACTTGTCGAATTGTATTCCAAATTCTGTGACTGAAGTAAGCCTGTTTTCTGATACCTGTGGCGTGCAGAATCGGAATAAGAACGTAGCGGCCATTCTACTCTGGGCTGTTCAAAAAATAGAAAACTTGCACATCATTCAACAAAAATTCCTTGAAAATGGAAGTTCACACATGGAGGCAAACTCAATGCATAGCGCTATCGAGACAGAACAAAAATATACAGATATCTATGCCAGATTGGATAAATGTGTTTAAGAAAGCAAGATCAAAAAAAGTATATAAGAAAGGAAATAAGAAAGTTGTTAAGAACCCATACGTTATGAAAGAATTCAAATATGACGAGTTTAAGGATTTAAAAGATCTGGCTGACAAAATTTTGTTAAACAAAAAAAGATACGGAAGGAAAGCAAGTTCAGTTGTTAAAGGTATGTCTATAATTACGATATGTCGGAGAATTTTTCTACGATTGATGTTACTAAAAAAAATGAAAGAAAAGAAAGTAAATCCAATGAAAACTTAGATTCTGATCAACAAAGAGAACATAATTACGAAACAAGAAATTAAAAGAAAAGGACTGTAGACGAAGCGGCAACGTCAGACGTGAAAGATCAGAAATCAGTGAATATTTTCCTGATAAACTATTGGAACTCTACAAAAAACCTTTATCTATAAGTGCAGCAAAAAGAAAAAGATTTGCTGCAATTATGCAGCATCATCGGTGCGGTGCGGTGTCATCCCAGATGAGTGCCATCCCTGGTTCAACAATTTGAATAGCGATGTTGTTTGTAAAGACAGGGTACCTGACTGCACAGTCTCTGATGACAAATCTACAATATTTTCGGATGATGACTAACAACAACTCAATTAAAATAGTTATTTATTTAAGTACCTTACCTAGGTATTTTATTTTTACTGCTTTAATTACTTTACTTTAATTTTCATTATAATTTTAATGACATATTTTAAGTTTTACCTAACTAGAAGATGAAAATGCTTAGTCATAAACAAATGAGAAGTGTATCGAAGTAAAAAAAATCCTTGTTTGATTAGAAAATAAAACAATTCGATTATGATTATTATTTCAATTACCTACCGATACCTAAAATATGAAAAGCTTAATGTAGTTATAAACACAGAAGATATTTTATTAGAATTTGGAGGTGCCTGCGACTTTGCTTATTTTAATAATTTCCAAAAAAAAATTCTTTCGGAATTTTGGGATTATTTTCCCAAGCAGGATTCTTAGGGTACATTTAAGAAAAATTTTAGACGTCTGACTCAATAATAATGGTCTTGCTTTGGTATGTCAGTCAGTCGGTCGGTTACTCAATAAAAATTAAGTTTTTCCTTTATTTATTGAATTTTTTGGCACCTATTACTGGCATTTGAAGCGTGCTTTTATTGTTATTTAAACTAATCAAGCTAATTTGTTAATTAAGTATTTCGAGTTATACATTTGATAACAAATGAACGTACTGAAACTGTAATTAATTACTTGATTAACTTTTTAGGTTCTTAAATTTTCTACAGGGAAAACAAATCTTGATACATTTTCTCTTGTAACTTCATAAGGGACAACTGTATAGGTATTTTTATACCACGGTTAGTCTTAATTGACTAAAATTAAAAAATTAAAAAACAATTTGTCGGGATTTGCTGTTTTCCTATTACTTTAAAATATATAGACATTTATCAGTTCTCAGGGAAAACCAATTAAATGGGTGACCTTGTGACGATTATTGAAAATTTCATCACAAAGCTTATTGCTTTGTGATGAAATTAAACCTCAATAGACATTTTTAAATAGAACATTTTATCAATGTACTGATGTTATTAAGTAATAATAACAGTATAATACTAGAAAGAGTATTTACATCCCCATAAACTTTGTAATCGCGATATCTCCGTTTGCACTTTTTATAATTTACCTAATTGGTTTTCGTTGTGCGGCGGCACAGAATATATACACTACGCGAAAAGAAGCGACACTTAAGCATGTGTGCTCGTAAAATCGCCCGCGGCTATGTGTGGGTGTCTGGAGGTGCGCGGGGGCGTTGCGCGGCGCGCGGGGCGTGGAGACGGCAGTCGCCGACTGCCTCGACCGAAGGGATGGCAGTAGCGAAATAGTAAAATAATAGCGTTGCACTGCATTGCACACACGGACTGACTACGCTACGCAATCTTATTATTATTTAGATAATAATAAGAATTATAAAACGAATCGAAAAAGGAGAAAACATATAAAAGTTAGCAATTTGTTATAGTACCTACATTAAATGATTAAAAATTGATTATAAAATCAAACCTATCCTTCATTATTTACCCCAGTATCCTTGAATCAGTTTACATTTAATAACTTACTATGCATAAATATTCATTGGCACAAGTCTAAATTCCAAGTTCAACCCTAGCGCATACACGCTCCTGCTCAAGGTCACTGACGCTGGAACTCTCACGTACACAGAGTGTCACCGCTGTGGCGGCGGCGATATTTAAGTACATAATGGTGTCGATTCTGACATGATTCTCTAAACTTAGAACTAAATTAAACATCAGTCTCTCCTTCTCATTATGTATAGAGAATGACAAGGATACAATGTTGTCGAATTTAAGTTAAAATATTATTAATACTGCCCTGATTCTCTTAACCAGTGGTTCCTAATTACTTTTTTTTCTATTTACCACTTGAAGAAAGACTAAAGTCATGTCCCCTTATTGCAGGAACTAAATAAAACATTTGATTCAATATCTTAGTTAAGAGACTGCTGTGCGTACCCCTAGGGGTTAATGTACCACTAATTGGGAAATAATGCTCTAAACTGAAAAAAATTAGGCTTAGCACTAAGATACCTGACTAAATTATAATAAAAACAAAAATCAGTATGTATATTCGTTAATGTAAAAAAATATTAAATTTAATCTTATCCGGTGCATAAAACAAGTCAATTTACCAGAATATGAATCTCTTAACTTCTAACCAGTAACTTACTAATCTTTTTTTTTATGTCTTCTGTTGCAGTCAATATGTCGGATTCAGCACCAGCATCGGCAGCACCTTCTGGCACCTGTGTGGCCGATGAACAGCGTTCCGGAAGCACTGGTATGTTGTTCACTATTATGTTTACAACTATGCCTACTCTTGGATAGTATAATCTCTGTAGCTACTGGCTATTGGAAATATTCCTGTATAAAACAGAAAAATCCTAGCAATATATCCAGTTAATGGCTATATGCTTTTTTTAAATCATGTTCATTAAATTAGCTACAATAAAACATTGATCGAAAAACAAAATTGAACTTATTTTTACATGAATTACAAAGCTTTCAGAAAAAAATAGTTTAATATGACATTGACAAAATGCATTGCACTTGGGGCTTTATTTCTTTCATGTGTAGAGATGGGATTTAAAATAGGGATAAAACCCAGGGAAAATTCCCGAATGAGATAATATTCGGGTTTTTTCATATTTAGCATATGTAACATCTAGGTAATGTGTAGATACATATATTACATATATATATCAAGTTGTTGATCTATCTATCTCACACATTGTTTTGGCTTTGTACTGTACGCACTTGTGTTAATTTTTTGGTTTAATTGACGACTTGGATTTGTTTTGCGGACTTTTGATTGCTTAGAGATTAAATACGTGATTTACTTTGGATTGACAACAACTGCTACTCTCACGGACTTTGATACCTACTTCTTTTTATCAACGGTAACTTATCGGTAAGTTTGAGCTTTAATAATTGTTACATTAGACTACAAAGTTTAAGGTAAACTAAAGAAGGTATCATCAACTTCATTATTGCGAAACCCGAGCCTGTTTTTGTTAAAAGCCTTAATATTCTTACAAACCGTCATACAAACCAATATGTATCTCAAGAGGTAATCAAAGTTATAAACGTGTATGGAGGTCACAAATATGTAACTCTTATCGGAGATAACGCAAATAATATTCAAAGAGCATTTCAGATAGTATAAAATTCGTATTCACATTTAATACTGCTGAGATGTGTAGCACATATATTGAATTTGCTATTCGAAGATTGCTTAAAACTAGAACCTATTAATGCGTTTATATTAGACTTGCAACGAATATTCGGTTACTATTCGGTATTCGGCCTATTCGGCTGCTTTTACTATATTAGGCCGAATACCGAATATCTACATATTATTCGGCCGAATACCGAATACTTAAATAATATATTTTGTCATAGAGAAATAATTGGTAAAATGAAAAATTAAAATCGATTCATTACGTATTTATTCATATTTTCATTTCTGTTATATAATCATTTAAGTAGTCATTGGTACATAACACAGGTACATAGTGATCTTCTGATTAGGAAAAATGGAGGATTCTATGTATTTGAATTATTGTGGTAATCAAAATTAAGAAGGGTAAGGTTCTCATTTTCTTCTTATTAAGTAGTCATTGCTACATAAAACAGGTACATAATTTTATCATTTTCTGTATTAAACAAGTTAACAGTTTTTAATTCATTCAGTCATGTGATGAATGGTTACATAATCGCAATAATTTAAAGTTTACACGCGCCGTTTTTGGACATATCGCAAAAGTTGGTTTTGTCATTTAGCCGCATTTTAGCTTGAGGACGGCAGATTAGAACAAAACAAAGGAGCGCGAAACAATCACGTCTGTACAAGTTTTTGGCGTTAAAATCCAGCCGAATACTTTTGCCTAATATTCGGCTATTCGGTGAGGGACCTCGCCGAATATTCGGTATACTGCCGAATATACTATTCGCTGCAAGTCTAGTTTATATCGATTGCCACAGATATGATAAAAGCAATAAAAAGAAACCAAAGTAGGAGGGCTTTAGTAGCTCAGATTGTAAAAACGGTTTGCACTTTTAAAGTTAAATATAGGAAGTATTTATTGGATGTGCAAAAGTTGTAATGAGGGTCGCAAGAACGCCATTTGAGCACCATTTCATACGCTGTAAATTTTTTAATTTAATTTAATTTTTTTGGCTTTCATTTTGTTTCATAATATTTATCCAATTGATTTCAGTAATTTGACATTTGTATTTAAATCTTTTATTCTTAATTTTTATTTTAAATGATATTTAAGACATAAAATGTCATTTAATTTAAGTAGGCTGCTGCTGAAAATCAGTGTCGTGGCACATGTTGCCTCGACATATTGAGCAGTGGCCTGTTTGGTATAGAATCACCTATATGTAACCCAATAAGTTATTTTTATAATTTGTGCCAAATAAACATTTTTATTATTATTATTAAACAAAAGGTTCAGGTGTAACATTAAAATTGCCAGGGAAATCTGCTGGGGCAGTTACTGCACCGCGTAACAAAGTTTAAAAAAATCCAAAGTTGCATTACAGACATTAGCTGTTTAGAAATCAAATCAGAAATCAATATATTAAATTGGATGTATAGTACAACTCTTTTGAATCGTCCAAAAATTTTTTTTCCCTACCACTCGTTATGGACATATTTTTTAACTGCGGAGAAAAACGAGCGAAAAAAACTCCACAACATTAACAGTCTAATGTAATAACATTTACAAATCATTATGTTGTTACAACGTCAATACAATTATGATTTATTTAATATAGAAAACCTGTTGGAATGATTGGAACAGTTCAAACCCAAGCATTTTTGTCTGTAATATAATCAGACACTTTGTAATAAGCTTTTTTAATGTTCACGAAGATACCACTATTACAGACAAAATAAAATCAAATTTACTGGATTTAAATTTCTGGACCATGGTAGAAAATTGTATAAAACTACTGGAACCTATAACAGATAAAATTTTCAAACTTGAAGGCAAATTGCTGAGTAGGGTTGCAGTACGTATTCTAACTGCTTCCTGTACTTCAGCAGCCACTGAACGATCTTTTAGCACGCATGCGCATATACATCATAAACGAAATAGATTGACTATAGAAAAATAGCTTTTATATTGTATTATTTTAACCTGTTTAGTCTTTTTTTACACAAACATAAAGATGATGACAATGACGATGATGAAGAGCCGTTATCTACAGCCAGGCAATTGTCAAGTCCGTTGGGTAGCCCATTAAATGACGAAAGACCTTCAACATCTCGTGGAAATACACAAGAAATAGATTTTTGCAATTTTAATAATATATTAAATGATCATGACAGTAGCGACAGTGACTAAAAGTTTTTAATTGTAAAAAAACACTTTTGTAAAGTGTAATAAATAATTGTTAATCTGTCGTTGTTTTATTTATTTTTGGTCAAAGATTCTTAAAAGTTGCAAATAGATATTCTTTCTGCAATTAAGTAACATTCCATCACAATGCGCAGGAAAAATCTTATGATAAAACAAGAAGACATGTTTTTGTTGTTATAATAAACTGCTGGCTTTATTTTAGTTCCTGAATCAGGCTACATAATTTTGACGTTTCGAACAACAGGCAACAGCTAGTGCCCTATATACGCTGGCGCAAAGTACCTATTTTTCGTTGCATTTGTTCTAAAAATAAAAAAAATGAATTTTTATTAAGATCGTGATAATTACATTAAATAAATGAAAATACCCGTCTATTGGGTTTTTTCCCACATAAATACCCGTTTTTTCCCAAATGGGAAAAAAACGGGTATTTCTTTTTTCCCAAATGGGAAAAACCTGGGTAGATTCCCATTGGGTTTTATCCAACTGCCCATCTCTATCATGTTTGACTATGCCCTTTGTTTAAACTGGTAAGGTCATCAATAATCAGCATGTTTTTAGAAATGAATGTAGGCTGTAGATACCACATGTCACTAATAACTCTAAGTATGTAACTAATTAATGTACAACTCGTTTAATTAGAAATCTAAAGTAATTACAATAAGGTAATATATAGGCATGTCATATTTACTGATCAGCTGAAAATATATTTATTATAACATTATCTAATAATTTTGCAATTTGGCGATTTGACTTTTTTTCTATGTGCCTATTTAATTTGACATTACTTTTAATTATTGAATTGGATTTGAACCTGCTACGAATGTTTAATGTTTTTATGAATGACTTGCCAGCGTTTTAGATTTTTCTGTAAGCCGGCATGTGTAATTGGAATAAATAAATAAAGCAGCCATCGGGAAGATAATCATCAGTCCCTTTGTCCATCAGAGTTACACTTCAGTTCCCTTTACGAGCCTGCGCTGCATGAAGCGGGTCACGGAGCGGGCGTCCGCTCCGCGTGCAGTTTTTATATCATTTTCATAGAGCTCTACCACAGAATATATACACTACGCGAAAAGAAGCGACACTTAAGCATGTGTGCTCGTAAAATCGCCCGCGGCTATGTGTGGGTGTCTGGAGGTGCGCGGGGGCGTTGCGCGGCGCGCGGGGCGTGGAGAGGGCAGTCGCCGACTGCCTCGACCGAAGGGATGGCAGTAGCGAAATAGTAAAATAATAGCGTTGCACTGCCTTGCACGCACAGACTGACTACGCTACGCAATCTTATTATTATTTAGATAATAATAAGAATTATAAAACGAACCGAAAAAGGAGAAAATATATAAAAGTTAGCAATTTGTTATAGTACCTACATTAAAAGATTAAAAATTGATTATAAAATCAAACCTATCCTTCATTATTTACCCCAGTATCCTTGAATCAGTTTACATTTAATAACTTACTATGCATAAATATTCATTGGCACAAGTCTAAATTCCAAGTTCAACCCTAGCGCATACACGCTCCTGCTCAAGGTCACTGACGCTGGAACTCTCACGTACAGAGAGCGTCACCGCTGTGGCTCTACTGCGCGGAAACACGCGGAGCGTGCGAACGCTAAGAATCCACGAAGCAGTTATATCCTCACCGGCCGCAAAGCTGTTTTATTTCAAAACTCACGAGCAACTCCTGCAGCTGCTGCGGCTGCGGCTGCGGCTGCGAGATAGGCTGAAACCCTCCGCGTCTGCGGGTGATAGCGTCCCGCGTGATATTTGGTTTTACTTATTAAGAGCCATTTAATTTTTTTGCAAAAAATCGTAATTTTTGAGCGCCACGTTTTTACCCCCTGACAAAAGATTTGGCTATTTCCGATAGAAGTAAACAGTAGATTTATTTTTCCTATTGTAAGTTAATGTAGAATATTTGCAAATACTTTTTTCCTTTTTTTGTACTGATTGTTCTACTGCAGCTAGTGTAAGGAAAAAACTATAATATGCACAACTTCAAACGCCTCAATCTCTCAATAATGTTCAATAAATTAGATCAAATTATATATATATATATATTACTACGACATCAGAAATATGTTTTTTTTGTAACATAATGTATTAGAATTTTGATTTTCCATTTTCATTCCATCATAAATTATCAAAAAAAAAATCTAACCTCCCTGAGTTTTCCCAAAAAATAATGCAGGTTTACGTCGTATTTTGATATTGAACTAAATAGAATTACTATCAAAAACTTTCATAAAACTAATGTACCATCATTGAACTACTGAAATATGTATATATTTTTATAATTAGTTCATTAATAATTATTTCATAAGACTCGATATATCACCCGTAAAATGCAATATATACTAATGCAAATCTACCTACGCGCTGATCAGTACGGCAGCGGCGCAATTTTGTAAAAGGGCTCTTAAATACACTTTCACATTCTGTGTGAGTTGTCGTCCCAAAGCCGCGGCGGGCGCGAGAGAAAACGCGCCATGAGCTCGTACCCTTAATTTTTCTATCATAGAGGTAACTCTATACGCTTTTCTTTAACAAAGAAAAAAATGCTCCTATGCAGCCGTCAGCCCATCCGCTGGTTCCGAAGAGAAAATGTACGGGGGCTGCGAGGGTCCTGACGCCATGTACGTGAAGTTAGTGTCATCGGACGGTCACGAATTCATAGTGAAGAGGGAGCATGCTCTGACCTCCGGCACTATTAAGGCCATGCTGTCCGGACCAGGGCAGTTCGCTGAGAACGAAGCCAACGAGGTCAACTTTAGGGAGATACCGTGAGTTATTGTAACTTTTGTTTTATTACCTTATTAACAGACTAATTGTCTAACATGGTTGACCATGTCTTATTTTTTCTTAAAAGAGTATGGAAGAGTGTCCTAATAGTTTTTACGTAAGATCAAAAAATGCGCAAAGGGAAGCTTATTCTTTGACAAAGTAGGTAATTCCTACCAAAATAATAAAAAATACTAGCACCTCTGTGGGTACAAATTTCAAAAAATTGGTACTTGGAAAACATCAGTTATCTTAATAGACAGCAGCAAACCGGGGTATCCAGCAAACTGACAGCGGGTGTATTCCGAAATATACATCAGTATACTGGACAGTGGTAATGACGTCACGAATCCGAAGCCATATTGTACTGGTATGCTACCAAATTTTTACCGGGAAAACGAATATAACGTATTACTGAGCATGCGTGAGAAGCATTCAAATTTTATTTCTTTTTTATTTAAAGAACAATAACGGCATCCGAACAAACAGAATTCCTTTTAATTGATGAGGTGAATAAAAAATCTTCTTTATTCGCACTATTTTTAATATTTCGTCGATTTATGTCGTATTATGTCAGTGCACTGGCCAGTATATTACGGAACAATTCCCCGGTATAGCGTCGATTCATGACGTCAAAAGCACTGGCCAGTATACTGGTATACATTACGGAATACACATAGCAACTACTGAGCGCAACTTCAAAGTCAAACTGCTTTTATTAAAACTCGATGTAATAAACTCTTTTTCATTGTGCTTAAGAAAAGATCTGGGTATCATAGTGGTTACTTTAAATCTGTGGCGGTTAGTGCATTCGCCTGGATAGTGAAAGGCGCTGGTGCTAATCCAGCCTCTCACCTGAGACGAGTAGACTTTTACGAATAAAAAAAACCTATATATAAAAAATTGCCCCCTTATTAATAAACGAAGACTACGCTTGTATTAGCTACTCTGTCTTACCTTGTCTATTGAATTACAAATGGCATTTGAGTAACATGAACACCGCGTAACATGTCTAAGCTTATTTCTTGTTTCAAAGGGGTTTCGAGTTTAATAGCTAAAATAAAATTAATTACGAGATGTCCAGAAATATAAGTATTAAGATTCAAAACATTATGAATTATGCAATGTCCACTATTGGTTCTTGTTATGTTTATAACAATGTCTTGTTACATATTTGTTATTACAATGTAAAATATCTGATTTGTTAACATAAATGTCACATTAACACATACATTTTCTCCACACACCCAGTTCCCACGTGCTACAAAAAGTGTGCATGTACTTCACGTACAAGGTGCGGTACACAAACTCCTCTACAGAGATCCCGGAATTCCCAATCGCTCCAGAAATCGCCCTGGAACTGCTCATGGCCGCCAACTTCTTGGATTGTTAAATGCAAATTTACCACTGGCAACATCAATAGATTGATTACAACCATAGACTCGTAGAATGGAATAAGCTATGCTCGCACGACTGAGCGGTATTGACCAGCCCGGCTATTCGCTAACTTTTTGATATTTGCTATGTGTAACCAAAGTGTAACTAAAGAGAAAATTGCATTTCTAGTGATGCTTTTCCATCTGTCGAAAGCAGTTAGCTGATAGGCCTACTGAGGCCCAAGCACCAACTTTGGCAGTTCCGTAATCGTATCGTCATCGTCAAATTTTGTTTGTAGCAGCGCGGTATCGAACGTTTGTTCTTACGATTGACAGGGGGCGCTGCTTCTTTTTCATAGATATTTTGACGATACGATACGCTTGCAAAATTCGTGCTTGGCCTCTGATAACATGCAGGTATTTTTGCAGAATGCGATCTTTTTTCTACTATTCCATATTAAAGGTTGATTCTGTTTGATGACAAAAATGTCCGATGACCACACTTCAATATGGGCATGGGTACACAGAAATATTTTTAGCTGACTTCAAATATACCTGCTAGTTGCTTTCTGCTTAATAATACCGCTCTTGAAAAACTCTAGAAAGAGAAAGCGATGATGCAGGCAGACCAGACCATTCAGCCAATATCTGTACGGGTTTTTTGCGTTGTTTCTGTACCGTTTTTTGCTATCCCATTTTTGTGTTGTATTGTATAGATAAATCTGTCTAGAAAGGGATGCATCTACGGATGCAATACGGATTCACTAAATGTAAAATAAATTTTAATGTTGTAATCAATCTATTGTAGTTTATTATGACGTTATGAAAATAACGTTGTCGCTCTCAAGACACGAGGAAGTTTATCGGAAGAACGTTTAGACAAATGACCTAATCAGACTTTTTATATAGATTAACGCCCTTCTCCTCATATTCTTCCGCGAATCGAATTCCGCGAGGCATATATTATGTGTGAAAAACACACCCAGCTGTTTTCGAATCGAACCTAACATAAGTTTGCGATATCCTTTCAAAAAAAAATAGTTGTCTGTAAAGACCGTTTACGGACGATAGTTTTACGTGATAACGTCATAAACAAACATTGATGAAAAATAGCATAATTGCTAGCTCTGACGTCACGCGAGAAGAGAGATAAATGTGTATAAGCCTCGGCTTGGGTCGATCGTGCCTCTCTATCGCTTGTTCCGCGCTCTTGCTTGCACGCTCGGTCTCAGGCGGAACGTGATACTTTTTCGTGCGTGCAGCCGATCCTGATCGACTTATAAGACGTTATCACGTCAAAAATACCGTCACCTTATATTCATACATTTACCATCATAGGTGTTTATATTCCTATTTGCCAGTTCTCACTTTTGAGATAAAGGAAGTCGCTAGTGCTAAAGACGATGGTTCATTACTGTGCCCGAAATTTTGTAAAATGTATCGAAGCATTTTTTTGGTATGACCATTACATCTAGAGCACTGGTTTGCGATAGATTTTCTTATCTTAACTGTGACATCGGAATCTTCAGTCAAGTAGGATTTTTTTCTTTCTTTGTAATTCATAATGTAAATTTTACGATAGAATGCATAGATAACAGAATTTGCTATTTCATTAATATAAAAATGCTGCTATTAATTTCTTCGAAAAAACAATACTTATCTAAAGAAATTAGAAATACCTACTGCACTGCAGAATAATGTAAAAAATAATTTGTTCCATAATATTAAAAAACTGTATGCATATTTCAAAGGTATTAGTTTTTGTCAAATGTAACATATGATTTTGTTTGCAGATTCTCGTATAATTTGATACAGTTTCTTATACACTTTGTAAGACTCGGAATTTTCATTTGAATGTGTTTTACACCCGTTTATTTGTGTATAATAAATATTTATTTTCTTATTGTAATGATTGTTAGATTTGTCAATCATCCTCTCTCTATGGATGTGTATGGAAAACATTGAAATTCATTGAATATACTGGTGACTTTCGTAAATGTTAAGATTAAAATTTATTTTCTTACAAAAATTAACATTGATATAATATGTTCGCCATTAAATATTTTTTTTAACTCCATGGTGTATTTACTGTAAATTTTCCCAAAACGGCGGCGTTTATAATTTTATATTTTTTATTTGAACAGAAGCCACTAATTTTGTTTCATATCGTGATATTTAGTACATAGAAGCACATCCTTGTTGAAAAACAATTAAAATTCTGCATCCATGTGACGTTTATAATTCAACAAAGCTTCGAATAATGTTAATTTAATTTTGTGGTTTTGCTAATTTTCTATTTGAGCGGTTAGCGATTAAATGGGCGCTCAACTGGTTCCGATAAATTTTTAGCAAAGGATAGAATTGTGCGATGCTTTTAATTAAATTAAGTTAAGAGTTCATGGTATGGCCCTAAGACAGTGGCAAAATAATTTGTGAATATTTTTTTGTAAGCGTTATTCCTCGTGAATTAACTGGATAAGTAATTTATTTCTGAAGTGACACTCAAACTTTAACCAAACCGCAGATTTTGCTTTGTATTTTGTTAATAAACCAATTTTGTATGACGTACGCTTGTTTTATTTAATGGACGCACTGTGCGCCTCCGTAGTATAATTGGTTTTTCATTCCAACTTTCATCTCTCATTATCCTTTCTCGAGATCCCCTTTATCTCCAAATCAAAATTCATCAAAATCGGTTCAACAGTTTAGATTTAAAAGTATAACTGACAGGCACAGTTATTTCATGTTACGATATAATTTTAATGCGGATCTGTAATCGATTTTATATCCACCTCAACCTTGGTTGAAAATCGATTAAGAGCAAAATTGACGGGTTCATTATATTATGGTTACTCTGAAGAGCTGCTGTATATTTTGATGTATGGAGTGGTTCAACCCTATTATCTCTGTAGTCCCGCCATTCGCCATCTTACTGATAATATAAAAATGAAAGTTTGTATGTTAATGGTTTATACTTGATCACTTAAAACGGCTAAACGGGTTTTGATGAAATCTGGTATACATATAGTTTATGCCCTGGAATGAGACAGAATTTAAAAAGACCTGGAATTTAGGTAGCTGCAATGATTAAAACCACAAACAATGTTTCATCAGTTGTTTATTCAGTTTGATATATAAACAGAAACCGATCGACCCGAACGGCGCACGGACTGCTAAGATAATGGACTACGCGCAACTTATCATCATATACTTTGGAATGACCTGCTAACACTAATATATAGAAACTTAGACTTTACACAAAAAAAAAGACTCAAGTTACATACTTACGTCAATAAATAACTTCTGATTTCAATATTAACAAAACTAGAACGACTTCTTATTTTCTATACTTGCCCCAAAAAATAGTCAATTTAACTACTCTTATTTTTTAATTGATTTTTTGTCATTTATTAAATGAAGTTGCTCATGTTTTAACACGTATATTTAAATTTAAAAATCATGTCAGTTTACAAGCGTTACAAAAAAAAATATTTTCGCTATATTCGTAAAATATGAAATTTTAGGCAAGTATAGAAAATCGAATCTAGAGATGATCTACTTCACAGTGATGAAGAAATTGACCTTTTTACAAAATGTCAAAAAAAAATTTAGCAAGAATAAGTTTTTTTTTCTTATTACTGTTGTCAGCACTGTCAAATGTAACATCTCCCATCGGCGTGAGTATAAAATGTAAAATAACGCTAGATATTCCATTTGAGATCTAAGCTTACAATAAAACTTTGGATAATAATTAAATAATTATGGACAATCAAATTTGTTTGTACATTTTTACAATAACGAAAAAAATATTAATAAGTAAATTATAACCTCAATTCCGGTTATTCGCTGAGAATATTATTAGAAAAATGCTGAAAAAAGTTTTGTGACAGTTTCTGCACCAAAATTAAAAAAATATATACATCGCAACAATACAAAATTTAGACTAAAAAATAATACTTTCTATTAATTTCAAAGTATTTATAATTAGATTAGTTTATTATTGTTTCATGGAAGAATTATTTCTTACAATTATGCCGTGCCTCAGTATAAAAACTGTCTTCACACCGAAAATACAAAATTTGTATGAAAATAAATTACCACTTAACATTATGTGCATATTCAAGGAATGTGCTATTAAAAACTGCAAGCGTCACTATTTATTATACGAATAAGATAAATTTATATTGGCAATAATATCACAAATCAATATTATCAACCGGTTTCATGACTCACGTTATTTATTAAATATAAGTGACAACAAGTTTATTCAAATGATGAACGAAATAATCGACATGAATTAAATTAAAGGGAACTTAAGGACACTGTCATATCAACTCACATAATGATTGAAATATAATTGCGCGATTACATCTGGTCGTTAGCCCGAACACGAATGGATTTCGGGTAAACGACTAAGGCCCGTATTGTAGAAAGATTCTCAGTAGTGTCCGACCGAAATTTCGGTTTCGGTTTCGGCCAGTTTCGGCCAAAAAATCAAGTTTCGGCCCGAGTTTCGGTTTCGGCCAAAAACGGCCGAACCTTTCGGCCGCGCCGAAACTTACAACATCATACCTTCGGGTCGCGCTCGGCTAACGTCGGGCGCGCTCGGCACGGCTGGCAATATGGCGTCGCTCGCCTGACTCCGCCGGTAACTACCTAAATCAGTGCGCTTTGCTCGTGTAGACGTTATATTATTTTTAATTAGATAATTAGTTATAAAAAATAAAAAGTATAAGTATAGATTTGTTACTATAAAAGGTTCGCTAAAATGATTACCAAAGGTGATCAATTTGATTATTTTGATTATCTAAATAGGTATATTTGAATTAGCCATTCGAGGCTAACTGATTGTGATATTTGTGAGTATAATTTAAATGTAAGTAACTGAAAATAAATAAACATATATGAGCATCATATTTTAATAATAAAGGAGATTGTTCAAATTAGCCCAAATGTACAAACAATATTGTTTTACAGTCATTAGATTTTAACGGACACTTTTGTACAATATATTCATTTTAAAAAGGACTTTTAATTTTACCGGTTTGGAAAACATGCGAATAATTTTTAATGGCTATGGGTGTAGTAACATTCAGCCAAAGACAGATCGAAGTTGTTTATATAACATCAAAACAAATATATTTTGTAAAGATGGATAAAATTTTTTTGTTGACGTGACAACGTCTTAAATTAGGTTGCGGCTGGGAGTCACTTATGAAAAAGTGTAACGCTCGGTAACGTTACGATGAGTCTCTCGTGTTAAGTTTAAGTTTACATGTACAATGTTTTAGTAAACAAAATATATTTCTATAGTTAAAATTTGTGCAATTCTTATTTTCATTCAATTCCTTGTTCCTATTGTGCAATTTAATTATATTCATATCAATAAATATTCTACCGAGAAAAAGACGTTGTCACGTAAAATCTTCGCCCGTAAAACCGACTTTACAGGCAACCATTTTTTTTTTTTTACACTGTGGTATTAATATCCACAATTATATTATCATTTTCTCTACATGAAAATGTGCTAAGACAATTATTATAGATGGTAGGCGACATCATAAAGTCTATGGGTACGGCCAGATTGCACTCCTGATTCAGACTCAGAAAACAAAGCGCGAGAAAAAGCAAGCAACCTGCTTAAACTACACTGTTTATTTCTCGCGCTTGTTTTCGAAATCTGAATCTGAGTCTGAATCTGAGTGCACTCTGGCCGCACCCTATTGCCATACATTTTTGCCAAACACCTCCATAAACACATTATAAGGTGTGATACACCAAATATCTAAAATATGGTTATAATATAAACATAACAAAAATAATGACGCAACTGAAGATGTAGCTGTAACCTAAATCTCTTAGCTTTCTTTGGTTAACGAGAGTTTAAAAATTCTCTCTAATCTGTGGCTCATTCACAATCATCACACAGTTTCTGTCACAGAGTTATTATAACCGGATATGCATAGATGATACCTGATTTTAAAAGTAACTCTTGTGCATTAACTAAAAACAGGCAACTATCTTTTAATCTACATGCCTTATGTACCTGAATCTAATACATAATTTCTGTACTTGGCTTGATTTCCCTGGCTTACTATATAACTTATTTGTTTTTTATTATTTTAATACTTAAGTACCTATTTGCAAACATAACCTCAAAATCATTCAGTGTATATGGTTTGTAGAAGTTCTTATGGGTGTCCGTCAATAATATTCGTTGCTACAGTAATTTATATATAATTTCGAATCTAGGAAACATTTTTTTATGATTATTGGTCTTTAGGCCAAACAAGTATGGAAGCTGAGCCATCACCTTTGTTTTATTTTATACCACCATTACAAAATCGCTAACTTTGTGTTACAAGTAATGTATTTTTTTCACTTTATAGGGTAGTTAAATTTTCAAACAGAACCTTTGTAACTGTGCTGTAATTTCATTGTGATAAATCTTTGAAAGTAGAAACCTGTAATTATAGCTCGGCGAGACATTAATTTTACAAAAAAAACGGGCTTACTAACATTTTTTCGACTTTTTTTTTTATAAAAGGTTCGGTTTCGGTTTCGGTTTCGGCCGAAACTACAATGAAACCGAACCTTCGGTTTCGGTTTCGGTTTCGGCAAAATAACATGTTTCGGTCGGTCACTAATTCTCAGTGATTGATCTAGTCTTGAGCACAGTTAGAAAGGGATGTCGATATATATAGCACATAGCGATATCCATTTCTAACTGTACTCAAGTAAAGATCAACGCTAAGTTGTCATTCTGTAATACGGGCCTAAGTGTAAATGAACGGAGTCGAGTACGTCGTAAGTCGCTCATATTCGGGTAGTTTTCGTTTTGGTTACCCGTCACCGACTTCCAGTGTGAATATTGCTTACTTAATACGGGCTAACGATCAAGTGCAATCGAGCCATAAGAGGTATAGTTTGATGATTCCAAATGGAGTATTAATATATTTTTTTAATATATGCATTATACTTTTTCATCGTAATTGGCAACATGACAATATTTATTTGAAGCGCAACAATGCCCATGATATGTCAATAGATATTAGACTAAAATATAATGTTTTTTATTATATTCGGAAATGGATTAGATATATAATAAAGCATGATTGAGATATTACGACACTTCTCCGATCCGATTCGGTCCGATAATAATTGGATAAATATCGGGTAGAATGAGAAAGTATAAGAATTTGTATATTTATAATATTTTAACACGATTATCTGAAATACGTATTATTGCCGAATAGAATTCACAAACGCTCCTTAAATAATAAATTATGGTTTCATGATAAAAATAATATGTCTACTTCACCTTACATCTTTGAGCTTGATTTTAAATAAAAACAAAATTAAAAAAGACGCAAAAAAACATTATCCGTAAGCATTTCATAATTTTGGAAAACTATAATGCTATTCTTATTAAATGTTATAACAAAATAATTAATGAAGAGTTTGTGTATTCCGCCGTCAAAACGATATAGGTACATGGATGGATACGATCAACGCGTAATAAGACATTTGGCTTCGCACTTCATTTATTAAATCAACATTTAATCGCTACATTCACAATATTGAGCATTACAAGTTTGTCTTTTCAAAGCTTGCATCGAACTACGTTTCGGGGCAAAACTAAGGCGATACAAAACGACAAAGAAAAAGAACTTCCAACTAATTGTTTTAAATGCTGTTCTCGCTAGCGATTCCGTTTAAGTACTCGTACACTAATAGAACTAACTTCGCAGCATACATAGCGCCTCCCTAGAGGGGTGGGGAAAACAAAACTGCCACGACAAGCGAGCTAATTTCATCTGGCAACATTCACCCTTGGTCGCCGTGGACTACGTTTTGTTCCAACGGCACCATCTTCTTGCTGACAGAGTATATAGGAGGCGAGTCGAGTTTGCCAGCCGATATCGCTTGAACTCTACTCTTGACGGATTCCATTGGGGCAACATCGATTTTCGTTTCGTCCACGCTCGCGGAATGCTGCAAGGCGACGTCAGTGTTGCCATAAATGTGCTGCGGCTCCCTCACGTTTCCGTACACGTTGTAATTGTGTATTAGGGTGGAAACACGGTTTGAAGTCACCGGAAGACTGCTGTGCTCTTTGGGATTCTCTGTTGCATGACAGGAAGTGGTGACCGGCTGGTTAATTTTGAAGTCAGGTTTCGGAGAAGGTAATTCGTCTTCGCGGAGGGAGGTTTGAGTGCTAAGTACTGGGTTCTGAGGGGTGTACGATTGGTTTTGGGTGGCGAAGATCTTGTTTTGGGACGTGAGGGTCTGGTTTTGGGGCAGGATTGATTGGGGTGGAGTTTGGGGATGAGTTAAAGGGGGCGGGGAGGGTTCTGGAGGGGGACGGAGTGCGGATCGCCAGTCGACGTTGGGATGTCGTTGTCGAATGCATTCTACTACGTCGAGGAGGTTCTTGGCGTCCATAGCTAGTACGTGGGCGGCGGATAGCATGCTCCTGGAAAAAAGATACATATTGGCGTCAATTATGGCGTGATTCACTAAACTTAAAACTAAATTTTACATCAGTCTCTCCTTTTAATTCTGTACAGAGAATGACAAGGATACACTGTTGTCAAATTTAGTTTAAGGTTTAGAGAAACATGCCAGAATCGACACCATTTAAAGACTTGATCTTAAAATTCTAATCCCCTGGTGGAACCCATGGGACTTTTAAACTATCACTGTTAATCATTATTATATATTTTCGCCGTAAAGCTGTAAGTCTAATTAAATATTTTTGAAATCTTGAATTAAGCTGAAGAGAAGGACTTTATAGGTATATACAGGGTGTCCCACGGGTTTGTCACATGGAGGGAAAGTATATTAAACATTGAAGATGGGATATTTTACTGAAAGCAGACATCATTTTATTTTTAATATTTATAACTATATTTTATAACTGGAACTGCATTCACAGAAAAAAAAACCGCATATTTAACTCTTTCGACGGTTATCATAAAATACATGTGTTATTTTGTTTCACATTTCACGAGTTTGATTCCCGGATTTGACAGGTGATTTTTTAGAAACTTCAATATTTATTATACTTCCCCTCAGTGTGACAAATTCGTGGGACGCCCAGTTTAGAGTTGGACCAAGTTTAAAGAGATCTAGATCGAATAATAAAAAAGAGGAGCTCGATGGCGCAGGTCGGTCATTGGATGGGTGACCAAAAATTTACTATCTCGAGCTCCTCCGTGCTTCGGAAGGCACGTTAAGCCGTTGGTCCCGGCTGCATTTGCAGTCGTTAACACCCACTAATCCGCACTGGGCCCGCGTGGTGGGTCATGGCCCAATCTCCCTATTCCATCCATAGGGAAGGCCTGTGCCCCAGCAGTGGGGACATTAATAGGCTGATGATGAGATCGAATAATCTCTCAAATGTACAGCTTTTGTTGTAATGACTTGTAAAACAGAATTATCACTGGGCGACTGTTAACCTCTAAGCTACCAGGTTCAGGTCCAGGCTCTTACCCAATGAACGGATAGCGGAATTCATTGGCAGATATTTCATTGGCCAGAGCATTTTGTTTTGTCTGTATGCATGTCACTTTAGTATTGAAGTTTAGATGTATAAGCTTGGAGTCATGTTTTAGCGGCCTTTGTTACAGAGTAATGCTTCTATATAATTTATAATTCGTTGGTTGTATGCCAACTTGAGGAGCTCGATGGCGCGGGTGGTTAGCGCGTTCGGCTGCGATCGTTGAAGTTAAGCAACTTTCGCAGTGGTCGGTCATTGATGGGTGACCAAAGATCTACGATACGAGCTCCTCCGTACTTCAGAAGGCACGTTAAGCCGTTGGTATCAGCTGCATCTGCAGTCGTTAGCACCCGCCAATCCGCACTGAGCCCGAGAGGTGGGTCATGGCCCAATCTTCCTATTCCATCCATACGGAAGGCCTGTGCCCCAGAAGTAGGGACAATAATAGGCTGATGATGAGTGTACACTTAGTCACATGATTTTGACAATCCTGTCCATTAATTAGAAATGTCCTCGAACTCTTCATATAATATATATTGGGCAAACTATGATTGAAACAATCATGATTCATAACAACATTATCTTTTAAGCTTGTTCCAACAAGCATACACGACATTCTCTTCTTAGGCTAACTTCAATAAGGGCATCTATACACATGACGATTATCGTTAGACAGACTTTTAGGCAACGTGCGTTTTCGTTGAACCATTACTCTTGACAATGTCATAACATGACTGTAAAAGCATGCAAATACAGGGGTCTAGGCTCCGAATATTATTTTGTCCCATTCGGTGTCGAGACCCTTGGTCCGTGGGGTCCTAGCGCTATGAGGTTTTTTAAGGAAATATCAAAAAGGTTAGTCGACATCACTGGAGACCAAAGAGCTGGCAGCTACCTCGGACAACGAATTAGTCTAGCTATTCAAAGGGGGAACGCTGCCAGTATCTTCGGAACCTTGCCTAAAGGGACTCCTTTTAGTAATATATTTTAGATATTATATTTTTTAATTTTTTTAGTTTAAGGTTCATTGTTCCTGTATATAACATGACTGTTATTGATTTTTCAGTATCCACAAGTTCAGGAAATTACTCCACACAACCTGGATCGAATCCTATTGCAAAGATCTGGACATCAATAGGCTGATGATGATGATGCCAGTGAACTCGTTATAACCAGGGCTTGTTTACCGGTAAATTTTCAAACCTAAATCAGTATCAAGTACATTAGGAGCGTTTTATTTAGGTTTGGCTCTACCTTAACCTTAAAAAAACCGGTTTACCTAAAAAGCGAAATCATATAGGTTTTGAATCAATTTAGCGGTTTTTAAAGTGTTTCATTTCGCTCTTACTGACGGCATCGCGTTCGCCGTTTTAATTCATATTTATCTTGATTTATGTCAGTTTTTTTCCAACTACAGAGCGAGTGAGTGAAATAGTGTGTCAGTACACAACTACAAAATGAATAACTTGACTCACTAGACGCTAGCAAACGTGTCAATAAATGCATCAATCTCTGAGCATTAACAAGTTGTGACTTGATTAGTTCAAATAAAACGAACTTCCAGCGATGCCGACGCGTGCACGTGTCGCTCTGGATTAAACCGGTTTATTAAGGTTTAAGGTACCGCTTTCATTTCGGTCGCGCTCAGAACGAAACCTTCACTAAAAACCGGTATTAACCTTTATTTACCGGTATTTTGGAAACCGGTTACAAGCCCTGGTTATAACATCGTCTAAATTGTAAGTTATCAAGTGTAGATCCTTACTTGGTGTAGTCGTGGTGCAGCGTGGTGTCGGCATACTGTATGGCGAGTCGCATCGCCTCCACCAGCGCCGCCATGTCCTTGCTCAGAACCTGGTGGGCCATCTCCACTTCCCTGAAGCAACATTATTATAATAATAACTAGCTGACCCAGCGAACTTCGTACCGCCATAAAAAAATAGGGGTTGGTGGTAGAAGGGTGAAAATTAAGGGATGTATGCATTTTTGTATAATGTATCATAAAAAAATAAAAAAAAAATCGAAAAAAAAAAATTAGGTGTGGATTACCCTTAACATTTAGGGGGATGAAAAATAGGTATTACATCCGATTCTCAGACCTACTGAATATGCATATAAAATTTCACGAAAATCGGTCGAGCCGTTTCGGAGGAGTTTAACCACAAACACCGCGACACGAGAATTTTATATATTAGATAATAAATATTTCCAACACTCACACCAATTAGTCTAGCTCCAAAGTAAGCACTGTAAAGCTTGTGTTATGGGATACTAGGGTAACGGATAGAATACATATACTGTACATATATAAATATATTTATATAGAAATACATATTAAACATCCATGACTGGAGTACAAATGCTCGTATTCATCACACAAACATCTGCCCCCACCGGGTTTCGAACCCGGAACCTCTCGAGTCGGCGACACCATGAAACCCGGCGTACAAACCACTCGGCCACGGAGGTCGTCAAATCTCCATTATCACCCACCAATCCCCTATTGTCACCCATAAATCTCCACTATCATTCACAAATCCCCTATTATCACCAATCCCCTCAATCCCCCAAAAGATGGCGCTGCCTTGCAGCTTAAGAATGGCTAGAGAATTTGGATGCAGCCATCAAGGCCGCGGTAGCATAATTGGTCAGTGCATTCGCCCGGATAGCGAAGGGTGCGGGTTCGAGTCCCGTCTGCTGGCTGGTCCGCGTGGAATTTTTTCTAGTTCTATTTTCTTTAAAATTGTACTTTTCGGAATCACAAATAATTTTCGTGAACGAATGGAATGAGTCATGTTTGTGAGCTCTTTTTATCTCCACTTTTTAGATAACTTTATTTGCTGGGAAACAAAAATAAATTATATAATAAATTTTCTTTACGACAATTTTTTTGATGACTTTGAAATAAGTAGGTCAATTATTGTTTAAGAGTGTGTTCCATGTATTCAAGTGTGTTAATGTAACATATACGAGTATATTACATTCAGAATGGTTTGTTTGTTAAACGAATGTGAGTAGTGCTCACCTCTGTGCCGCTTGCGGGAATGGCACCACCACCAGGTCTACAGTGGCGCACAGTTCCCTCAGGTCGGCGGCCAGTGACCCACCGCGTGTAGTGTGAGTAGTCCTCACCTCTGTGCCGCTTGCGGGAATGGCACCACCACCAGGTCTACAGTGGCGCACAGTTCCCTCAGGTCGGCGGCCAGTGACCGCACGGCGTGTAGTGTCCTCTCGGGGGCGGCGGGCGGAGTGCATTGTGATAGCGCCGCGAGTCGCATCACGCCGCGTACTACGGATGTCGTCGCCGCGTATACGGGGTCCTCGGACTATAGGGTGATATCGATGAAACGGTGTTAAAATATATTTGTTTCTTAGGTTTTTACGCACATCACTCATTAAATAAAACTAGTTTTTCACGGGTTAATGCACGAAACTTTACGGTAGTTAGGGTGCACGAATTCTACGGTAGTTAGGGTCATATAAATAAACTCAAAATTACTTTATTAACTAAATTAATTAATAAATTCATAGAATAGAATAGAATAATTATTTATTGGCGTTTGAACAGGGTAATCAAAGTCATAAATAGTTACACAACTATACTGTAGGTTTCACCTATTCAGCTATAGACCGTAGCATGCAAATTTACAAAGTTTTTTTCAAATTAATTAATACTATGTCACTTAATTTAATAATAATTACTTAACAGGTCACAAAATAAATAATCAAAAATATAAAAATTCGATTAAAATCAGGTTATATTAAAATATGAATCAAAAATATAATTAAATCAGCATATTTCACTCAAAATCTCACCCACCAAAATTACTAGTATTTATATATTAGCTATTATAATTCAAGAATTCCTGGACCGAGTAGAATTTACGTTCAATGAGCCATCTATGTAGTGTTATTTTAAATCTACTGAAAGACAAATCTCTTATTGAATGTGGAATATTATTAAAAATTTGAATGCACATATAGTAACAGTTCTTTTTAAAACGTGTGCTTTTCGGGATTGTATCAATGACTAACCTTTTACAATGTCTTGTATTTGTAGGAAATATCTCACGGGCAGTTTTAAAGTAATTTTATCATACATAGACAATAAAACTTTAAAAATCGAACAATGAAATAACCGAACGCTCAATAAGTCTTTTGAAGGTAGCTCGACAAAATTAAATAAAAAATTAATTCCGACGAAGCAGCCTGTAAAGGCTGCTAAACGTCAATAAATGAAGTTTCGTGCATTAACCCTTGAAAAACTAGTTTTATTTGGTGTTAAAATAACTTTTTTTATGGTATTTTTTTTTATCAGAGCAGCTCGATGGCGCAACTGGTTAGCGCTTTCGGCTGCGATCGTTGAGTTAAGCAACTTTCGCAGTGGTCGGTCATTGGATGGGTGACCAAAAATTTAGTATCTCGAGTTCCTTCGTGCTTTGGAAGGCACGTTAAGCCGTTGGTTCCGGCTGCATCTGCAGTCGTTAACACCCGCCAATCGGCACTGGGCCCGCGTGGTGGATCATAGCCCAATCTCCCTATTCCATCCATAGGGAACGCCTGTAACCCAGCAGTGGGGAGATTAATAGGCTGATGATGATGATGAGACGAAATCACCAAACTTCAATCGATAAGTAACGTCCCTATTGTTTAGCTCAAAGTTCAGAGCACTATTTGTCAAAATGAACTGACAGATGTGAAGGGGCATTCCCCGCGTATGCGCGAGCGCATCGCATTCTGTGTAATGTAAACTTGTGATGTGGATTTAACTACATAATAAAGTTAATTTCTAAAGTAAACCGAGTTTTATCTAACAGTGCCTATATCAAATTGTGATCTACTTAAATAAAGTTAATATTAAATAATACTTACTTTATCTTCGCAAGGCGGTTTCTCTTTAGACTTTACTGTGTTTGCTGGACTTGTTTCCGAAGAATTTGATGCTGACAAAGAAAGATTAATTATTAAAACGTAAAATCAAGACACACTAATAATAGAAAAAACAATTAAACCGAAGCTATGGATGGGGACCTATAACGTGAAAACAACCGCACAGGAGGCTTTCATTTAATGATTGTCAGTTGTCTTATTCTGTTGATTTTAAAATGTTTTATTATAGCTATTAACAAGATTATTACCGGCGCCATGATCACGGAGTAACGTAACAGAGTTACTCAAAGGCGGATTATCCAAAGGCATGTGCCTAGGGGCGCGAGGGTAAAAAGGGGCGAGCGGGCGGAATTGTAAAATAAAGAAAAAATAAATATAGCATAAAATTAATTGGGCCAGTAAGTAAGCTACATACTTACAGAATAAAAACTATTATTTTTGCTTACAACCTCAATTCGCTACAATTTATAACAAAACTGACTGACTAATAATAGGGATGATGACAATTTTTCTTTCTTCGTTTATCAGGTAAATTATCAAAAAGTATTGGACAGGAATTTTTCTTTTTTCACATAATATAAACATTGCAGAGATATATTGATTTAAAAAGTCGCATGACGTCACGTTTTAGTACACTTTAAAGTGAAAATTCACTTAAAAGTGACGTCACGAGCCCCAGCTCCCAAACTTTGATGCGCTATAACTTTGTCATTTTTTGGTTGATTGCCCAAAGAAAAAATACGTGTCCATTATTTTTTTGATCATCTAACTGACGGACTAAATAGAATTTCGTTTACTGTACCCCGTCATCACCCCTATTACGCCAACAAACAACCTTGTCGATGGTACATGATCTCTTGGTAAAAGTTGGAAAGATACGACTGCCACGTTCCTCGCATCGACTGGATTGGTTTCGGTCAAACTATAGTACGGCACGAGTTACTTTAATATAGGGGCGCCGATGAGATGCTTGCCTACGGCGGCGGCGGCGCTTTCAATGTTTAATCCGCCACTGGAGTTACTCCGTGATCATGGCGCTTGCATCACTGCCGAAATATCGGACACTCATAAAAAACAAGGTACATGGTAACAATCCCAACATGGTACAAATTCCGAGCGTCACACGCGACAATATATGAGTGATGCGTGCGCTGCTCCATTCCCGTATGCCTTATGCACCGCCTTATGTTAGGTTATTTAAGAAAAGAAGTTTCACTTCAGATGTGTGGACTGTGCACACTTATTTTTTTAATTTTTTTGAAGTTATACTTCTTTAGGCGCGTTATGAAAAAATTATGAGAGTGAAATTTTAAGATGCGCGCGCATCACTGCAACACAAAATTTTAACAGCATGAATTCATGCTGTTACTTTTGTGTTTACCGCACATTAAGAAAATCTACCAACAAAATAGAAATAGAATCTCTATTTAGTGGGTGCTAACGACTGCATTGTGAAGGCCTATCAAAAGTATTTATTAATCTGGAACAACGGAACCAAAGCGCGATTCAGGAGACTACAGCGCCATCTCTTGACCATTGGTGTAGTAGAACCAAAAACCACATCTTTATTTTTCAATGTTACTTTTATGTTATTATTGTAATAAAGTAACAGTTATAGGTATTCATATTTATAATATTTATTTATCCACATGTTTCTAGTTTGTATATTCGGAATACGTGTTTGAGTTTCATACAAGTGCAAATCACATATGTTCTAATAAATTATATTCAGTAGCGATTTTAATTGAATATTTTGATTATTTATTTATTTTTTCAAATTAAAACTGAACTTTTTTGACTGTATCCTTTTTCAGACTTTTTATTAATTTATTGTAATTAATTATCTGCATGCATTTAAAAACTAATTTTAAACGATGCCAAAGAAGGATAACTTCTCACGCGCCTACATAAGTACACGTACCCATTTTTTATTTCAAAATATCATAATTTATTGATTCATAGAATCTCTGACACCACCTAGGTTGTCTGGAAGAGATCTCTTTTAGAGATAAGCCCACCTATGCTAACTATCAGACCCCTCTTTCCCATTGGGCACTTTGGGCAAGTGCCCAGGGCCCCGCGATCGATAGGGGGCCCCCTCAGATCAAATACAAAGTCCCTAGTTCCTGTTAAATCACCAAACGGGGGTCATAGGGGCCCAATTATCCTAATATGCCCAGGGCCCCCAATAAGTCAAAGACGGCACTGCTAACTATGTATTTGACTTTATTTTGAATTATATGATGCAATAAAGAGTATAATAAGAATAATAATTCTGACGACGCAGCCTGAAAAGGATGCGAAATATCAAAAAAGTAATAAAAAGGCGCATTTTGAAACCGTTTAAGTGTTTTTAATTGAATTAACAATGCACGTAATCTTACTTGATCGTGGTTGGCTACGTGTCGCGGGGTCGACGACCCCTTCAGGCGCGGGCTCGCTGGCTTCCGTGTCCGGTAGCTGGACGTTTGATAACCGCTTCTGGTACAAACATACGTAAGTTATTGATATTGGTACGTTGAATTTGACAATCTCCGTGGCCCAGTGGTTTGTACGCCGGGTTTCAAGGTCTTGCCGACTCGAGAGGTCCCGGGTTCGAATCCCGGTGAGATGAATACGAGCAATTTGTACTCCAGTCATGGATGTTTAATATGTATTTCTATATAAATATATTTATATACGTACAGTATATGTATTCTATCCGTTACCCTAGCATCCCATAACACAAGCCTTACAGTGCTTACTTTGGGGCTAGGCTAATTGGTGTGAGTGTTGGAAATATTAATATTACAGTTATTTATGCAACTGTTGTATAATGAGCGGTATTAAATCACAAATGTGAGTTTATCACACGAGGCAATGAGGTGTGATAACAGTATCACACGAGTATTTTAATACCTAATTTATACCTTTTGATATTTTTCAGTTCATAAAATTTTAGAACTTCTTTTCAAACTGTTTTCTCGATTCTTCCGATAGTCATTATCATCATCAGCCTATTAATGTTCCCACTGCTGGGGCACTGGCCTTCTCTATGGATGGAATAGGGAGATTGGGCCATGACCCACCACGCGGACCTAGTGCAGGTTGGCGGGTGCTAACGACTACAGATGCAGCCGGGACCAACGGCTTAACGTGCCTTCCGAAGCACGGAAGAGCTCGAGATAGTAAATTTTTGGTCACCCATCCAATGACCGACCACTGCGAAAGTTGCTTCACTTCAACGACCGCAGCAAAACGCGCTAACCACTTGCGCCATTGAGCTCCTCTATGTATATATGTGCAGCTATATAGGCTGATGATGTAAGTACTAATTTATAAGAACTATAATGTCATACCAAGTTATCCTCCTGCATTTGCAGCCATCTCCTGTCCTCCTCGCTTTGATGTTGTTGTCTCGCGAGTTCGGCCAACAGTCGCCTCTCTACCGCTTGTTCCGTGTCGAATTCCGGACTCTGTTACAGTAGGAATAAGGTTGAAGATCGATCGGTTTACGGAAATAAAGCTAAGGCATTTCGAGATCATTCTTTTTAGTTATACACATGCAAAAACAACCTTAATGTCTTAATGTTAATGTTAACAAGTCACGGTAGCAGATTGAAATTCTGAAAATGGTTTGAAGTTAAGTGAGTATATTCTTTCAAGCCGGCACTTCGCTTGGCTATTCGTGTTTGCTATTTCTAAACTGAGGAGCTCGATGGCGCAAGTGGTTAGCGCGTTCGGCTGCGATCGTTGAAGTTAAGCCACTTTCGCAATGGTCGGTCCAATGATGGGTGACCAAACATTTACTATCTCGAGCCCCTCCGTGCTTTGGAAGGCACGTTAAGCCGTTGGTCCCGGCTGCACCTGTAGTCGTTAGCACCCACCAATCCGCACTGGGCCTGCGTGGTGGGTCATGGCCCAATCTCCCTATTCCATCCATAGGGAATGCCTGTGCCCCAGCAGTGGGGACATTAATAGGCTGATGATGATTTCTAAACTTGATATCAGTATGTCCCTTTCATTCCTTTTTAAGCATAATAATGACAGACTGTTGTCAAGTTTACAAATGAGGAGCTGGCGAACAAAACGGTATAATTACATAAAATTATTATTTACAGGAGCAGTAACAAACGAAACTGAATTAACAGTGAGCTTTTGGCGTGGTTTTTAAATTATCAATTTTAACACTGTTTTAATCAGTTTTGATTGTAAATGAGCGAGATTTACAATCAGTGTCTCAAAACCTCTGGACTGTAAAAAAAAGTATTTTGAGCAATTGCCTTTTGTTCGCCAGGTCCTCAAACAGCAAAAGCCAATAACAAAGTGAATGCCGGCATTAAGGGCTCTTTCAATTTATGCGTTTCTTGGCGGCCTGCTGCGATGCCGAAGCGGTGCGTTTGTCGTACAGCGTACGGCCGATACTTTTTGAAGTGAAACTTCTTTATCGGCGTTGGAAAAAAATTTACCGTCACATTTTTTTCGGTTACACGTCACGTTTTTTGGTTACGCGCCATCTTTTTTTTAAAAGAGCACTATTTACCTCATCCGAACAATTGCTTCTTCTGTCAACTTAAAAAAAAAAAGTATCGACAGCAAATATTCGTGTTTCACACAAGGTAAGGTAAGGTAAGGTAAGGTAAGGTAAGGTAAGGTAAGGTAAGGTAAGGTAAGGTAAGGTAAGGTAAGGTAAGGTAAGGTAAGGTAAGGTAAGCTGAGGTAAGGTAAGGTAAGGTAAGGTGTAGTTATACCCCTTTAGTGGGTGAGTTTTTGAAAAATCTTAGCGCACGCCTATATATATATTTCTGGAAAGTTGCATGTAGATCATTTTTCGAAAAAAATAAGGCCATAAAGAAGTTTCACTTCTTACGTATGTACACGCACACATTTTTTTTTTCATACAAAACGCGCACCGCTTCGGCACCGCAGCAGGCCGTCAAGAAACGCATAAATTGAAAGCGCCCTAAATATCATAAATTGGAATACGAAATGTTAACATAATATGGGCTCAAACAACTACCGTAAGACTTGCAAAAACTATGTCTTTCAAAGTATACATACTATGCAATAACACTGGGTTTATAATTATAATGTGACGAAAATATCCGATCGAACCTTTTGATGCTGGTATGGTATTGTAGATGCTAACTACATAAGACAAACACATCATTAGCTGTATACCTATACTTAACATGGTTATTCGTATTTGATATTTGTTATTTTGCCATCACGGTGTCCTTATCATACTCTATAGCAGGGGTGGCCAACCAGTGATCGATCGATCGATCGATCGATCGTCTTCTTTATCCTCACTTCTATAGTGATATCTATGAATTGGCTACAAAATTTGCAGATACATTTCGAATGGACCAATTTTAATAATGACTCTGCGTATTAATATAAATAAGTAGTTACTAAGACACTCGTTCACTTTTATATTTTCCCTCTTTATAAAATAACAAAATACTATATAATTATGTACTGAACTTTGCTGTTTTATTAAGGATTTCAAGAAGTATCCAATAGGGTATTTGACAGTATTAAAAATAAAGTAGCAATTGTTAGCATTTGTGTTAAGAATAAATATTGGCAGGGGTTTTTACTATTTTTACAAAAAAAAATTAATTAAAAATTCACGAAAAAGATAATAGTTCTCATAACTATTGTCACGTGACCCGAAACGCTTGGGATTGGCGGAGCCTAGAATGACATCATACAAAGTGACATTACATTGTATAATTTGACGTTTTAATAACAGTCGTGTGACGTCACACACTAGTAAGACGCCATATTGTCCAGAGAAACGTTTTCGCGGCAACTTGAAAATGGAGTTTTTGATTTGGTTATTTTTACTGAAATACACAACAGAATGATGAATATCTACTTTTTACGAACTCCATAAACATAAGTCAACAACGTGAGATCGTATTCTAAAATTTGTCAAATACCCTATTGGTAGATCGCACAGGGATTCAACAGTAAACAGTAGATCTTGGGTCTAATCAAGTCAGCCACCCCTGCTCTATAGGGAGTGAAAAGGAGACCCTGTTGTCAAGTTTATGTGTTTACTTAAGTTTACTGTGAGATGTAACAATTAATTGCGCGACATGCGAAAGTTATACATTAGAATAGAATATATCAATAACTTTATTTCCGTTCATTATAAATTACAAACCCCGGTTAATTTCATTTCCTAAAGAGTAAACTTTCCAGTTAGTAACAGATTATTGTACATTTATACACAAATGTTAAAACATAAACATTATGTTAAAAATATATATATAAACCTTAAACCATTATTAAAATAACCGATTACAATATGGAAAGTTAGTTCTTGATTCGGAAATACAAGGGTGATTTATGTCACAATGCATAGCATATTGACTTCTATAACCGCTTTGTATTAGTTCTTGGATTGTATGTACTGTAAATGAAGGAAAATATATTCTGTGTATTAACTTCTTATATATGAACGTTACTATGTGACGATAAAGGTCAATATGCTATGCAAATGCTAAATTTAGATTGTTTCTTCGACTGCAACGTAAACAATGTTATGTTCAATTCTGTATAAAGTAAACAAAATATATATATATTGATAGCCGTTATATTGGTTATAAAAGAGTGGATTAAGGCAAAAACTTAACTGTTCATAGAAACTCTTTTAGTTATTTTATTGTTCGCATTGAAATTTACTCAGAATAACAAGTTTCATTACTTATAGAATAGGGTATTTGACAGTATTAAAAATAAAGTGCCAATTGTTAGTATCTGTATTTAGAATGAATATTGACAGGAGTTTTTACTATTTTTACAGAAAAAATATTCATAATTTTACTAAAAGCCCACGATAAAGATAATAGTTTTCTTGTCTATTGTCACGTGACACAAAACGCTTGGGATTGGTGGAGCCTAAAATGACGTCACACGCAAGTAAACTTCCGGTTAAAGTGACATTAGATTGTATGGTTTGGCGTTTTAATGACAGACGTGTGGCGTCACACACCAGTGAGACGCCATATTGTCCAGAGATACGTTTTCGCGGCAACTTGATAATAGAGTTCTTGATTTATTTGTTTTACCGAAATACACAACATAATGATGAATATCCATTGACCATTGACTCTATAAACATTAATAAATAATGTGAGATCGTATTCTAAAACTTGTCAAATACCCTATGTGATGGGGGAAACTATACGCAAGTATGTAAAATAACTATATATAAGTACCGTTAAAATTGAACACAACAACTTTATGCTTTCAAAGAATCGCATATTCCGTTACTACGGCGTTTATTTTTCATTATTTTTCAATACAAGTGTATTTACAATTAAAATATCCTTTTACCTACTAATAATTTAGAACTTTATAGTGATTTCGTGATAGCTAAATAAAGTCAGTGTAATACAGTCAAAAGCCTGCTTCATCTAAAAGCGTGAAAGAAAAACTAAACGCCACAGTAAAGAAAAAATGGCGTACTATTTTGTGGAGTACACAAAACGTCATTTCATTCAAATAAACTTAAACATATAAATGAAAATTAAATTAAAAAAAACCGAAAGTCTACCGGAGGAACCCAATGGACACACAAAAACTCTGTAATAAAAAAAAAGAATTTATGATTTTTATACAAACCATCCACAATACCCCATTATGCTCTCCAGAATACCATTAAAATAAAAAAAAGAACCAAACACCAATATTAAAAAAAACCTATCATTTATGGGCGATTATTGGTTGAGCCCGATCTCAAAATAGCAGGAATTGTCGTATAATAATAAGATTGAGAGCAAGCAATTTTGCGTCTTACAACTGATAGATCACTCATTTTACGGGTGTAAAATTTTGAATAATAAAATCAATTATATTAAACTCTCTACTGATTCGCAAACATTACTACGCAGCAAAAAAAAGCACTATAAAATTTTGAGAAACTGATAAAATATCTACAAAAAACTTATTAAAAAAAAAAACAATATTCATTTTAGCCTATTCAAAATTCACTGTGCATTCTACTTTCTAAACAATGTACTCACTAATCTTGAAATAATAAAAAAAACAAAACCAACATAATTATCTACAGTGCCTCATATATACAAATTTTGAAACAAAAACCAAATCAAAGTTATGAAATAAATTTCGAGACTACCAAAACACACACATGCCTTTTAAGAATATTGGCATAAATCACCTGAAGGCATTGAGAGCTCCCCTGTACCACGTTCGCGGGCCCCTGTACCATGCTGCCTCCCCCCTGTACCACGTTACCCTGTACCAAGTGAGAACTAACTGGCACCATTTGCGCTACCCCTTGTATAACGTGTGAATTCCCTGGGACCATTTGTGCTACCCCTTGCACAACGTTTACACCCCCTTGTACTAAGTTTACGCCCCCTTGTACCAAGTTTACGCCCCCTTGTACCAAGTTTACGCCCCCTTGTACCAAGTTCACGCCCCCTTGTAACATATGCGCGTTCCCCTGTACCATTTGCGTATTCCCCGGTAATATTTGAGCTACCCCTTGTACCATATTCACGCTTTGTAAAACAGGCGAACATTCTTGCCGCGAAGCGTATAAGGATTGCGCGTCTATTGCCGAAGCGAATTGCGCTTTAGAATTCTGCGAGTACACCGAGATTCCAGCTTTCGGTTTGGCCGGACTTTGTGATGGAACCCCTTGGACTACCCCTATAGGAACCCCGTAATTAACAGACCTGAGGGCAGGTTTACACATGGCCCTTTGAGCGGCGATGGCGACGCAACTTTTCACGTTATCACCACCGAAATCGTAAATATCTTCGACTAAAGGCGGGTCTGGGCGTTGTCGCATTTTGTTGACTACGCTGGCAGCTAGCTGGGCGTTTATGGCCCCTTGTACAGAAAACTGGCCTACGTCTTGCTCGCGTCGAATACGGGGCGGGGGGGAAGCCGGTACAGAATTTTGTCTAGGTACAGATCTCTCTAAAGAGCCCATTCTTACTGGGGCTCTGTCCGCAGTCGATAAAGGACGGGGATTTCTTTCCAAAGATCGGACTCTGCTCGCGTACGATTCCTCAACAGGCGTATCTCTTAAAGTATTAGAGCACAGATTATCTTGGCTGGCCCCAGCAACAATAGTAGTATCATGACTCAATTCGGGGACAATAGGGTCCAATTTATGAAGACTAGCGGCTGGAATAGGGACGGTTTGGAGGGGTATATCGATGCGTTCATCCGGTTTTGGGTTGATGATTTTGTCCAAGATATTGGGGTCGTCCTCGGGTAAACTGGCGGCGAAGTCTACGGCCAGTGTGTTGAATACCGAAGCGGGGGTGGTGTAGGCTCGCGGCTCGAGGGCCCGGGTTTGGTTCTCGCGCAGTAAATGGGCCAGAACTAGGGGGTTTTGTGCCACGATGTAGGTTTGCGTCGCCCCGCCACTGCTTGGGGCCGCGTTGCATTCTGTCGCGCCTGTGTGGAAGAATAATAGATATTGTTAACGGTTTTTGAAGTGAAAAATCCTATGGAAAAGACGAAACGGAAATATGTTACGAGCGGCACACGACCCTTTATTAAACGAAGACTAAGCTTGGATTAGTTACTCTATGTTTTCTTTCTGTTCATTGAATGACAAATGGCATTTGAGTGATATGAACAAACCACGGCGTAACCAATCGAAGCCTACTCCTCGTTTATTATTAAGAGGGATATAGTCTTAGATTAAAACAAAGAGGAGAGGATACGGCACTCGCGGTTCAAGAGTGAGCCGCTTAAATTGTGGTGCATGACCACAATTCGCTTTAGTCCCTATAAGGGATGGAAATGAGACAACGTGTTTAAGTTCCAGAGCATACGAAAGCTGTCTACTCGATCGCGGTTAGGAAGCTACTAGAAGGCGGGTGTGGCCCCGGTTTGCACGTACATAGATAACACGAAGTGTTATCTACCCGTTTATTTTAATAAAATCGAAGTAGGCAGCTTACCGCATTTAAAATATATTTATAAAAAACAAATAAATAACATTGGAATGCATGAACATTATTTATATGTATTTAACTATATATATAAAGGTAAGTACTTACACTATTTTATGTATGTATATTTTTCCAAGAATAATGTAATATAAACTATTTGATTAAAACTTAATTATGAAAACTATTTTAAAATATTTCCGTGTGTATGCGTCGCCTACAGTCCCAATTGGAAATTCCAACACACTGCATGTGCATTCAATATAACAATATTGCGTATATTCTGTGTTATAAAGATAAAACAATGCCTTAGATGCCTTTATAAAGAACACAAATAGTTTAAGATCAAATAACCAATTTCACGGCAACACTTTTTATTCGTAAAACTATGAAAATATTTTTTTTTTTCTCAAAAATCACGGGGTGTCATTAATGTTATTTATTTTTTCGCCATTTGTTATCAAGAAAGTACAACAATATAGCTCAGCCGTTTGTAGAGAGAGAAAAGAAAACGCAACGACGCGGAGTCGCTGTTTCGCTCGCGCTGCGTCGAAGCATACAGTTGTCTCGCTCGCTCCATTGAATGTTTATTTACAGAAGTGTGCGTGCGTGAAAGTTGCTTATTTAGTTCAATCGGAGCATATCACACCTTCAAAATTGAAGTAACCTAATCCAAAATTCTTGTTTTTTGGTAACCACTAAAAATGTGATTGAAGAGTTGGTATTTTTTTGTTTTTCTATTATAATGCTATAAGTTATACGTTTATTATCATATTTTTTATTGTTAATGGTAGGATAGAAATCGTTTTCATGATTGTACACTAAACCAGTCTGTGTTAATTAATCACCAAAAAAAAATATGTGACTTAATTTCCGAAAACAGTTTATTATAATTGGCTTATTTCACTTTGTGCAAATTTTTTACTAAACAACATAAAACAAAAACGTAACTATTGAATATAATGGCGATTCATTTTTAATGTTATATTTTTGATATATGACCAATTTTGTAATATGCTAGTTTAATAATTAATGATTTTCTAAATTAAAGTAAAATGAAATAAATGTCCACGCAACATTGAATGGGTTACTTCAATACTGAGGGAGGCGCGGTATGCGTGTCATTTAAAAGAGACGGAAACAGTACGTTTGTCTTTTTCTGGCCTAAAAGAGCATGTTTATTATTAATAATCTGATAGAATTTATATTTTTATGTCGTTTCACGTTTAAAAGTCATTTTTCTATTTTTTTTATTTAAGTCACTTCAATTCTAAAGTTGCTATATGTTATTTGATGCTAGTATGAGCGTACCGTAGTGAGGTTAGTGGGCGGCCTGCTAGGTTTGGGCGGGGGCTCGTCTCTATATGATAGTTACCGGTGAGGTTAGTGGGCGGCCTGCTAGGTTTGGGCGGGGGCTCGTCTCTATATGATAGTTACCGGTGAGGTTAGTGGGCGGCCTGCTAGGTTTGGGCGGGGGCTCGTCTCTATATGATAGTTACCGGTGAGGTTAGTGGGCGGCCTGCTAGGTTTGGGCGGGGGCTCGTCTCTATATGATAGTTACCGGTGAGGTTAGTGGGCGGCCTGCTAGGTTTGGGCGGGGGCTCGTCTCTATATGATAGTTACCGGTGAGGTTAGTGGGTGGCCTGCTAGGTTTGGGCGGGGGCTCGTCTCTATATGATAGTTACCGGTGAGGTTAGTGGGCGGCCTGCTAGGTTTAGGCGGGGGCTCGTCTCTATATGATAGTTACCGGTGAGGTTAGTGGGCGGCCTGCTAGGTTTGGGCGGGGGCTCGTCTCTATATGATAGTTACCGGTGAGGTTAGTGGGCGGCCTGCTAGGTTTGGGCGGGGGCTCGTCTCTATATGATAGTTACCGGTGAGGTTAGTGGGCGGCCTGCTAGGTTTGGGCGGGGGCTCGTCTCTATATGATAGTTACCGGTGAGGTTAGTGGGCGGCCTGCTAGGTTTGGGCGGGGGCTCGTCTCTATATGATAGTTACCGGTGAGGTTAGTGGGCGGCCTGCTAGGTTTGGGCGGGGGCTCGTCTCTATATGATAGTTACCGGTGAGGTTAGTGGGCGGCCTGCTAGGTTTGGGCGGGGGCTCGTCTCTATATGATAGTTACCGGTGAGGTTAGTGGGCGGCCTGCTAGGTTTGGGCGGGGGCTCGTCTCCCCAGGAGGCGGCGGCCACGCGCCTATTTTCGCGCCGCATTGTGTCCCACGCAGTGTTGCGTTCCTCCTGTAGTATCTCACTGTGGATAGAGTAAAAATACATAATACACAATATTCTTGTATTATTAATATTATTATATAATTTATTGAAAATCCTCACTTAAATTTATTAACTAAAATTGGCTGATATTTTATATTTATGTTGTGCCTATATCGCACTTGCAAACTATTCGAATTCGATATTGGTTCGTGCTAGGGATACTGAACGGATTACGATGAAATTTGGCAAACATATAGTTTATAATCGGGATTGACACATAGACCACTTTTTATCCCGGAAAAATGTCTCCTTCAGCTGATGGGCCTCGGGTCTCTGCGAGCATTCATAACCCCAACAGTAAATACAGTCTAACAGGACATCTTTAACCATCCTATAGTAACAATAACCCGCTGAGAAATTAGAGTGTTTAGGAAAGGAAAGGTCTTTTGTGTGAAGTTTCTGGCGCAAATTAATGGAACGAGCATTTAAATTGACCCATACACTATGACAATGTAACAGATTTAACAGATGAGAAGATCTTTCGCCTCAGTGCTGCCACCTGGCACCCGTTATTGCAAAACCCTCATTGTAAGCACTATTAATCTTCAATTGATATGAAGACTCGTAGGGCCAAAACTCCAAAAAAGTATTAAAAACCTGCAAAAGGATTTTATGCTCTATTGTACTCACAATAAAGTCTTCTTCAGCTGATGTACCGTCGGTCTCTGCGACAGTTCGTAGGCCCAAAATCGAAATATCAGTGTACACCGCCTAGGTGGAAATCTAGGGGACAAGGCAGTCTCTCCCTGTTCTCCAGTTCACCGATGACGTCTATAGTAAGAATAACCTGCTGAAATTATGATGGGCACTTATAATAAAGTTTCTGCAATCCCTATGAAGTCCCGCAGGACTTCTCAAATCCTCAAAATCGCATCTAAACGCCTGTCAAACGATTGTGACTTCTTCCTTACTTACAATAAAGTTTCTGCAATCAGTGTGAAGACTTGTAGGGTCAAAACTCAAAGATGACCTCAGAAAACCTGTTAAAAGATTCTAAGTTTTATCGCACTCACAATAAGGTCTCCTTCAGTTGATGTGCCGTGGGTCTCTGCGATGGTTCGTAGGCCCAACATCGGGACATCAGCGAGTAAAGTCTTGGAGGACATCTAGGGGGCAGGGCTAGTCTCTCCCCGTTCTCGAGTTTGCCGATGACGTCATTGTTCTTCACCCCGCTGAAGGGTTTCACGCCAAGCATCAGTATCTCCCACATGCAGACACCTGGGTAAACAAAGTTGTAAGCATTTATTTCTTATGTTTTCACACGCCAATCAATGAATGAGCAATTATTGAAACTGAATGAAACGCATTATATTTGATTTTAGGGTTCCGCACCCAAAGTGTGAAAACGGGACCTTATTACTTCACTTAGACTTAGACCTTAGACTCCACTGTCTGTCTGTCTATTTATCGGTCACCAGGCTGTATCTAATGAACCATGCTAGACAGTTGAAATTTTGATGGAAGTTCTGTTGCCTCTATAACAACAAATACTAAAATAAAACAAATATTGTCATAAACGCTCTCGAAACGTAACCGCAAAAGTGCTAGAGATCGAGTTTGCCAGATCACCGCGCGTCGCGACAGAGGTCGAGTAATGCGGCTCATTCTAAAATGAGCCTTATGCAGTGCGGCGTAAGGGAGAAAGTGCAACGACATCTGCACTTGTTTACAATTTATGCGCGTTACCTGCGTAGGTATAAGTAGGTACTTCGTACTCGCGGGTGCTAGGTAATTCTCATTTTAACAGGTAATTTCTAGAATGCGTCGATCGGCGTATATAAGCGCGATTGGCGCCGCGCAGAGACAGTTGAGTTTCAACAGCGATTTCGGAGCGAATCCAAAGGCGATCAAAGTGCAACAAATAGTGTTCAAGTGAGATTGTTTAGAGACTTATATAGTGAAATACAGTATTTAGTGAGTGTTTTGTAATTAACATTGTGTGTTAACTGTGTGAACTATGTGGTGAATAAAGAACTGTCAAGCGTGAACTGGCATATAATTTCGAACCCCATCCCGACACGTAACAATATTTAAGTGGGGCTTCCATACAACAAATCGTGTTCTTTTGCCGATTTATGCTTTATTTATAACGGCAATAGGTTGGCAATTGAAATATTCTCCTAATATTTAGTTGTATATTCACTTCAAAAATAAATTATAAAATTAATGTGACGTCATTTTAGACTCCGCCAATTTTCGGTCACGGCGCTATAGATCAAAAATAACTTGTCTATTTCATGATTTTTAGGAATATTATTGTCGGAATAGTAAAATCGCTCCTAAAAATCATGTTAAATACTCATGCCAAAACTGTTACTTTACTTTTCATGCAATCAAATCTTAGCCTATTCGTTCCAAATCCTCAACGTAGAAATAATGCATCCAAACCAATAATAATATAAATGCGAAAGTGACTTCTTCTTCCATTAATATGTTCTATAGTCATTAATCTACAGTTAAATGGTTAAAATTAAAAATATAATAAAGTGAGTTAATAGGTTCATTAAGTTTTCACGCCAAAAACACTGTTCGATCATGCTAAATTTTGGTACATATCTATAGATGGGACCCCAGATACAGTTGTAGGCTACTTTTTGTAGTGAAAATAAAACTAAAAGAAGCTGAAGTTTTGGATAAGAAAACAATAAAATCACGCTTACGAAATCCCACTAGTCACTACATAGTATAAAGCAAAGTCGCTTCCCGCTGTCTGTCTCTATGTCCCTATATCCCTATGTCCCTATGTATGCGTAGATCTTTAAAACTACGCAACGGATTTTGATGCAATTTCTTTTAATAGATAGAGTGATTCAAGAGAAACACTGATAATTTTCGAGGTTTAAATGTAATAAACACAATTTTTTGCGCTTACATTGTTAACGCTGGCTGAACCCTTAGAAATAGATCAAAATAATGTACTAAAGTATTGTACATCTTATAAAAGTCCGCGATGGTATATGCCTATCACTTAGGGATAACCCACAATAACCATTTTTTAATTACTAATTACTAGAAAATAATGGCTTATATACGAAAAAGCGATTTTAAGCAATACAGCATTAATCCTTTTCCAATTAAGTACCTTAAATACATTTTGCATGTATTATAGATCAATATGGCCGTTTACAGCATGTAATTTAAATGAATATTTTCGAAGATATTACAGATTTAAAATGCAGGAACATACCGGTTAGGGCGGTACTGGCCGGGGGCCCGGCGGCGGCGCGTGCCTATAGTAATTAGGTATTTAAAGTCATTGCGTTTAATAGAAGCCTGAGAACAAAAGCTGTAGTCTGAACTACAGCTTTACACCGAAGCGAAGCGAGGGCGGGCCACTAGTAATTAATAAATTGGCGATTTGTCTATAATCTATTCAAATTCCACTGTGGTAAAAGATAAACAAACCATAAAAAGGCTTTTTCAATAAGGTCTAATTTTATACGCATATAAAATCATGATAAAAAAAACCCAAAAAACAACCCAAGCTCAAACGCATTATAATACTACTAAATTGGATAGTAGTTATAAATCGAATCTTTTACATTGAAGTGTGAAATATTATAATCAGTCTGGTTACACCGGCCATCTTTACTCTCGATAAAGAAGTTTTAGAAACATTGGTTTGTTTACCTTTTGTCTCCGAGGAAGTTGAATAGAATATAGTGACTGGGTGTTGATGACTCACCGAACATCCACACGTCGGAGGCGGAAGTGAACCGCCGGAAGTTGATGGACTCTGGCGCCATCCACTTAATGGGCAGTTTGCCGCGAGACGCTTTGTAGTAAGACTTGTCTTCCACCATTTTCGATAAGCCGAAGTCCGCTAGCTGTGTTACGAAAATGTTATTTGAATCGTCGGTGTTTATAGACTACTGGTCGACAAATAAAATATTGCAATTCATTCCTTGAAATTGTAACAATTCAAACCTTGAAATTCATCTGTTATTTCATTCGACAAAGGCAATTAATTTAATATAAAAACTATCCAAAAACAAAAAAAAGTTTCGGAGTACAGTTATCTAGTCTGTCGTCCTTTACAGATTTTCTGTCCCTCTCACACAATTTATCTCTTTCTCTCGTCCTTTAGTACAACATCGTTCCTATGGATAGAATAGGGAGATTGGGCCATGACCCACCACGCGGGCCCAGTGCGGATTGGCGGGTGCTAACGACTGCAGATGCAGCCGGGACCAACGGCTTAACGTGCCTTCAGAAGCACGGAGGAACTCGAGATAGAAGATTTTTGGTCACTCATCCAATGACCGACCACTGCGAAAGTTGCTTAACTTTAACGATCCCATCCGAACGCGCTAACCACCCGTGCCATCGAGCTCCTCTTTCTATACGTCACTACGTTAAAAAATAAAGTATTCTGATGTAAAAACGAAAAGTAAATACAAGAATTCTCTACAACATTACACAGGTGTCGATTCTGGAATGATTTTCTAAACCTTGAATAAAATTTGACAACAGTGTATCCTTGTCTTTCGCTATACAGAATGAAGAGGAGATACTGATGTTAAATTAAGTTTTAAGTTTAAGAGAATCATGCCAGAATCGGCACCATTCTAAACCAAGTTGAAATCATTACAATCACTATTTTGACAAACATGTTAAGCAACAACAGTACCTGTGCCCATAACATTAGAGTTCACATTACCTTGACACAGGTGGGTGTTGATACTAGCACGTTTCTCGCGGCTATATCCCTGTGCACGAACTTCTTGCTCTCCAGGTAGCTGAGCGCCATCGATAGTTGGTATATATATAATACTAGCGTGCACGTTTCCAATCTGGAATAATATCAATATAGTCATTACACGCATATTAATCAATTAGCTATGGGGTTTCTTTGATTCGACGACCGATTCTTTTAACGACCTCCGTGGCCGAGTGGTTTTTACGCCGGGTTTCATGGTGTCGCCGACTCGAGAGGTCCCGGGTTCGAATCCCGGTGGGCGCAGATGTTTGTGTGATAGATACGAGCATTTGTACTCCAGTCGTAGATGTTTAATATGTATTTCTATATAAATATACTTATATATGTACTGTATCTATATTCTATCCGTTACCCTAGTATCCCGTAACACAAGCCTACAGTGCTTTCTTTGGGGCTAGGCTAATGAGGGCTATCGCGTATGAATCCGCCGCTAGAGGCGCTAGTGTAGCGTGAGGTCTCCGAAATGTCAAATGTTATTGCTTGTTGGTTGACTACGCGGGTTTATTTCTAATTAAAATAATGTTGTGAATAATTGGTAACAATTCGGCTTAATTATGGCAAATATGAGTTATGTGGCAATGAATGTCAGTTATTAAAAATTTGAGCTTAGAAAAATGATTATGTTCCCATTGTTTCCGAATAAAACGGAACTGCGCGTCACTGTGGCATGCCCTATTATGTTTAGGATATGGTTCTTTTGTGTTAAAATACGATCTAAATGTAACCTTTGATTTCATGTGCGTATTAATAAACTTTAAAAGTTACAATTTAGGACCTCACTCAACAGTGGCGCCATCTGGTGAGGCAGAAAACGGTAGCCCTCATTGGTGTGAGTGTTGGAAATATTTATTTATTTATTTATTTATTCATACTGGAACGGAAGTATATGAAGCGAAATATGTACTACATGAGGCAAATTGTATCTCGTTGAATTCAAGACTCATATTCTAAAGGTAAATGTAAAACTAAGCTTAAAAATTACGTATTTAGTGATTCACGTGATTCAGATAAACCATTAATGGCCTATAGCCCCACTTAAGGCGTGAGATCTTATTTTAAATTACTTCGGTTAATACTAAACGAAGTAACTCCCTGGCCTATGATGGTAAAAAAAAAAAAAAATTTTTGGGTCATAAGGTTGATTTCAAATTTTCCTTTTTTCAGCTTTTGCGAACTGCGAATTTGTCAAGTGTAATTATTATGTATTTATTTGATACAATAAACTGTAAAAAAACCCAGACGAAAAATTTCGCACGATATAGAAAGTAATCTGTACACATAATTTTTTTCTAAGTGTGTATGCTGTTGGTCGCAGATGACCTTTACAGCGTCACCGGGTTTGGGGACGGCGAGATCCTAAGGGGACGTCAAGCCGTAAATTGGCGAGGTATTCCAGGCGGATGGCATCTCCCCACGGGGGGAGTCTCCTCTCCGTCTGGAGCTTCTAGACCACTCGAACCTGAGGGGGTCGGCTCAACTAGAGGGCGTCTCTGAGACTCGGACCTCGGCTCTAGTTAGCCGTCGTCGTGGGGGGTGGGGAAATTATCCAGGTACGTACCTGTACCTGGTATAGCGTGTCGTGTGTAGACCGGGTCTCCGCACTCTTATCCTACGGGTGCGGTGTCTGCCTAATATAATATAAATATAAATATTTCCAACACTCACACCAATTAGCCTAGCCCCAAAGTAAGCACTGTAAGGCTTGTGTTATGGGATGCTAGGGTAACGGATTGAATACATATACAGTACATATATAAGTATATTTATATAGAAATACATATTAAACATCCATGACTGGAGTACAAATGTTCGTGTTTATCACACAAACATCTGCCCCCACCTTGATTCGAACCCGGGACCTCTCGAATCGGCGACACCATGGAACCCGGCGTACAAACCACTCGGCCACGAAGGTTATAATGCTAAGCTAGTGTGCAATTATACTAGCTGTGTAGTGTTGGTGTTTATGACCTGTGTGGGAGGAGTAGAAGGCGCGTTGTCGCGCGTGATTTCGTCGTCGGGCTACTCTAAGACGTGCCTAGGCCGACGGAATCGGAGGGACCTACGACTGGAGGACGGGAGGACACTTACCTCTGCGCGTTTTGCTGTAAATATGCCCGCATTTCCCCGAGGGTGGCCAACTCCATCACTATCCAGATGGGAGGGGAGCTGCACACCCCCACCAGCCCGATGATGTGGGGGTGGGTGAACTGCTGCATTATGTCTGCAAATCGAAAAGATAAATTATCTAAAGAAAAGTTTACTAGAAAAAATTCCATGCGGACCAGGCAGCAGACGGGACTCGAACCCGCACCGTTAGCTATCCGATCGAATGCACTGACCATTATGCTACCGCGGCCCTGACGGCCGTGTCGAATTTTCTCTAGCCTTAGGCTGCAAGGCAGCGCTTGAGATTTAAACATCTAGCACAGCTATACTCTAAGTGTGTTCCGCGGAACCCTAGGGTTCCGTGATACCTCTGTCGGGGTTCCGCAAGAATTTAGAAATAAAAAAATCAAAACACCTCTCTCTGGTCGCTCCGCGGCTGTGCGGACTCCGCGGCCGCGCGGAGACAAAACGCTATGAATGTTATTTATTTATTTATTTGTATTTGTATAAGCTTGTGTTACATTAGCTGGTACAATATCTCATAAGTTTGGTCTCAACAATTTTATACTTGTACAACGCGTTCGCTCTAAGTTTGCCGGTCTGTGGAATGCGCGTACCCTCCCCCACGTGACAACAAAACTTATAATGTGTCATAGTTTTACCCAAATATCTAACGTACACAATTTTTATTGTTACAATTAAATAAAAAATTTCGAACGTCATACACTCATACCTATCGCCAGCGGCAAACTTAAAACGAGCGGGTAGTATACTTGTAAGCGCTCAGTCTCTTTGATAAAAGCCGCCTCTGAATTAGACGCTATAGTTGTCAACTAGCGACTTTCGTCTCTAACTTCAAAGGATAAAGTCGATATTGTTTACAACGCTATTTTTAAATTTCTGTTTTTATTTTTGCTTTTTGTTTATCAAAGGTGCCGACTCGAGTATTTTCGAGAATATTTGAGATCGAGTCTAGGACTAAGTATAAAAGCGGCGATCGCGCGTTGGCGTCGTCAGTTGATGATTAGCGTTCGGAGCGATAAGTTACTACCTACTTACAAGCTCGCTAGCGAGAAACTGGTGTTCATTGTTTTACTGCCTGCTGTATTCTGTTGTCTCAGTTTTATACATTTCTTCCCTGTAGGTTCTAAATTTAGTCTCTTATACGCAGTAACGATTGTGCATTATTTAAACCCCACTATCCTGACTTGTAACATTATAAATAAAGAAGAATGGAACGTTGGCTTAAAGGTGTTAAACGTGTTCCAACAACATCTTCTAATGACGCTGAATGTTCAAAAGCAATGCGCGCGGAGAATTTAGCAATCACCGATCCAGAAGATGATGCCACGAGTGCCACGACGTCAAGCTCGACGGTTTCAAAGACGAAAAAAAGGAAGTATGATGAATCTTATATCAGTTTCGGATTTGTTGATTCCAACGGCTCACCTCTCTGCATGCTCTGTAGTAAACTGCTTCCTAATAGTTCCATGGCACCTGCCAAATTGCGTCGACATTTAGAAACCGTACACCCCGAGACTAAAGACAAGAATAAAGAATTTTTTGTTCGCAAAAAAGATCAGTTATTAGAAAGTCAAAAAAATATGATGCATGTAACACAAACTACCAACGAAAAGGCCACGGAGGCATCATACTTAGTTAGCTATCGCATTGCACAAGCAGGTGAAGCGCACACTATCGCTGAGAAATTAATAAAACCATGTGTATTAGACATAACAAAATGTATGCTTGATGAAAAATCTGCAAAGCATCTTTCTACTGTTCCGCTATCAAACGATACTGTTTCACGACGAATCCATGATCTGGCAAGCTACGTCAAACAAGAACTAGTTACACGTCTACAAAATACACGATTCGCTTTGCAAATGGACGAGTCGACTGATGTCGCTGGTTTGGCTATCCTGCTGGTTATTGTGAGATATCCATATAAAAGTTCTTTTGAAGAAGACATGCTTATGTGTTCATCGCTGCTTACAAACACTACCGGGGAAGAAATTTTTAATAAAATAAATATATTTTTTGAAGAACATAATCTCAGTTGGAACAATTGCATTGACATTTGTACAGATGGGGCCAAGGCGATGACAGGTAAAACAGCAGGAGCAGTGTCACGAATGAAAAATAAAGCGCCTAATTGTAGTTCCAGTCATTGTATTCTGCATAGACAAGCACTTGCGATGAAGCAAATGCCGTCTAATCTAAAATTAGTTATGGATGAAGCGGTAAAAATAATTAATTTTATCAAATCACGACCACTACAATCCCGATTGTTCTCATTATTGTGTGAAGATTATGGCAGCAAACATAAAACACTGCTGCTCCATACAGAAGTGCGATGGCTGTCTCGGGGAAAAACTTTAACAAGGCTATTTGAACTTAGAGCCGAGTTACAAATGTTTCTTTCAGCAGATACTTCTTTTAATTTGAAGGACCGTTTGTATGATAAAACTTGGTTGTTCCGATTGTCTTTTATGGCGGATATCTTTCAAAAACTTAACGAATTAAATTTATCATTGCAAGGTAAACAGACAACAGTGTTTCAGGCCTATAATAAAATAACTACTTTTAAAAGAAAATTAGATTTTTGGATCATTTGCATTGGTAAGAAAGAAATAGAAAGTTTTACGTTACTCACTGAGTTTGTTAGCGAAAACGACTCAGAAATGTTTGAAGATAATGTGTTTGAAGAATTGGTCCAATATCTCAGTTCGATGCGCGCATCTTTTGAAAAGTATTTTCCCGAAGAACACAATACAAAAATTAAAGTGAACTCCTGGATTCATAATCCTTTTTTACCCAACTTGGAAAAGCCTGAAAACATGTCAAATGAGATATATGAATCTCTTTTAGAAATGTCATCAGACACAAGTATGGAGTCATTGTTCAAAACGACGCCTCTTAATGATTTTTGGTGCAGAATCCAAGATGAATATGCAATGCTTGGCCAAATGGCTCTGGATATTCTTCTCCCGTTCCCAACTACATATTTGTGCGAAACAGGATTCTCTACCTACGCAGCCACGAAAACAAAATATCGCAATAGACTGGACGCCGAAGCTGATATGAGACTCCAACTTTCTTCCATCAAACCTGATATCAAGCAATTGATGAAAAATAAAAAACAGTTTCATACCTCCCACTAGTTAGATTTTTTCTTTTTTAATGTTTTCTATTATTGTCCTTACCAAGTGGTGAAGTAAATAATAATTAGTAACGGATACATTGTACTTTTATTATGCTGATTAATATAGAATACACTTATAAAAATAATTGTTTTATTGTAGGGTTCCATCAAGTATTTTGCTTCCCAAAAGGGTTCCGTCATTTAAAAAGTTTGAGAACCACTGATCTAGCAGAATGCATAAAAAAAAACCAATTATCTTTCCAACACATTAACAGAAAAATATAAAAATTCAGATTAGCCCCCATGACGAATTGATACCAATATTGTCATTTTAGCTTCAAATTTTGTTTTTAAAAAAAAAACTCTGGAGCAACGTAGAACAAACATAGAATAATCCAGTTAACCTGGATAATAATACAATTCATAAAGTGGGGACCTAACTTCCCTGAGGTGGTATTTTATGATGTAATATTGCTTTACCCACATGCTTCCTTTAGGAACTTTATGTTCTACCGCGGACCAATCAAAGACTCCGAAAATTCGAACAACTCACTTGTTTTTTGAAGTCTTACGATAAAATTTACTCACAAGCTTCTTCTAAAAACTTTTCCGTGGTATCCAGATTCGCGTCAATCTTGCACGTCTTCACCGCCACTGGCAGAATCAGTTCCCCGGTCCTGCTGCCGGCTCGTGCGGCAGATAAGTGCCGCAGTGCCGCGCGGGCGGCGGGCGGCAGGCGGCACGTGCCGCGGTGCACGTCCCCGAACTGCCCCTCCCCAATGATGGCCGTCAGCTCGATCTGGTTGCGTACTAGCTCGTAATCACGGACTGTGACAAAAAAAATAAGAGAATTATAAGCCCCGGCACATTTTTTTTATTTCATTTATTATTTAAAAAATCCTGCTGTTTTTATAACTTGCCAACGGAAAAATTAGTTAGTTTCTTAATTAGAGTGACTTACATAGAAGATACCTAGTGGCTAAGACAATACATATTATTAAGATATATTAATATAGATTTGAGAGGAGTATAATGGTATTAAAATGAAGCCTGTTTAATTAGTACCCATCAGACCCCTCTTTCCCAGTGGGCACTTTGGGCAAGTGCCCGGGGCCCCGCGATCGATAGGGGCCAATTTCAGATGTTTCTTAGTTCCTGTTAGATCAAACAAAGTCCTTAGTTCCTATTAGATCACCAAACGGCGGTCATAGGAGCCCCATTATCCGCATATGCCCAGGGCCAGGGCCTCCAATAGGTCAAAGACGTCACTGGTACCCATATGTCTTTTTTTCTACAAACCTTGTCCTGGCAATAACGAATACAATAAAAATATAACCATCCAATAAATCCAATTTGGTTTAGCCGTTCGAAAGTGATACGCATACATACTCTTTTCGACGATTCGTTTTTATATATATAGGTAGATTCGTATGAAATTTACTCCAAATTAGTAATGTTGACCCTTCACATGGCTATTTGTCATTTTGACAGCAGGTTGCCCTTGGCATACTTTATGGGGAGTGATATGCAGAGACTGTTGTCACGTTTACAAATACAAATAGCCATGTGAAGTGCCGACATAACACACCATAAAGGCGGAGGCCACTAAAAAAATTATTATTTTCATTATTTCTTAGGTTTTCACGCACATCACTCATTAAATAAAACTAGTTTTAACGGGTTAATGCACGAAACTTTATTTAATTATTGACGTTTCGCAGCCTTTTCAGGTCTGCATCGTCAGAATATCAGTATTAATTATTTTCATTATTTTTACCCTGGTACCCTTTTTTTAAACAGCAAATGAGCTGATGATTTACGAAACCCTAAATATATCTTCATAAAAAAAATAACTAGAAAAAAATCCACGCGGACCACGCAGCAGACGGGACTCGAGATCGCACCCTCCTATCCGGGCAGTTAAATGCTTAAAAAAATTATAAATATCTTCATAAATTATTAGCTTGTTAATCAGTTTTCAAGTATAAAAAAAAACCCGCATATTAATCAGACCATTAATTTAGGGTAGCTTCCGACCAAATTAGATGAGAACAAAAAGTATTTTATTATATATGTATTTATTTATTTACCGGCGGGCGTAGAATAGTCAGCGTCGTCGTCCACAATTTCCGCGTAATCTTCGGACAGTAAGGTGGCGGCGCCGGACCATGAACTGGTCTTGCCTTCTGAAGAACTACTGCTCATTTCCGCTGCAAACATATATGTCATCATAAGACCATTAATGTATATTCAATTCATGAACAAAATCCATTGTTTTGTTAATATAGGTGTCGATATGAGAATAATAAAGGCCTATCTATGGATGGAATACGTGACTTCCGAAACAACAATGGGTATTTGGAAGTTTTAGAAAATTCGAACATCAAAAACGAATGATCGAAGAGTCCATGAAAAGTGGTTATTCATATTTCTGTGTAGATTTCAGTAAATAAAATTATATCATAAATTACATTTACAAGTTGCCGCGAAAACTTTTCTCTGGACATTAAGGCGTCTCACTAGAATGTGACGTTATACTCACATGACTGTCATTACAACGTCAAATGACACAATGTAATGTCGCTTTGACCGGAAGTTTAATAGCATGTGACGTTATTTAGACTTCGCCATTCCTAAGCGTTTTCGGTCACGTGACCATAGAACAACAAAATCGTTTCTATTTAATGCTTTTTTTAGAAAACTTTTTTTTCGCAGATTATTATTATATCCTATTAGAAATTGAGATATAGGGCATAGAGGATGTTTGTGTGAGTGAAAATAAGCCAACTGCTTACTTCCCAGCTCCCAATACAGATACTAGAACATTATCAAGGGGTAGGGAAATTTCCAAAAGATTTAGACGATGATTTTGTAATCAGATCAATGAGAGGTTTCATAAATGATCAGTTCTAGGTGGCCGAAGAAAGGTAAGAGGAACACACATCTGCCTAATGTAAATACAATACAATTTTATTGTGACAAACTAATATGCATATTTACACACAAATACGAAAAAATACAAATATTAAACTTACTTTTACATTGACAGGCAAGTTGTTTACATATGGTAGCTGTGAACAGAAGAAGGCAGAATTACTAATTAGATTACACAATTTTTTTATATAATAAAATTAAAGATTTGTCTCAGTAACATTTCGGTATTTATACCATACAAATAAATTCCTATCTCCTTCAACCAGAAACGTTATTGATTTACTAAACAAAATATCATATGACCTGTCTGAAGCTTCTGAGTGGCTTTGATATGGAAAATTACTAATATTTTGAAGAGTTTATGTATTACAGTTTTAAATACGAATAGAAACGTAAACAGTCACATTTCCAAAAAATATATGACACGATCCGTTTGCATCAAACAGCCTACCAATTCTTATTAAAAAATATTAAGGTGTACCACAAGGCTCTTTTCTAGTGCCTGTATTACTGTAGACATTATAAATGAGAAATAAAAATAAAATGTTGGCTCACTAGATATAACAAATAACTGAATTAAGCATAACTTTAATAACTTTAGTGTAAGCGTGTTCACATTACTCCGTATCTAAATAAAAACCAGATCCTCAACATGAAAGCGCGCCGGGAGCTCCATTACGCATGCTTAATACAAAAAGTACTTTGGCGGAAAGATCCAGTATACCTATTTGAAAAATTGATCTTCTTCGGGGAATCTAATAGGAATCTTCGCTCTGCCACACAAAATCTGCTCAAGGTTGCTGCTCACAAATCTGCACGATATAGGGGATGTTTCAGGTTCAATGCAGCAAGGATTTGGAATGACCTACCTCCACCCCTTCGTTGTAAAATGAATACATCAAAATTCAAAAAATACTTCATAAACAACTTGCTGCGGAAAACCTGAAGCATCCTTATCATAGCCACTTGCTGCTCTTTTTTGTTTTGACTAAGGCCTAGCCAGTGACGCATGGAAGGTACGAGTAGGGCGAGTACATCTATAGCAAGTAGAAGAATACGTTTATACGTTTATGCACGAAACATGTTCCAATATTTATTATAATCAAATAATGGATAATTCGAGGCTCTATATACATATTATTAATTTTAAGTAAAATTTGTTAAGGGGTGGCTGAAAAACAGCGTTGGTTCAGGTCTAGGCTTGACCAACATTGGCTGAGCCATTTCCTATTGTCTTATTTTTAACGAAATTTTATTATTTAAATATCTGTTAACATGTAAAAAAAGACAATAAATTATTATTATTATTAAGTATAAATATTGTTTGAAGTGAAAAGAAATTATACTTTATTAAAGAAAGAAAGAAAAGATTTTAATGGCTTTAAAAAAACATAAAAAAAGACACGAAATGACGACAAATAAAAATAAAAACAAGAAAAAGAATGCTTGCGGTAACATCAGCTGCAGCATTTCCAGGGATATACCATCATCTCCTTGTGCATTCGATTTTAGTCGTTTTATTGCTTTTAATATTTGATCCTCACCCACAGTGTGCAGTGTGAAAACTGATTTACATTGATTTATTGAAAGCTCTTTTGAATCGTCCAATATTTTTTCCTACCATTAAGTACCTACATTGCGATTGTTACAGATAGTATTGCTTGAATGCTACATGATAGAGTAAGATAAAAACTAACATTTATGACAGAACTTACTAAACAGTATTTTCCGAAACTAAATCAGGAAAGAAGGGTACAAAGTATAAAATACTAACTAAAGAAGGAGACAAAATTTTTATATAATTGATATGGCTAAATGGCTGAAATAAATGAATTGAATAAAAAGAAATAGTTACTGCGTCTTCCTTCAAGAAAAATAAAATATTTTTTATAAAAACTTACTCGTTCTATTCCATAATGACGTCTGTGAGTCAGTGACTAGTCTGCAGTAGCCGTCCACCAAGTCTGCTAAACTCTCGGCCGCCTGTTCAGTGAAACATGTACTTAATCAATATTTAGATAAGGATTTAAATAAAGTAATTATAAATCTACAGAAAATAATACTAGAAATGATTCCACTCGGTCTAGGTTTCAGACAGGATTCGAACCTGCGCCTGCGCCGTCCGCAATCGCGGATTGTGGAATCTACCACTTATCTAGCAATTTAATGCTTTAAATAATAATTTAATAACATTTCACTATATTCAATAATAATAATAAAAATAAATAAATATAAATATTTCCAACACTCACACTAATTAGCCTAGCCCCAAAGTAAGCAACTGTAAGGCTTGTGTTATGGGATACTAGGGTGACGGATAAGAATACATATACAGTACATATATAAGTATATTTATATAGGAATACATCCACGACTGAAGTACAAATGCTAGTATTCATCACACAAACATCTGCCCCCACCGGGATTCAAACTAGGGACCTCTCGAGTAGGCGACACCATGAAACCCGGCGTACAAAATACTCGGCTACGGAGGTCATCAATACTTCATATCTAATCGACTTGGCAATTTCTAATAAGAAGAATACATTATAGGGCCCACTCATATACTAATACTAAACTATGCTCCCTCAATAATAACCATAATTATTCAAAACGAACACAGACATTTTTGATGTTGATATTTTTCCAATATTTATTAGGAATTTATAAAACACGGTTCTGCTTGCACAAATACACTTGTTATTCAGTAGAATATAAAGTGGCAAACCTTTAAAATCGACAGCTAAGATCAAAGTTTACATATGGTAAAACTAGATGGCGCTACTTGTTACAAATTTTGAAATGGACAATATTATTATTTCACTGTGATTTACCTCAACGCTATTGACTGTGATAGTTAACGTCTCAGTTGCCCCCTTCACTCTCAACTGTAACGCCGCTTTGCCGCATGAACCACTCTGAAATAAAAATACAAAATGGGGTGTCAAAAGGTATGTGCATCAAGAAAGTAATATGGGTTAATACCCATATTACTTTCTTGATGAAACTGACATTGTACCAAGCAGTCATAGCTTAATAGCTATGACTGCTTGGTACAATGTCAGTTTCATCATCAACCTATTAATGTCCCCACTGCAGGGGCACAGGCCTTCCCTATGGATGGAATAGGGAGATTGGGCCATGACCCACCACGCGGGCCCAATGCGGATTGGCGGGTGCTAACAACTGCAGATGCAGCCGGGAGCAACTGCTTAACGTGCCTTCCGTATACCGAGGAACTCGAGATAGAAGATTTTATTTATTTATTTATATCACATTGCTCATGTACATTATTTATTATAAGGTCTTATATATACTTAATAGTGAGTGGTACATGACCCCGTTGGGGTGTTGCAACAAACTTGAGCTTAACATTAAATACATTATTTTCACTTAATTGCTGGTCATATCAAATCACATCAGGTCCAACCAAATTTAAACAAAATCAATCCATTTTAAAAATTAATCAAGTTAATTTATATCATATCATGTCATCATAATCATATCATATCATCATAGTCAAATCAAAATCATATTTTATCAAGTTAAATCACATTATATCAAATTAATAGGTCAAACATAATTAAGTTAAACTAAATCAAATCAAACAAACAGGTCAAGCATAATTAAGTTAAATTAAATTACATTTATTTTTCATTCATAAATTCATCAACAGAATAATACGCTTTTTTTGTAAGATGCTGTTTCAATTTATTCTTAAATATGTTTATATTAGATTCTGTTTTAATAATAACGGGAATTTTATTATATATCATTATGGATCGGTATAATGGTCCATTTTTATACATCTCCAGTTTAGGTTCGGGAGGAATCAGATTAAACTGGCGGCGAGGATTATTACTTCTTTTATAATATGATTGATATTTGCGTACAAACATCGCTAATTCCATAATATATATTGATGGGAGGGTTAGTAATTTCTCATTTATAAAGTATGGCCTGCAGCTTTCTCTTGGTCGTATATTGTATATAATACGCAGGCATTTCTTTTGTGAGATAAACAGATCATGTGCATTGGTACTTTGCCCCCAGAGAATAATTCCATAACTTAACCATGCGTATGCATACGCATAATAAGCCGATAAAGCACATTTTATATTAGTATTGGTTTTTAGCACGCTTAAGGCGTAGGTAAATTTCGATATTTTTTTCCTAATTTGTTCAACATGGGCCTTCCAGTTCAAGTGTGAATCGATAGTTATGCCTAAGAGTTGCACGCTGGATACTTCTTTTATATTTTGTGAAGTTTTAGCCTCATTTAGATCTATGGATGGTTTTTGGTATGGGTGGAACTGTATAATGTGAGTTTTGGTTTTGTTTATTTCTAAATTGTGATTTTTGAGCCATTGGTTTATAGAGTTTAATGTGGATTCTATTTTCGAGTTAAAGTTAATGTTGCGAGGGACTTCAAAGAGAACCGAGATGTCATCAGCAAAGAGTATGCACTTAAATTCTGTCGTCTTTGGTAAGTCATTGATATATATCAGAAATAATATACAGCCGAGAACACTCCCTTGTGGTATTGAATGATTTATTGTTACAATATCCGATTTGATTTGTTTCATTTCATTGGTTTCTTCATTAAAATGCTGTATCTGTACGAATTGACGTCTATTTTGTAAATAGGAACAAAACCATTTCAGGACTTTTCCTCGAATTCCAACTCCATGTAGCTTTGATAGACATATCCAACATTAATCCTACTGCATGATTCTTTTCTCTTATGTAGTTTAATATTTCTTGAATATAGTTAAAAGTAGCTAAGATAGTCGAATGTTTCTCACGAAAGCCGTATTGATTTTTATCTAGTATGTTATATTTTTCAAGAAAGGAGTAGATACGTTTAGACATCGGCTTTTCGAATAATTTGGAAAGTGTCAGAAGTAGTGCTATTGGTCTATATTGATTGAGATTATTCGCCATACCTCCCTTTTTTAAAATTGGTGTTATTTTCGCTAGTTTTAACCGATCCGGGAAAGTGCTTTGGTCGAATGATTGGTTCACTAGAAATGTAAGTACAGGGACCAATTCAACTCGACAAGATTTTATTAATATTCTTGGTATATCGTCGTCGCCGTAGCTATATTTATTTGGTAGTTTTCTAATAAGATCGTTCATCTCTTTTTCCGTTACAGGTTTCAAGAACATTGAATTAATTGTTGGTTCTAGAACAGTAGGAGCTTTATTTTTTTGATTTCTATTTTGTGGTTTGCCAACTGATATAAAAAACTTGTTAAAATGGTTTGCAACCGTCTGAGGACACGTTATTTGAGTATTGTCACATACTAAGTGTATATTTTTGTGTCTACTATCTTGTTTCTTTCGTGTTACCTGATTTATTATTCTCCACATGCATTTTGTTTTATTATTCGACTCGTTCATTTTTCTTATATAGGTGCTTTTTTTGGATAATTTTATGCATTGCTTTAGTACTTTGACATAAGATTTATAGTGATTCTTTAATATTAAATTATTTGATTGGTTTACTAGTATTTTTAAAATTCTTTTATTTTTGCACGACTTTTTTATACCGTTTGTTAGCCAGGTTATTTTATGTTGTTTAGCACGACATTTTATTTGTTTACTTGGTATGCATTCATTTAGTGTTTCTAATAGTTTATCATGGAATTGATTGAAGTTCTCGTTTACGTTATTAGTAAAATTTAGTTTAATTGTGTTTAGCCAGTCTTTTTTACCTATTTTTTGTTTAAATCTATTTATGTTAACACTATTGAAAATTCGTTTATAATATATACTTGTTACATTACTTTTTATATTAGCGGTTAACTTGAGTCTGCTCATCAATGCACGATGATCTGATATCCCCAAATCTTTTACAGCAACATCAATATTTTTTATATTTGTAAACAAAAGGTCAATGCATGTTGAAGTAGTTTGCGTCACTCTAGTGGGACTATTGACTTGTTGGTGTAGATTGTATTCCAACATTTTATTAACAAGAAGTTGGTAATCGTATGAGGATTTTACGCTGTCTATATTAAAATCGCCATTTATAATTATTTGTTTACGACTTTTGTTTTTTAATTTTAATAACATTTTATCTAAGAAATCAAAGAATGTGTTCATGTCACGTCCCGTCCTGTAAATTGTTATTATGACTATGCCCGATCTTAATTCTACTCCACAACACTCAACCCTGCCATCTAAAGATAAGTTTGTAAATTCTTTGAGCTCTATGTACGGAATATCTTCCTTCAGTAGTATTGCAACTCCACCTCCGCGATGTTCTTTCCTATTGTATGTAGCAGCGAGTCGGTAGTTATTTATGTGTATGTAGTTTTTTTGGTCCGGTTGTATCCAAGTTTCAGACAAGCAAATTGCATCAACGTTTAGGTCTTGTAGTAAAGCGTTAAAAACGTCAATTTTATTTTTTATGCTCTGCATGTTCTGAGTTAAGATGTTCAATTCCTCGAAAAAAATGATTTTGTACTTGAGGTTTATTTCTCAGCAATTGTTGATCTTCCACACTCTTGCTACTTTCTCTGGGGTTTGTTATATTTCCCTGTAGTTGCTCCTTGTTTATATTTTTATTGATGCAATGTTCTACAGGCTTTTTGTTCTCTAAGTCGAGGCTTTTGTTTTTGTTTTTATCATTTTCTGTCTTAATATATTCTTTCCCATTTATATATAATTTACAATTGCGTATAATTGCGTGGTTGCCCTTTTTCCTTTCGGCTTGTAAAACTTTCATTAAGTCATTTCGTTTTATGATTTCATCTTTTTCTAAGTACTCTGTTATTGCAAATCCGGTATTTCTAAAATATTGTCTATTTTGTAGAATATGTTTTGTCATTTTTTTACTCAATAACTCTATTTCTAGTGGTCTGTGTCTTCCCGGTCTTCCTAATCGTTTCAGTTCTTCAATATAGCCTTCTAGGTTGGTATTTAATATATTAGAAAATATATGAATAATGTGATCGTGAACTTCTTCTTCTGTTTCTCCGTAGAATTCTTCTAATCCGTATAATACGATCTTTTTACTATTATCTTTATTATTTTTTTCTTTTCCAGTAATGCCTGTAGAAGCTTCATATGATGCATTTGCTTGGGGCCATTTACTTTTTAGATTTTCTAGCTGCATTTCTAAATGTGTTATTTTTCCATTTATTACTAGGATTTCTTCATTTACTTTTTGTTGTTCTGCTGTTAATATATCTGTACGATTCATAACTTCCTTTTTAAAACTTGAGATGGCTTTTTCTAATTCTTTTTGGACTGTTGACTTAAATTCTTGTATTATAGCTTGCTTATTTTTTTCCAATTTTTCGAATATAATTTCGCATAATTGTTCACGATTCATTTTGTCTTTGTAATGTGTTTCTGTTGATGTCGTTTTAATTTCACTCACTGTTCCCCCAATTATACTTATGTCGTTTTGTATCTGATCATCAATGGACATATCTAAACTTGTGTTTGTGTTGTTGATTTGAGCCGCCTTTCTTCTCATTGTAATGTTATGGTCAACTTAAGTTTCTAAACATATTCGAACAGGTGTATTAATATTATCTTGTTTGGGAGTCTTACATCGACAGGCTTGGCATTTCCAATTAAGTTTGTGCTCGGTTGTCATAGTATTATAGAAACGCTTTTCTGGCACGTTTGCGCAAATTAAATCATATTTTTCTTCACAATAGGCGCAGACAAGAAATTGTCGGTTTGGGATAATGGTTTTACACCCTGCACATTCCATTTTACGTTTTCGTAGTAGACTTCTTGATTTGAAGTATTCGGGGGAAAAAAAATATATTATAGAAAAAATAATTTTAATAAAAATCGCACGTCGCTGTGATTTGAACTCGAGGCCAGCCGTATCTCTTAAGTCACTGCGACTTCTTATGCACTACGCCACGCAGTTTCAATAATCGGTCACGAAATTTGTATACAATCTTGTGTCGAAAGGATGCACTACTATGTTATGTTTGGATGACCTCCTTTTCTACCAAAAAAATATTATTTTAGAATTGTATTTTTAACACTTATTACACTGATTTATAATGTTGTTACTTATCACTTTCTGTTGTTTCCCAAATGATTGATGGTAATATAACTTTTTAGAGTCATTTCCTTTGCTGAGTTTGTTTATTGTTTACATTCAAATTTATGGATAATTACTTGAATTTTATACACTGCACTTTGTTGTTGTTTCTTTTCGGATTGCTTTGTCTTCGATAGGTGATGATATTTATGTCACAATCCACATTATTATGATATTTTTATAAGTTATTCGACACTTTAACTATTTATAGATTTATTTTTGTACACAGCAGTTGTTAACGTTGCAGCGTCTGCGCGCGCCTCTATCCCTCTATTCTCTATTTTTGGTCACCCATCCAATGACCGACCACTGCGAAATTTGCTTAACTTCAACGATCGCAGCCGAACGCGCTAGCCACCTGCGCCATCGAGCTCCTGCACAATGACAATGTTCATGCATTTTGTTCTTAGGGGATCATCCATTAATTACATCTTTTTTATCATACGTTCAGGAGGGGAGGGGACATTGTGTAACACATAAGTTTCGTGACGTCATATTTCAAAATATATTTTGTTTTCTGTTTAATTAGCCAGCGAGTAGGCCAGCAGGCAGCGTCGGCAGTGGGTTTATATAGTTCAATTCAATCTTAATGGCGCAATTGGCCGCACAGAAGACAACATTTTCATGCGTGCGAGGTTTGACCATAGTGATTAAAAGTCATCGGGAAATCCATAGTTCATATAGTCTATGGCTATTTTTTCTTTTTTTAAGAGGGAAGCTTGAATTTGATAGTTCATCGTTCAAATTAAGAATAACCTTAGAACTCCGTCATCGAAAGTTCATTTCGGAGAAAGAGAGTAGGCCCCCTGGTTCTACTGACTGAAACCTGCACAGAGTTGCGTTCGTAGCTAACTTCACAGGCGCTTTAAAGTTGTAATATCTTCTTCTTCTTTTATTATGGCATGACGGCTAATGTTGCCAATTGCCATATGCAAGTTTCATTTGATGTAATTGATTAGCAAATTGATTAAACTTGATCGATTAAAGGAGCAGAATATGGATAGTTGGTACTTGGATATGTGGTAGTTGCAGATGGGAAAAAATAAGGAAACGATATGAACAAGAAAGAAAAGGGAGATTTGCGATAAACAAGAACAAGTAACAACAGTTGAGTAGGTAGGGAAATATAGGTAAATAATGGGAACTATAGTAAAAATATAAATATATAGATAAACTAAATTTTTATACCATTTTTTCTGATAAACTTGAACTACGACCTACGTCTACGTCCGAACGGATAAACATATGTATATATCAGGATTAATCTTATATATAAAATTCTCGTGTCGCGGTGTTTGTGGTTAAACTCCTCCGAAACGGCTTTCCCGATTCTCATGAAATTTTGTGTGCATATTGGGTAGGTCTGAGAATCGGACAGCATCTATTTTTCATCCCCCTAAATGTTAAGGGTAATCCACCCCTAATTTTTTTTTTCAATTTTAGATTTTTTTTTTATTTTTTTTTATGATACATCATACACAAATACATACAACCCTAAATTTTCACTCTTCTTCCACCAACCCCTATTTTTTTATGGCGGTACGAAGTTCTCTGGGTTAGTTAGTATTATATAGAAGGGAAGGAATGGACGTAAGTTGTAATATCGCAGTATACTGTAGTCACCTGGTCCTGGTGTTGTCCGCAGGCCGGCCGCAGAGTATGTAACGCGAGTACGTCGCTGAAGGCGGCCACGCGGGAGTATGCGGGGGGTTCCCCCGCGCGGTGAGATACGTACGATATGTCTGGTGACAATAACAAACTCATTATTTATCATATTGGTATAAGAATAGAGTAGGGGAGATATAGACTCTGCTACAAGTGGAAGTGTCCCTCTAATAGAAAGAGAAAGAAGATGAGAGACCGCTAGCTTTCTCTCTCTAATCGCGCATGCGCATTGGCAACCGTAAGCATCTTACTATTTCGATATGATGCTTGGACCAACTATTGGACAGATGACCGCGCATGCGTCACAGGGAGAGATAGCTAGCGGTCTCTCATCTTCTTTTTCTTTCTACTAGTCAGACACTTTTAGAACCGCCATCCCCACTCCATTCTTATACCTGCATGTTATTTATAGTTACAGACGTTGAATACTTTTCAATAATATTCTAGAACTGGGTTCAACAAATAGAAATTATATCAGTCAAAGTCAAAAGTCAAAATATCTGTATTCAAATTGGATACAAAATACAACTCTTTTGAATCGACCATATTTTTCCCCCTACCACCAGTAAAGGACATTTCTTTTAACTGTGGAGAAAATCTGGCGAAAAGAAGTTATCAGCGTTAAATAATTATGTAACAATATTTACAAAATATTATGTTGTTACGGTGTCAATACAAAATAATTTCATCTTCATCATAATAATAGAAAAAGCCTGCCGGAACACTTGGAACACTTTCAATCCAAGCATTTTTGTCTGAAATCTAATCAAACACTTTATAGTGGGCTTTATTAATAAGAACTCTTTTACAATACAATACAATACAATACAAAACACTTTATTGAACACCACAGAAAAACATTACAATAAATACAGAGCCATTTAAATTAAGTGTTACAATGGGCGGCCTTATCGCTAAAAGCGATCTCTTCCAGACAACCTTTGGATGGAGAGGATTAGAAGGAAGTGGGAGAGACGGCGGCGTAAATTTTAATGTAATTTATTAATATATACATAAATATACACGTACATTCTATATTCATAAATATATATACATATATATATATAAACGTATAAACATATACATACAAATACATACATAAATCTAGTCCAGTCGGTAGAAATTACAAAAGAGATTATAAAATAAAAAATATTACAAAGACAAATAGTGAGACTTCACGAGATTCTTGAAAATGTGAATCGATTCCGCACTTCGTATCGAAACTGGGAGAGAATTCCACAGCTGAACGGCTCTAACTGTAAATGAGTGACTGTAAAAAGTTTTACTGTGTACAGGAGTCATGAGGGTAAGATTCTCTGATGACCTAAGAGATAACGTGTTAGAAGTGTGAAGGAAATTAAAACATTCCTTAAGATAGCGCGGGGACTTAGGATTGAACAATATGTTGTAGAGAAGAGTAAGAATATGAGTATTCCGGCGAAGGCGAATAGGTAGCCACTTGAGCTGCAAACGAAATTGAGAAACGTGATCATATTTGCGCAAACCAAATATGAAGCGAATACAAAAGTTTTGAAGTCGCTCAAGCTTATTAAGCTGTTCTTCCGTGAGATCAAGATAACAGACGTCAGCGTAATCAAGAATAGGAAGCAGTAATGACTGCGCTAAGGTAATTTTGGTGGTGACGGGCAGGAAATTACGTAGTCTCCTAAGTGACGCTGCCGAAGCAAATAGTTTGCGACTGACCACTTGCATTTGTGGGTCCCAACTCAAATAAGTGTCGAACGTCAACCCTAAGTTTTTAACCGATGTGTTAAATGAAATATTATTACCAGCCAGTTCGATGCTGGGTAGTAACTTCCAATCGATTCTGTCTATCATCCTAGAACTACCTATAATTATGCTGGTTGTCTTAGTGGGATTCAAGTCCAAACCAAAAGATTTACTCCACTCTGTAATTACATGGAGATCACTATTAGTGGCTCTCACCGCGTCCTCAAGTTGACCAAGAGGTGCTTGGCGATAAATTTGAAGGTCATCTGCATATAGGTGGTAGGAAGAAGAAATATTGTTTGAGACAGAGTTGATTAATACAGCGAAAAGAAGAGGAGATAAGACGCCGCCTTGCGGAACACCGGCAGTCGTATCGCTCCACGAAGAAAATTTCTCTTCGAGACGAACGCGCTGCCTGCGCCCATACAGATAACTGTGAAGCCACTCAATCACTGATGGAGATACGTTAAGGGAGCGCAGCAATGCCAGAAGAATATCAAAGTTGACTGTATTAAAAGCATTGCTGAAGTCCAACAATGTTAATACCGTAAGGAGACCGTTATCCATCCCAAGGCGAATATCATCAGTCACTTTAAGCAAAGTAGTCGTGGTACTATGCCCAGGACGGAAACCGGATTGGAAAGGATTAAAGAGATCGTGGCGAGAAAGGAATATATTAAATTGGTTATGGACAAGGCGTTCAAGGACCTTAGATAGGAAAGGAAGAATAGAGATGGGACGAAAATCGGCGACGGATTGAGGGTTTGATTTTTTAGGGAGTGGAATGATTTGGGCTTGCTTCCAAACTGACGGAAATACAGCATTACAAATCGAGCTGTTAAAAAGGAAAGTAAGGACAGGAAGGATGATTTCAAGGATAGGTATCAACATGTTGCGACTGATGCCATCATTCCCCACAGCATTGGAAGAGATAGAAAGCATGCCCTTCTTAACGTCACATTCAGTGAATTGAGTAAAGACAAAAGGAGAGTAGTCAGGAATTGGTAACGAAGAAAGATATTTTAAAGTACTGGTCTTGTTAGAATCACTGAGACTAGAAGAGGAAGAAAAGTGAAGGTTGAGTGAATCAACGTTAATACTACTAGGAATAGATTCATGTCGGGATTTACCAATTCCAAGAGACTTAAGGAAATTCCAGACTTTTGCTGGATCTTTATTGTCGACAGAGACATGGATATGGCGACGTAAGGCATCCCTACACACCAAATTGCAGTAATTGCGAGCTCTTACATAGTTGGCTTTATTTAAATCAGTTGGACGACGTTTATATTTGCATTTAGCAACGTCCTTTTTGTGCATTAGGGCTTTAATGTCTTCGGTAAGCCACGGCGCTGGAGCGTGTTTGAGTTTGATGGGACGAAAAGGAGCATGTTTGTCATAGAGTTCAGTTATTATATGATTAAAAGTCTCAACTTGGTCGTCCACAGACACCGCATTAATAACCAACGACCAATCGGTATTTTGAGCGTCAGAGAGAAACGCGTCCCTATCCATTCCACCAAAATTACGCTGAAGAATGACTTTGGGTTTCAATTTGGGAGGACGAATTTTATATGACAAAAAAATCAAGTCATGGTAAGAGAAAGCATCGGCTGAACATTGGCCATGCTTCATGACAAGATGAGGAGAAGAGACAATTATTAAGTCAAGAAGTGAAGGAGTATTGTTTGGGGAATGATGGGTGGCACTAAGAGGAAGAATATGAAGATTACAAGAATTGATAACAGAATGAAGGGAAGCTGTACGAGAATCATTTTTCAAAAGACAAGTATTGAAATCGCCCATTATTATTGAATGGCTATAAGGTGGAACAATATCTCCTAAGAGATGTTCAAAAGAGCTAAAGAAGTTAACATTTAGAGACGGGCTGTAATAGACTCCGAGAAGGATTTTGGTATGTGACAGGAGAACCTCGACAAACAAATGTTCGCCAGCATTACCTGGAGGAGGCTGTGTGGAAGAGCTAATGATAGTAAATGGAATGTGAGTGCGTAAGTAAATAGCTACTCCACCACCTCGAGAGCCAGTGCGATCATTGCGTATTAGATGGAAACCGGGTAAAACATAAGATGACGAGGGCAGAGAAGGTTTAAGCCAGGATTCGGAGACTAATACAGCATGAAGGTTTTTATGGTTGAGAGACGCCAACATATCAATAAAATGAGCCGGAATACTTTGCGCATTTATGTGAACGACGTTAAAGTTTTTAGGGACATCAGAAAATTCACCATCGAGGCAGTCTGAAAGGGAAGGCATACTAACAAAACTAGTGTCAGTGCAATGGCTAGCAGGTGACAAAGATTGAAAAGAATCATTACTATCTAAATCTGAACTGGACATGGACTTTATAAATATTAACTAATAATAATATATATATATAAATAAGATTAACAGATGGAACAGAATAAGCAAAAAATGCTTCATATGCTCCACCTGCCGGTTGAGTGGACAGAGCACGCTAAAAATAGTATAAAGAACCATTCACAAAATAATAAGAAAACAAAACATAATTAATTCAGTGCAGCTTCAAGTCCGTGGATCCAATCAACAAACCGTATCGCTTGGCTGTATGAACGTAGTACCCTGTGCCTACCTGAGAGCAGGAATTTAAGAATAAAATTTTATATAACAGTGTCATTGTCAGTGAGCCGGTCTGTCAAAAAATTGTTAGAGCTTACTAAAAAGAAAACTGTTGTTTATCAATATACCTTCGAAAGATGAATAAAATAAGTTTTAACCGATATTTTACAGTTATTGAAGCAAAACGACACGGCCAAATGAGAAGAACCACAGAAGGGTTTAAAAATTTAAGTGAACACAGTATGAAGCGACACGAACACGATACAAAAAGTAAACAATAAACAAAACATGCAAAATTAACTTATAGCTACTTCTTGACTGCCGCATTAACTATACGCTTGCCCCTGGTGGATATTTGGGAAGTAGGTTTCGGTGATTCAGCCCTCGCCGCACCTGGAGCTGGGACTTTTATTACCTCACTAGTGGTGGAGGATGTTTGCGCTACAGGCTTCGGTGATACAGGTGTAACCGCAACTGGAGCTGGGATTTTCTCTATCTCTGTAACGGAGCTGATACGATGTCGCTTTCCGTCAGCACCGATGACAAAAACAAAACCCATCCGTGTGAAACACTTATTCACCCCAAATTTGTCTCGCGCAGCCATAAAAGCGTCGTGCCTGCCTTTTTTCAGAAACTCTGATATAGTTATGCCCGATCCCTTCAATTTTGCTTTAGAAAACCAAATTTTATTTTTCAGTTCAAGATCATACAGCTTCACTACAAGGGGTCGAGGGCGATCATTACTAGTGAAACGACCCATCCTATGGCAGCGACTGACATCCTTGTTAGAGAAAGATGTAATCTTTAATTGAGTAGCAATGGCCTTCACTGCAACAGCAGTGGCATCCTCGTCTGAAGACTCCCGCAGTCCATGAAACAGCAGGATCTTTCTGCGGTTATGCATCTCTATGCTGTCTACCTGGCGTGAAAGAAGGTGAATTTGATCTTGGAGACTATTGATGGATGTTAAGACGAAACTCCGGAATGCTGAAAAATCTGTAGTGAGGCTGGCAACAGTAGATGATGGGGTGGCAGCTTGGAGTTCACTCTCATAGTTGTTCATCCTCTCAGTGAACATTCGCTGTAGTTGAGACAGAGTTTCTTGAATGGTGTCCATTTGGTTGATCAGCAGAGCAGTGAAAAGTAAAGTGTAGATACAGTGTATTGTGGTTCAGTAACAGCGAGGATAACACTCTCCGGCAGGTATTGTGCAATAAATATTAATTTAACATAAAATATATATATATAAAAACTTGTAATTACTAGTTTTATTAAATTTTAAACTGGATCACTTTCAAACCGAACTTTTCTTTACGCCTACCCTCGCAGAAAATGGTAGTTTTACATTTATTGACGCTTAATGTTTGGATATTGCATCAAACGAGTGGCTGAGTTCATCATTACACCATTATTTTATTTATATAGCCATGTTTGTTTCTTAGGTTTTCACGCACATCACATTTATAGCCATATTATGAAAGAGGGCATTGTTCCGCGTTATTGGAAAACCGCTAACATTACACCTGTCTACAGAGTGGGTAAAAAAATAGCGTATGCTATTATGGTCATTATTGGCTTATCATTTACCTATATCTGGGTCGATGGCTAGCTCGATGGGTATGGCCCAGCCGATGCCGATCGCTGCGGTGAAGGTTTCCCGATCTTAAGTGTAGTATTATCTATACCAATGTATTTATTATAGGTTGGTTATTACCTATATCATTGTGGTCTTTAATAGCAGGGTATTACCTACATCATTGTATTCATTATTGGCCTATCATTTAACTATATCCGGCCCGATGGCCAGCTCGACGGGTATGGCCCAGCCGATGCCGAACGCTGCGGTGAAGGTTTTCCGATCGTAACTGTAGTGTTATCTATACCAATGTATTTATTATAGGTCGGTTATTACCTATATCATTGCGGTCTTTAATGGCAGGGTATTACCTACATCATTGTAGTCATTATTGGTCTATCATTTAGCTATATGTGGCCAGCTCGACGGGTATGGCCCAGCCGATGCCGATCGCTGCGGTGAAGGTTTCCCGATCGTAACTGTAGTGTTATCTTTACCAATGTATTTATTATAGGTCGGTTATTACCTATATCATTGTGGTCTATAATGGCAGGGTATTACCTACATCATTGTAGTCATTATTGGCCTATCATTTACCTATATCCAGCCCGATGGCCAGCTCGACGGGTATGGCCCAGCCGATGCCGAGCGCTGCGGTGAAGGTTTCCCAATCGTAACTGTAGCTTTATCTATACCATTGTATTTATTATAGGTCGGTTATTACCTATATCATTGTGGTCTTTAATGGCAGGGTATTACCTACATCATTGTAGTAGTCATTATTGGTCTATCATTTACCTATATCCGGCCCGATGGCCAGCTCGACGGGTATGGCCCAGCCGATGCCGAGCGCTGCGGTGAAGGTTTCCCGGTCGTATCCGTAGTGCGAGTGCATCGTTTCTAAGTATTTCACCATGCATTCTGTGTCGCTGAGGTGCGCGACCTGGGGAACAAGTTATAATATATAAAAAAAAATGAGGGAGCCTTACAGTAGTCGCGTATGATGTGTAACATTTGAAACCTCACCTTATATTAGTAAAAGATGTGTTTTGAGCAAAACACTCGCTTTTGGCCTACGAGCTGTTTTCCTCACTGTTTTTTGTTAATGATGTGTTATTGTAATTTTTTTATTTAATGTTTTTGTTAAATTCTTTAAGTTCATTATGATTTTTTGGATGAATACTATATATGATTTGATTGACCTATTAGGAATGTATACCTTTTTGAACTGCTGCTGTATGGCTTTCTTCAAGACCTTCGGTTTGACGGCGTCGAGGACCGACTTCGGCAGGAACTTCTGAAGACCGAACTCTTTTTCTAAATACTCCACGTTGAACTTCTTGTCCGTCGCTATATCCTTACAGAAGAATCTAGAAGGAAAAATCGGCTTTCATATGAATTTTGTTAATTTTTGGTTCTTATATGAATATTTTCGCGCACACTAATCATATAATAAAACATAAATGTGTAAGAATTTTGGTTTTGTAGCCACAATTTGATTAAATCTATAACAATGTGAATTTTGAGTTACCTGAGAAACTTGACCAGCTATTTCAGACAACAATTAAGATTATATTTCGGCAAAAAAAATATATTTTTCATTTCACTTTTTTATCTGCATACTTTAAACGGATAATAAGGTATGTTATTTACAAATTTGTGCCGTTTTACGATATTTTCTAAACGATATAAATCAATATGTGTAGTACGTTTACTGTTTGTCTTAAAATTCACGTATACGTATAAAATAAAAATAAATAAAAGAAAATTTCCAACACACACACACCAATTAGCCTAGCCCCAAAGTAAGCACTATAAGGCTTGTGTTATGGGATACTAGAGTAACGTATAGAATACATATACTGTACATATAAAAGTATTATTTTTATAGAAATACATATTAAACATCCATGACCGGAGTACAAATGCTCGTATTCATCACACAAACATCTGCCCCCACCCGGGATTTAAACCCGGGACCTCTCGAGTCGCCGACACCATGAATACCCGGCGTAGAAATCACTCGGCCACGGTCGTTAAAATATATATATATAATGTATATACATAGTATAAAATTAAGCTAATTCCGCATATGCTTGTACAAAATGCAACTCATATAAGCATTAAAGTAAAAAATGCTAGTAAGACAATGCAACTCAAAAGACTAGATTTGCTAAATATGGATTGGCTAACTATTTATTGAAAGTTAACCTAAATTCTTTTGATACGTATTTTAAACGTGGTGGTCAACAAGTGTTTTGCCCTACACAATCAACTAAAACATATCAACATTCAACAAAATCGTCTACACAAAACTTTGTTTCACTACACATATTTGTTTTCATCAACAATGTTTTTGTTTTCTGAGCCCGATGGAAAACACGTACACAAATCCCCCCGCGCGGGTCGAGGGATATACTAATGTATTCTTTAGGCAGTGACGAGGACAGCAAAGGAATCTTCGTTTAGGGGAAAGGATTATATTATTAACTTCAAATATTACAGAAATAAAAGGAAAGGACAGTAAGTAAAGGCAGAGGCGGCGTAAGGCGTGGGCGACGTGGGCCACCGCCTACGGCCTCGCGGTACAAGGGGCCTCGCGCCTCAAAAATGTTTATGCATTGCTATTTTTTATTATTTTATAAAATCCGTCTTCTGGTCGCCACAGAACAGGGCCTCGCGAAGTCTGTCTTGTCCACATCAAATTTCGGTCTTGCCCCGCCACTGAGTAAAGGCAGTTATAGAAGAAGCAGACAAGAAAGTGGCAAGAATAGAGTTAGGACTTTATTATTAAGTGTTATAATAGTATTAAGTGTTAATATAGATATTTACAATCAAAGGGTCTGTCTTCGACAGGAAGAGTATTGTTTCATCAGCCAGTTTTTGATACCTCCATAGCAAGGGCTCCGTTCCAAACCTACGCTCCGAATACAACTTTTCACTCTGACGTTCCAATTTTGAATTAAATTGTATAAAACTTTGGTAACATTTGACATTTGTTGCACCTGGATCATAGTTTTTGAGCGTACCCTCTGTTTTTTGTGTACGACAGCCACTCGAGCAGTAGACGGCGTGTGTAGAGAAATATGTTTCAGAAACAAAGTTATGTGTTTGTGTTGTAGTTGAATGTGTTCAAAAAACTTTTGCTGGAGACCAGGATTTAGTCAGAGTATTATCATTGATACACCGAAACGAAGCGAATGCGAGTCGCTAGTTATAATATAAATGTTGAAGTTACGGTAGAAAGGTATATCATATAACTTACTTTATTTCTAAACAACATATTTGTATCGCCAAGTCCTGATCTACAGGATGATTGGCGTTGAGGTAGTCGTGTCGAACCTGTAACAACAAAAAAAATTCTTATATATAAAATTCTCGTGTCACAATATTAGTTACCATACTCCTTCGAAACGGCTTGACCGATTTTAATGAAATTTTATATGCATATTCAGTAGGTCTGAGAATCGGCTACTATCTATTTTTCATACCCCTAAGTGTTTTAAGGGTTGTCCACCCCTAACCTTTTTTTTGGGAACCGGGATTCAAACCCGGGACCTCTCAAATAGGCGTCACCTTGAATCCCGAAACCACTCGGCCACGGAGGTAGTCTAAAGAAAGTAAAGAGTACCTGGTCGTAGTAATAGTGGCATGTGACCCGGTCCGCGTCGCACAGCGCGCGCAGGCTGGCGGGCAGGTAGCGCACGCGCAGCTCCAGCCGCCACTCGGTGCCCCAGCGGGCCACCACCTCCGACACGGGCGTGTCTTGGTGGATCCATCGGATCTAAGGGCAATAGCGAATAAGCGAGTAATAAATAAACAACTCATAAGTTACCTAGAGTCAAGGAAATTGTTGGCTGATACACAATACGGTTTTAGGGCTGGTAGATCTACTGATGATGCGGTTCATAATTACGTACAAAGAGTTGCGAAGAAACTGGATGAAAACCAAAAGGTAATTACAATATTCCTCGATCTCAAAAAGGCATTCGATACTGTAGCGCTACCTATACTTCTAGACAAACTTGAAAGGATGGGAATTCGTGCAACTCAGCTAGATCTGTCTCGTGATTACCTATCTAATCGTTCACAGATTGTTAAAATTGGTAATAACAGCAGTCGCGAACAACCAGTCTGCTACGGAATTCCTCAGGGGAGTATCACTGGCCCGACTCTATTTTTATGTCATATGAATGATTTGTCTAATTTGAAACTAGAAAATTGTGAAATAACATCCTATGCAGACGACACTGCACTAACTTTTACGGCAGATACTTGGGAGAAAGTTTTTAATTTTGCACAGAATGGCTTTGACACCGTTAATAAATGGCTTTCCTCTAACAGTCTGACATTAAATGCAGAGAAAACTAAATACATTTGTTTCTCTATTCGTAATTGTAGCATACCTTCAAATCTAAAGTTATTCGCTCATAAATGTTCAATCCCACCTTTAACAACATGTCAATGCCCAATTATAAACATTACATCGCAGATGAAATATCTCGGCGTAACAATAGACAAAAATCTTAACTTTACAGAACACATACATAACATTTCGCAGAGATTAAGAAAACTTGTATTTGTATTCAAGCAATTAAGACATGTAGCAGATAGAAAGACCATGAAATCTATTTACATAGCCTTAGCACAGTCTGTGATATCATATTGCTTAACATCATGGGGTGGAGCAGCAAAGTCAAAACTAATCGAGCTCGAAAGAGCACAGAGACTGATCTTAAAGATATGCTTATTTAAACCTAGACTTTATTCAACTACAACTCTATATCAAGATGCTGAAGTCTTGACGGTTAGGCAATTGTTTGTTCTTTTGAGTATTCTTAAGCAACACGCTAACATAAATTATACACCGCTTACCACAACATCCAGAAGACACTTAAATGTATGTATAGTTGAAAGTTCACGCACCTTGTTTGCTAATAGATTTTTTTACATGATAGGGAAAAAAATATACAATTGTGCAAATAAAAAATTTAATATATATCCCAAAAGTAAATATGAAATTAAAAAGATAATAACACAATGGCTCCTCAGCAAATCATATGATGAAACTGAAAGACTTTTTGTAAGTTAAAGTAAAGTAAGTAAGTTAAAAATTTAACGCACAAACACACACACGCAAACACATACACACACACACAAACATAAACACACTATCACACACACATGCACAGTTTTATGATTTCTATTTTAAATTTGTTTCTACCATAAATAAAAATATACATATACCTATTAGGTTTTTATGGAGTGTTTTAAAATTGTATCGAGGGTTGGAGGCCTGGAGCTCTGAAATACAGGTAGACTACTGCCTAGTTTAGACTCCAGTCTCCCACAGACACGTTAATGTATTTATATTATATATATTATATTAATGTACACATTCAATGATGACCACTCATATATTATATCACTCGTTAATAGCCTGAGGCAGACGAGGAACATTTGTGTGCAGACTTTTTTGTCCGTCGAAATAGATCACTTAGGGAGCGTTCAAGTATTATGCAATGCAATTTGGGGGGAGGGGGGTCTTGTAAAACGTTACGATGCGTTACAGCGGGAGGGTGTTTCAGTCAACGCGTTACGTAACTATGTTTTTTATTTAAATAAAAAACTAGGGTATTAAAATCTCCCAAGTTGGCAACACCTTTCGTTTATAGTTTGCCAAAATTTAATAATTGCATTGCCAAAGTTTAAAGTAAACATGTTATATTATTGAAAGAGATTATAAGTTTAAACAAAAGCTAAAATAGAAAAATGCATGACGAAGCAGGAAAACGTTATGGTGCGTTACAAACCGAGGACACCGAGAGACCAGACAAGGCAAAAGTTTTTTTTTATTTTTTTATTCGGTAATAGGTAAGCGCTTGACCATAATTCGCCTGATGGAAAGCAATATTATGGTCTACGATGGAGCGCGCTTACCTAATACAAACCGGTTCACTCTTGCTTTGAATACAGCTAGATTGTAGTGCTCGGGGAACAAGGGCTCAGGCAAGGAATTCCACAGTTTGTGGAACAGTGCGCAGGAGTCCCCGAAAAAAAATCATATCAGCCCAGCAACGCACACAGACCGCGTTGTGTGCTGGATCCGATTTAAAGAAATGGAACCAGTATTCTCTTTTTAAACGTCTTTCTTTTTTTAAACTTCATGTTCCTTCCCTTAGGTAAAGGTATTTTTAAGGATTAATAAAAACTTTTATTTATTTCTTTCTATATAGATTCACCAACCTTTCCAGAGGTAAGTTTCCTTGCCCTCAGAGCGTAGCAGGCGGCGTACACACGCTCCCCGGTGGCCAGTCTGGAGGCCAGTAGCCTCAGCACGGACCGCACATCTTCATCAGGCGAAGCACGGACCACGTTGAACCCACCGTTGGGCAGGTGGACCTTCAACGTGGGCTGGTCACCGCCTGTTGACCCTGGAAAAGAATAAAAGATATCCTTAAAAGGGGCCTGAATCCTTAGCAGGATGGCAAGGTGTTGATGACTGGTGTGGCTATCTTCGCAGCGGATGCCCCTGTCACCTAATATCAGCCCGTCAAGTAATTTGGCATACCTATACAGGTGTCCCAAAACTTTGCCACATCGAAGGAAAGTACTTTAAATACTGTAGTTCAAGAGTTTTGCTGAAGAACGGCTTAATTTTTATTTTATAAATACGAAGTACCTTCAAGGACTTAAAAATATCGCCATCTGTTTTGGGGAGTCGAACTTGCTTAAAAAGTGAACTTGGTTGTGAAAATAAATAACGGGGCATTTTACTGTACTGAATGCGAGGCGTGTGCTTGTGCGCAGTTGCACTTCGGTAAATAGATTTGGAGTTAGATTGAAGTGTCATAAGATGCAAATTCTATGAAACAAAGGAGATTGCTCAAATTGGCCCAAATGCACAAAAAATATTGACATACACGCTAATTCTTGGCGTAATTTATAATTTAATTTACAGTCATTAGATTTCAACGGACACCTTTATATAATATACTAGCGGACCCGACAGACGTTGTCCAGTCTACACGTCTTTGTGAATCTAAACCATTCTCAGATCCCCTTGAACACACACAAAAAATTTCATCAAAATCGGTCCAGTCGTTTAAGAGAAGTTCAGTGACATACACACTCACAGAAGAATTATATATATAAAGATTTACTTTAAAAAGGACTTTTAATTTTACCGGTTTGGAAAACATACGAATCATTTTTAATGGCTATGGGTGTAGTAACATTCAGGCAAAGACTGATCGAAGTTGTTTATATAACATAAAAACAAATCTATTTTGTAAAAATCGATAAAATAAATCATTTTTTTATTACACTGTGGTATTAATATCCATAACTATATTATCATTTTCACTAGATGCAAATATGCTCAGACAATTATTATAGATGGTAGGCGACATCATAAAGTCTATTGCCATACATTTTTCGCCAAACACCTACATAAACACATTATAATCTGTATATATGTTAGACTTTAAGGTATCTATATATGGGCCTACGTTCCCTGACTATAAATTAATAAATAAATAAAATTATAAGGTGTGATACACTAAAAATCTAAAATATGGTGATCTTAAAAACATAACAAAAATAATGAAGCTACTGAATATATGGCTATAGAACCTAAATCTCTTAGCTTTCTTTGGTTAGCGAGAGTTTAAAAATTCTCTCTAATCTGTGGCTCATTCACAATCATCACACAGTTTCTGTCACAGAGTACCTTATTATATCCGGAAATGACACCTGATTTTAAAAGTTTCTCTTATGCATTAACTTTAAAAACCGGCAACTATCTGTTAATCTACATGCTCTATATACCTGAATCTAATCCATAATTTCGGTACTAGCTTGATTTCCCTAGTTCACTATGTAACTTATTTGTTTTTTATTCTTTCGAAGCGTGTTAGACGCGCGCGGGTGCTAACGCGCGGGACTTACGCGTAGCGTGAGGGTGTCTTCTGAACAAGGCCTTACAATTCAATAGCAAAATCAGCTATGTTTTACCTCTCATGTTTAGCTCACTCACACGTATCTATGTGTAGGCAAGTATCATCAGATTTCATTAACATAGTCTTTGTCATTCATTTTTATTAACTTGTTAATAAAGTTATAAACACAATTTGCCGTTATAATTGGCGTGCCTTATAAAAAGGTGAGCAATACAGGTGGGCGTGAGAATCTACTTTGAAATTCCACCTTTCCGATAGGTCACAGCTTAGGCGACGCAAACGAACACAACAAATTCTTGTTTGAATGTTTGTCTGTACGCCAACAAATGACTCGTTTTTTTTATCTTTATCCATGTTTTATATGGGACAAACCAAATAATTGTAATTATGCACGATATGCTACGGTCGAAGGAGCTCGATGGCGGTTGGCGGTGGTTAGCGCGTTCGGCTGCGATCGTTGAAGTTAAGCAACTTTCGCAGTGGTCAGTCATTGGATAGGTGACCAAAAATTTACTATCTCGAGCTCCTCCGTGCTTCGGAAGGCACGATAAGTCGTTGGTCCCGGTTGCATCTGCAGTCGTTAGCACCCACCAATCCGCATTGGGCCCGCGTGGTGGGTCATGGCTCAATCTCCCGATTCCATCCATAGGGAAGGCCTGTGCCCCAGCAGTTGGGACATTAATAGGCTGATGATGATGATGCTACGGTCACACAGTCGCGTTATCGCGAAGATTTTCAGTTTTTATTTTTTTATTGCCCAAAAAGGTGACCGTTTTCGTACACGTTTAGAAGTGTGACAATTGCTTAGTTAGATGTTTCGTGAAAACGGCAAATGTTCGCGATAGTGCAATGTGTGGCCGTAGCGTAAGACGTTAAGATATGAGATTTAACACGGTAAAATTCTTTCAAAGAACATATAGTATGTTCTTACAAGAGAAAATATAGAAAAAATCATCTGATAAAAACAATAGAACTTTGTAAGCAATCAGTATTAGTTAGATAAGATAACTTGTAAATGTAATTTTCATACAATATTCAGTGGGAAACTTAGGTAAACAATAAAAAAATAGTAAATCACACATGTATTAAATCACAGAAACGATATTTGAAAAAAATCTAGCAAAAAATCAATTACAGGCAGAATTATAAGAAAATCAAAAAATAACTTATTAAAGACGTGAATAAAAAGTAGGTGCACGTTATTTTAACATAATTTCAACTATACTAAAAACCACCGTGCACCGTGTAAGGTGTCGGATGTCGGTTTCCGCTATAAAACATCCGGGTTGTCGCAACAACTTAATATTAAACTGATCAATCATAAAAACGCAATAATGTCATATCACGGTCCGCGTATATCTGTTCGTTACGGTTAATTTATTAGAGATATGTATGTAGGGCATGACAGTCGATTAACCGCACAACACAGATCATCAAATTGCCATTGACTGCCATTTAGCTAGGGAAGTAAAAGAAACTTCCATCTTTACAGAACATAAGAGTCCTTTAAGAGAGGCGTGAAGAAGCATTTTTGGCCGGCAAGGTGAGGATGGTTGGTGCAGCAGTTTATAACTGCTGTACCAGCTATCTTCGCGTTTGGACTTTATCACCACTCAACATCAGGTGGGGTACAGTCATTTGCCTACCTCGTTGTTATAAAAAAAAACATGTGAAGACAAATACCTGGTGAGTGTTCTGATGAGTTATTCGAATTAGGCAAGCGTTCTGAGGAGATATTCTCTCTTATTCCACCTTCATCTTTCCTTCAGAGGACCACGCGCGCTGGCCTTAGTGGTCACCATCTGACTGTGGCCACAATTCCAACGCGTACAAAGAAATTTGGTGACTCATTTCTTTGTCGCACTATCCGTAAATGGAATGCTCTGCGTGCTCACGTATTCCCTCCTTCTTAAAACCTGGGATCATTTTAAAGAGGCGTGAAGAAGCAACATGCCGGCCGACAAGGCGAGGATGGCTGGTGAGGCAGGTAGAACTGCTGTACCAGCTATCTTCACGTCTGGACTTCATCGTCACGGTGGTGTGGAGTCATTTCTTGGACTTGACTATAAAAAAACCTCATTATCCATTCTCAGTGTCTATGGTACTGATCGAGCTGTTATCCCTAATGCTGTGGCAGAATGTAGTGTTGCCATATTCAAATACAAAAGCTTTACTTGATGCTCTCGAGGAACTCGTTGGCGCTGTGGTAGAACGTTAGTTAGGCAACTTTCCTTTCTATGGCCCGTCTTTGGGTGAGTGACCAAAGAATTCATTATCGTGTGGTCGTTCGTCCATCAAAAGGCAAGTTAGGTCTTTGGCCCCGATAGCATCTGTTAAGTCCTGCGATGAAGCGAAGTTGTTATGAACCGACATCTTCACCTTGCCGTCCTGCACAAATGCTTCTTCGCGCCTCTTTCATAGGATCCCAGGTTGTAGGAAAGACGGACACGTGCGCGGGCAAAGAATTCCACTTGAGTAGGACGACAAAGAAACGAGTCATCATATTTCTTTGTTCGCGTTGGCATTATGACCACAGTAAGTGGGTGACAACTTAGGCCAGTACGCGTGATTTTCTGAAGGGGAAGGAGGGATAACGGAGAAATAGGTGCCATTCCGAGACGGGCTGCAGTATGCAAAATTCAGCGACATCACTTGTTTGTATGAACCTCTATGAAATTGATTTTGAACGCGCCACGGCGCATCGTCTGCGGATGCATAGAACCATGCCTCAGTCACTCCAGACTGCTGTGACCGTGTTGCATAACGTTATATAACGACCGCAGCGCAGACTGGAGTAACTGAGGCATGGTTCTATGCATTTTGCAGTCGCGGCATGTCGCCGCGCTTAGAACCCCCCCCCCCCCCCCCCCGCAGCCGACTTTGCGGTCAACCGCAGTCCAGTCTGCCGCCCGTCTCGAAATTGAACTTGAAACCGTAACTCCTCAGAACACTCGCTGTGGTAAAGTCGGGTAGAATGCGCTTAACAATGCCACATCGCGGCGTAAATATAGACACTCGAGTTTGTTAGTTACCTCTAAATCAGCAGCGCCCCACTGCAACCCATCCAAGGCAAGTTGATCGGTAGAATGCGCTTAAAGATGGTGATGATGGTATGGTACTGACCTGCGTTGGCGGGGTTAGTGCGTTTGGGCGAGCCGCCCGGCGGCGCGGGCTGCATCGCGCGCGCTAGCACCCCCTCCCCGCACCGCCCGCCACCCTCCGGCTCATGACTGTAACAAACAAAAAAAAACCCTTTATCGCATTCCTTCCATGACGAAATACAAGTTCGAGTCACCAGGTTTACAGAATAATGCGATTCATACATAAGGAACTGTGTGAAGTCAGCGCGAATCGCGGCGCAGTAAACGAAACGATTGTTAAGTTAGCGCAAGTCGTGGCGCAATAAACGAAACGGCTGTAAAGTTAGCGCGAGTCGCGGTGCAGTAAATGTAATTTAAGGTGATTTAGCACGTGATGTTACTTAACTGAAACCTGCACATTGTTGCTCTCGCTGCTAATGTCACATGATTCATAAAAATCGAATCGCTCCTCACAAGTTGGAATTTAAAATTTTCAGTACAGAACAATATGTATTACCTGCTAGGCATAGCGCAATAATAGGTTTATAATTATGATATAGAGCATTTTACAACAAAATAATACAATCATAGCATCTAGCGACGACAAGACTTTTAAACATTTAAAAAGGTGGGTTTAAGATGATTTATAAAGAAATATGCAACGCGTCCTCCAACAGCTTGCAGTTAAAAGTGCTTCTACTGAAGAGGAATAAGCGTGGTAAAAAAGAACAAATATCTTTCCATGGAAGACTTCAGAAACTCTCAGTCTAAGGCAAAAACTGTTTTACCACGTTCCGCCCACACATTTGATCGTTCACTCCTCTTTTGCAATAAAGGGCGGGCATTATGGGAAACGTTTGTTCCGTGAAAAAAGCAGTAAGTCAGCTAAATAAATATAAAGATAACATCTACTGAAAAAGCACCAAAACATAATTGCAATACTTGTTGAGCAATATACAAGCGATATCATCACTCAACGTTTTTCAATGCCTTGCCTTCCTGCAGTTCTTAGAACACAGACGTCACACGATTTAAGAACAAAAGCATGTTAGTGGGGCACTGCAAAACTAACTTTTGAGCATTGAATGCAACCACTGAAGTTGAAAATCAATTGGAGTATTTTTGTCAATTTTAAATAGCAGCTCTTCAACTGCTAATACTGCTGGGTGGGTCATGGGTCAATCATAGGCAGGCAAAAAAAAAGAAATTTGGCAATATTTTTTTGCCAGCCAATTTTAGGTTGGATTAGATTAGTTCGAAATAATGGTATGAAACTCAACCTTAAAAAGTGTAAGCTAAATCGCTACATTTTTTTCATTGAAATCTTAAAGTCTGCTCGAAGGACCAACGTAAAAGCCGTGAGTACAGGTATGCATATAATTGTTAGATCGATTTTGCCTACTCCAACTTCCTTTGGGGAAGGTACTAGGGTAATTTTAATTATCTGCAACACACGCAGGCTCGCCGGAATGTCCGGCCGAGGGCACGGGGGGATGTCCCCTCTTGTCTACCAACACAGTTATATGTACACGTCTCCACCGCATAGGGTTGCCAGTGACAATTTTATTTTTTGTATAATATAGTAAACAATAAATTTCAATCATTATATTTATTTACTATCCACAAATATTATATTGTAAAATTTTATAGTTATAGATAGTAATAAATGATCAAAATATTGTAAAAAAAAGTAAAAGATTTCTCAATGCTTCAAACATATAGTTGATTTTTGTCATGCTGTATCAAGTCATAATATTTATATAATAATAATATATTAATAATAATTTATTCTCAGACAATTTAAGTCCATAAAATGTTAGTAACAATGTACCTTAAAAACTATGTTAGTAAAGTATAAAATAGATTACAAATAAAATAAAATAATATAATCATCCCCTGCTGGAACACAAGGCACCCCCTACATGCGGCCCGGGGGCTTCGCATGCAAATGCAACCAGCGCTCCAACAGTGGAGAATCCCACCTGTCAACTAGTGCCGACAGGATGCTGTTGGTGCTGCCACGTATTCTGCTCAGCAGTGCCGCGCAGCGTTTCCTTATTATGGCATGAAAGCCGTCAATATGCAATGGCAATACGCCTTGAGAAGTTTAATTTTTACTTGCTTTGTACAACGTGCGAACCTGCGAGCTAGCATATTACATCGAACTGCCAGCGCCCTACGTTCCCTATCAATATCTATATCATCCTTTAACATATCTGTAACCCAGTGGCCAAGGTATTTATATTGAAATACTCTCTTTAAATTTGCATTACAAAGTTTGACAGGTAAATCAGGACTAATACATTTTGTCCCAGCTTTGAATACCATAAACTCACTTTTGTTCGCGTTATACTTAAGCCCGTGAGCTTCTGCATAACGTTCACAAATTCCCGATAATTTTCTCTCTTTTCTATATACCGGTACTACAATATTTGGCTCTTTTTGTGTCTGAATAAATCTAGAATAAGTCACAGACCGCCAGCCCGCCGAATACAACAAATTATCATGCCCATTTATTTAGCTTGTACATAATATATATATATAATTATATATAGTTAAATCATAAAAACCTCTTTATGTGCAATAAACTAAAATAACTAACTAAAGAGGGAAAAACCTTTTTATTACATCTTTTATAAAAATCGTGAAAAAAAGGATAACGGAAAAAGCACACACAAACTAGTACATGGTTTCGCTCAGTCGATTCGAACATAACTTCGTGGTTTTAGAAGCCTTGACTGCCTAAGAAGAATAAATAAATTAAATTTGAAATAACTGATATCAAAAATGCACGTGTTTGGAAATTTGGAATAACTTGTATTATGCAAGCCCTACTGTCCCCATCTAGCGCAATGCACGCATCGATTGCAATTGCAGCAGAGTCGCATGCAAATGTTTGTATGTATACTGTACATACGCTTATAAGAGTACTATAGACGATATTACACAATGCACGAGAATTACAGTTCCAATAACGGACGCCGGTAAGACTTTACAAAAGTATGTTCAATTATACCAATGATTTTGAGTATGATGGAAGTAAAATGCCACAGTCATCGCAATCGAGCAAACGTTACGATTCGGATCCTGATTTATCAAATATAAACGCACGTAAAAGAAAAAACGACCATGATATTACGGAATCATTTAGGTTATTTTCCGAAGATATTCTAAAGAAAATGGACAGTTGGAAAACAGAAATAAATAATAACATGGTTCTAATTAATAATACTCTTAATGATGTAATCAAGGAAGATTTGATTAAATTGAAGAAAGACTCCCAGGAACTGAAAACTGAAATAAAGAATGTAAGGAATGAATACAAAGAAATAAAAGCTAATGTCAATAAATTAAGTGAACAACAAATTAAAATTAATAAAGATATAACGGAACTTCAGCAATCAGCTCAGTTTGCTTCCGATGCGCATGATGAAAACAACAAGAAAATAGATTCTCTCTTCGACAAAGTAAAACACATAAATAGTCTGCAGTTGGAGCTCAATAACTTAAAGGTGCAAAATCAGCAATGCATTTTACAGCTGAATTCGAACGAACAAAGAGACAGATTACAAAACATAGAAATAGTAGGGATACCTGAAGCCATTAAAGAGGATTTGGCTAATTACATGAAAATAATTGGGATTAAAATTGGATTAAATGTTTTGCCAAACGACATTTTACAAATTAACCGAGTCACTCCAAAACAAAAGTATGAAGGGCGCTCGAGAGTGATTGTTGTCAAGATGAGGACCCGGCTTTTAAGGGATAATATAGTTTCTCTTGGACGTAAACATCGTTTAACCACTAGTGACATTGGTATAGCAGGAGAACCTAAACCGATCTTTTTTAACGAGCATTTGACATCCTATAACAAACAACTTCTTAAAAAGTGCAAGGAGGTAGCTAAGCAAGAGGAATACCAATATATCTGGACAAAAAACGGCAGAATATATATGCGCCAAAACGACACTGCTCCAGCTCTTCTTATAATCAACGAAGAGGATCTAATAAAAAAGACGCGAACGGGGAAGTAACACAGTTAGGGACTGAACTAAATTCGACTTTGCATTCGAATTTTCTTTGTTTCATTAAAAATAAGACTATAGATATTATTACACTAAGTTACTTAATATTAATCTTCCACATTTGTATGATGTGGAGTAACATTTTGACTGTCAGCTCTATGCATCTTTTTTACTCTGTGGTTATAATGACAGTGAGTGTTATGTGCCGATTGAGTTTACGAATGTCTGTTGCTGTTTTGTTTACGCAAATTAATTGTGAACTTTATCGAAATATTTTATTTTATTTATCCAGGGTTTCTTTTCAACTACTTATATTATTTCTTGTACTCAACAATTATTACACACGGGGAAAAAGTATATTATGCATGATAATCCGAACTAATTGGTTACATGTTGGTGTATTGTTTGTGTCTACGGTATTAAATACCTTTGCATGTTATAAAAGTTTTATTATTTCACTATGTAGTGCACAGTACATTTATCAAGCATACAGGTATATCAAAACTAACATAATGGTACAAACGATCAAATATCCTATACCAATTATTTTCTGTGAATACCCCCATAATGATTATAACTGTGAATCAATGATACAATTTTCTACAACAAAAGCATGTTTTATTTATGCATTCTTTACAAAAATAACCATTAAATATACAAAGCAGTATAACACATTTGTTATAACAAAAAACCCCCAAACTGAGTGTAACCGTGGCTCAATATTACTATTTTCAATAATAAAAGCATGTTTTATCCGAATATTATTTATTAAAGTAACAATGAAATATAACAAGCCGTATAAGACATTTTTCATAAGAAAAAATAATAGTTTATATGATTCACGAATATCAACTGATATTTTATATATTTTGCACATGTATTTTGAGTTAACAAACAAAACATTTCATTATTTGTTAAATGCTACTATGAACTACACAATCAGTGTTTGGATTTTAACATGTAAAATTCTCCAGTTATCTCATTGCAGTTATATAGCATATTATTATGAATACATATTATTACATACTAGTGTACTAGTGCCTCCACAAATATATTTTTATACTAATGTTTACAAACATAAATTAAGTACTTATAGTAATAAATTATTTTCATAATGACTGATAC